TTTTAGAATAAAACCAAGAAAACTAAAAAATTGAGTGTATTAATGGAGAAACGTTAAAGAACGAACATAATGAAATCTGTGGCACATATGAATCGGTGCGGCGAAAAAATTGCTCTCATTTTTCTCCAAATAATTCTGCAACATAACGTTTTTTTTACATAGTTTATTTGTTGCAGACATGATTAAGAGTGAAATTTCACTACGCCAATTTATTAAGATTTCTGTTAAAATATTGACGTATTAGATAAAAAATAACTTTATGTTGCAGTATTATTTGGAGAAAAATAAGAGCTATTTTTTCCTCGAAACGACTCATATTATGTACCAAATTTCAATGAAACTTACGATTATTTTGAATTCCAATGGAAATTCATTCTCTCTTTCGTAGCTATTTAAATATTTCCTGAACACCTTTCATCTATAAACGGAGATAATAAAATATATTCCAGTAGATTCAAGCTCAATTTCGATAGCATTTTCAATTTTTCCGCATTATTTTGGAAATTTATCAACTTGATTGGTATTAGCGAATCTATTATCCCATCAAATTATCTGAGATTGAAATTGACTCACAATTGAGTAGGTTTAGAGCAAACCAAGCATTTGTTAAAAGTATATTTTTTTATCTTTTAGCGAATTAATAATCTACAGTAACAACTCTTTTATCCGTCACTTAATGACCCGTCATCTCTTGTTGAGTGTAAGTTTTAAAAACGTATGTGTGATCTAATAATATCAAAATTCAAGATCTGATGCAAATATCAATAATTTTCATTTAAAAAAAACGTCTTAAAAATTATAAATTGATATGACTTTTTTTTGTGTCACTGATTCGGTGACGTGGAGTTATTACTTCATTTCAATATTACATAAAAATATGGCTTACCATTTCAATAAAAATGTTATATTTTCAAAAAAAAAAAAATGGATTTAATAACAGCAATTTATTTTGAGTTAAAGAAAAGCTAGACCAAGAACAAATGGGAGCCAACTTTGGAAACTGAAAATTGTATGTTAATACTATATGTATAAATAATGTTTTTGCTGAAAACAGCTAAGTTAAAATCGATAGAATTGAAGAGATGAGCGTTTTACGAACTCAAGTTTTATATGAGATGCCAAAGAGTGCTCTTATACAAGCATATATTTTGATGTGAGTGTGTTTTTTTTGTTGTTGAATACATTTCCAACGTTTTTAGAGATAGGTTGTGTGCCATGGCAAATTGGCAGTGTGGCTTTACAAAGGCGTGGTTTTACAGTGACTACGAACAAATATAATTTTGTAATGCACAAATAAGAAAGTTCAACGGTAATTTAAACAGGGGTGCGATGTTTTTCGTTCGGTTGCACCGTTCAATTTTATTTGGGGTGGAAAATAAGCGGCAATGGCAAAAACAGATACATTGTCTGGTTTGTGTGTCGTTTATATTCTCTCTCTCACTCTTACTTGAGCATGTCAAACGGTATTTTGTAAGATGAGCTATAGCTAATTCACTGCCACAACACCGTATATAATTCATGTTATTTCAATAGGGTGAACACGATTTCGATTTTCAACATTTTAATAGTTACTTCAACACCATATTTTATGTATTTGTACATTGGCTGCTGCTATTGATGCAAATGGAACGTGAAAATGTTTTGCTCAACAATTGCACGTGTATTGCTTGCAAATGGATGAATGCTTCATTCCCATCCTCGATTTTCATTTGTGTGCTATGTTTTTTTCCCTCTATCTCCTGTTCATTCGGTTGTTCCACTCTTTCGTTCGTTTGCTCTATGTATTATTAGATTGAATTGTTATTTCAGCGGCTTAAAATAGCTAACCATTTTCGGTCGACTTCTGAATTTGTTAAATGGATGTTGAGAATGGGTCTTATCTATTTGCCACGTTTTCAATGATGCACATTGCGTAAATATTTGCCATTTTATCTAATCTCGAGAATATGTTACGTTTTGCGGCTTTTGAAAATTACAATCAAACGTGAGATGGAAAACAATAAATATTTGCCGAATCAATATTGTTACATTCAATTAGATTCATAAAAAAAATTGGATTAGCATGGTTTCATTCTTTTATTTTACATCATGATTATTATCTGATCTGTCTGCAAATTAACCATGTCACGAAAAAGCTTACAATTCATTATTTGGAAAAGTGACAGTTTCAAAGATAAGAATCATGTTAAATGCCAACGTGGACAAATTGTAAAATTTTGTGAGGTGCTTCTTTTCACCAGGTCAAACACTCTTCTTGGCATTCAATCATGAAAATCGACATTTGCCCTTTACTGAACAAACAATTTATACAAAATCAAAATATGCCGAACTTGATAAAATTCATGCACTTTTTATAAGTTTATCGCTTTTCATAAATAACACATTTTCATAATAAATTCATCATAATGTTCAATTAAATTACGAACAATTCACCACAGAAACGAAGGTATCGATTTGATCCGAGTTTTAAGAGGTATTTTGTGACCAGTAAACTGTGAGCTCGGCTCTGATGAATTTGGGCCGTTTGAAATGAGCATTTGGCTACGGTAGAAATTCAATAAAAAGTTTTTTGTTTGAAATCACACCAATGCATATCTACATTTTTTTATCTTCTATCTATTTCTTTCTCTTCCTTTCTAATTCTCACTCTTTCCGATTGTATACGTGTAATATAATTGCATTTAAATTAAGCACATTGTCGATAAATTGATGTACACATCTGAAAGCATAATGAAAGCGTTGCCTTAATCGTAGGTATTGCTTTGAATTATATACATATATATATGTGAGGCATTTTCAGTATATATGTATATTTGCCATATATGCATGACGAAGTCAAAAGAAATACATATGCGATATAATGTATTCAACATTTTTATTAAATTTCACTGCCGGGGTAAATAAACAATGTCGTGTATTTTGACTGACACTTTAGTGTTTTTTCTACACATCGAGTGCGTAAAATATACACATTGTGCGCGCTCTATTCAGATATGACTGATTTGATGGGTGCCGAGTTTCGATCGTTTTGTTCGTTCTTCTATTTTCCTATATCGCTTTCTCTCTCTCTCCAATACCAAAAATTTCACTCCATTTTTCCATTTATATATATGTGTGTCTCACTCCTTCCTATTTTTCCATTTAACATGGCTGAAAACGTTTTCCCATTAATTTTTTGGCAACTGATGATATTTTGAGTATGGATTGGGTTGTGTATAAGCCTGTATCATCCTTCAAGGCAACAGAATTCAATTATCGAAAGTAACTAATTTCGGATCTGGTGAAATGGTGAAATGGATCGGAAATGGGTTGTAAATGTGAGAGGTTTTCGGTTTTTTTTTTATCGGAAAATTCTTTTCTATATGACTTGGCATCGATTGACGGTCACAACCGACAAGACTTTACCATTTTTGGATAGGAAATGATTGAAAATGGAAATTATATTTTTGAAGCATTTTCAGCTAAGCAAATAAATGAACAAAATGTTAAAGTAACGATGTTAGCAATAACTGAAGAAAAAAAACGATAAAAACATACATGGCGTGAAAGGAAGCTAATTCATACATATGACAATTGATATATTCAAGCATTTCATTTTATTTGTAGTAATAAAAATGTTTGCTTCAAATTGAATGTTTGAACCGATGCAAATTAAAAATAAATAAACAATCTTGCTTGTTTATGATATTCGCTATGAGATTTGGTGACACTCTTTTATGAACAACACTATTAGCGACACGGTGGTTGTTCGATGCAAAACACCATCAAGTTTAATCATTTCAAAATTATATTGATACGATTGTATGTAAATTAAAAGTGGGTTATGTTTTCTTTGAAAGCTGTTAACTCGAATTAAGAAGAAAAAAAACCACATTTACACTATGATTTAGTATTTTATAAATATTGAAAAGAATCCATCCTTTTCCAATGTGATGTCATTTTTTCGTTGTTTCGGTTTCTAATTTTGTTTATCATATTGTTTTTCGTTGGCGCCCAAAACTTCGTTTCGCTTTCAATGCTGTTTCACAGTTTAGGCGAATGCATATAAACAAGTACCGTGGTGTTGTTTATAGTAGTGTTCTGGTTGTTTTTGGGTTTGAATAAAGAAAGTGATGAGAAAAATAAAATGCAATTGAATCAAGTGACGTCCACAACCATTCAGACCTTGTTAGATGCTAAAAATAATGAAAACATCATATGCATGTTCACACACTGTGCAACTGTAACCAGGAATGGAATCATCACTCAATCATTCGCTGGAACAAAATCACAACGCCGTGAATATATATTCTTGAATAAATTCTGATTTTATTGAGACGAGAGAAAAAAACCAAGACCCAATGATTGTTACATCTTTATAGTATATTCTTTTCATTTCAAAGGCTTTGGATTTCTTTGATTTTATGTGATTTTTTTCTTCTTCATCAATCGTTTATGCACTTCCCGATTAAGAAATCGTTGAAAAGACAACATTCGACTTAGATCTATAATATGTAAATAATTGATGTTGTGAAATATGCGAATTTAGCACGCGCATACACATACATCAAACGATTAGTGTTACAAAGAAATATTGCTTTACCTTTTTGTGAACTTTAGTTCATCAAATCAATATCATCTTCAATATTTATTATTCTTTCATAAAAACAAACAAATCTTTTCAACAGAATCTTACTTACAATTACACTCAATACTTCTCTTCATTTTTCTATTCGTCATTTTGTATAAGAAGAGCTTATAGAGAAAGTATTCAATGAACAATTGTTAAATTCTAGGATTGAGGGCATCTTTTGCAATCTGAAAAGAAACAAGTGCAAAACTAATGGAAAAGAAGAATGAATCGAAGGTAGAAGTGTAAAATCCAAAGAAATTAGACGTATTTTATATTCATATAGTTTTTATTTAGAATTTTATATCTATGACAATTGTACAATTACTAGGTTTCTTAAATACTATACGGTGCGACAATATCATTTTGTTTAATTTAAGATAATGTTCGTTTACTTTCAAGTTTTAGAGATAATTTTTCTTCTTTTTTTTTCGTTAAACACAAATTTTTTTCACGTTTTTAAAGCAATTTGCTTTCAATGATTTTCATGCAAATGAGATGGAAATAGTTCTATTTTCTAAATGGTGTTTATGCAACAGAGGCAACCTCAATTTTGTATGATACTAAATGGTTTTTACGGCGAAATATGTCATGATTCAACTTGAATAATATATGCGAAAGATGTTGGTTGATTTTTTTTTTATATGGATAGCAATAATTTATATAGCTTATTATATTCTACTTATATGTGTATGAGGAATGCGAATACGTGGATTTATTTACATTGTTATTTATGACTTATTCAAAGGTGAATTTATTTATTGCATAAGGTAAGCTAATGTTTGTTTTCATTTTCGTTCTGTTAATCTCATTAAATGCATATGGTGAAAAGTGCAAATTGATCGTTTGAATATCTATTTTCTATGCTTGAAAAATGCCATCAACCAACGACTGAAGTGGCAGTGTCCACACGTTTTCATCACACTTTTTTCTTTATTCTACATTTTTGTCGATATACTATTGTTTGTTTATATATATTTTTAAGTAGATGATTTCATCTGTTTGTGTTAAATTGACTTTTCTACTAATAAGACTACTGAAAATCAGCAATATTATGTGTGCTCCTCTCTCTCTCTCTCTCTCTCTCTCTCTCAATTGTAACTTATTCAATCTTGGGTCAATGTTGCATTAACACACCTTTTTTTGATTATTTGTCCATCTTGATCACTCGTCAAACAACATAAAAAAATCAGTTGCATACAGCATTTATTGAAAAATGCACAATCTTGGACATTTTATGTATGTGTTATTTAAAAAAAACTGTCTAGTTTTCGCGATTTTTTCTTTCTAATTCAAACTGATGCATTTGTTTGAGCTCATGAAATGGATTTTCTTTTCTTTTAAACTTGATAATAAGCCATGTGTGGTCTGTAATTGCTTACATGATTGGCGGAATGGGCTCCTATCACCGACGGTGGTGATGCCGATGTTAAACTACCATTTGGACTACCTGTATCCATGTGACAATTTTGATCGAAAAATTGACCATCACGATATGCAATTGCCGTATTTGTTGTGGCGGCCAATATTGAATTCGATATATTTGTTGCACTTATGGATACGCCTCCTACACTGCCGCTTGTGTTGTTGTTATGCAATGAGGTTGGGACATTTGTCACAGATTCTGGCGGCGTATCTGGTGGATTCCAACCACCATGATGATAGTTTGAATGGAATCTATTGAAATTGAAAGAACAAAAAAAAAATTCAAATATTTAACATTTGATTGTGCGATTGTTTTTTTTTATTTTCATTTTTCCTGATTTTTCTTATTTTTTGTGTAACATTCAATTTTGTCAATTTTTTTTTCTTTTCAACTACACACTACTCCCAAATTTTGGAACTCAGCAAAAGAGTTTTAAACCATTTTGATTTGCGGAAAATTTTCACTGATTTTCAAAGAAAAAAACTATACCACGAATGATCGAAAAATTCATAAAACTACATTTTTTTTCTTCGCAGTTTCGAAAGTTTATCAGCAAACAAAAAAAGTGTTTGAACAGAAAAAATGTGATGATTGATTTACCTGGCTTGTAATTGTAAGTTTTCATCGTTGGTAATGTGGTAAGGATATGAAGCGTGATGAATTCGCGATGAATATCCAGCATTCATTAGTGAATCAACGGTGAATCCATGTTCAGTAGCCGTTGCCAACTGACTAGTAATCGAATCACTTGCATATGGATTTAAGATTGAATTGGCGCCGAACATGTCTTTTGACATTAAATGCGATGATAGATCTAGTCCTGGTTCACGTTTAAAATGATGATATTGATGATTATGCTTAGCATCCACAACGGAATTTGTGGCCATTAATTTAATTGGTTTTATATCGACGAGTTGTTGTCGTTTGATTGTCTCCTCTTTTTCTCTGATTGCATCCTTTTTCTTGAAACGACGACGCCGTCGCAAAAATGAACCATTATCAAACATTCCATTCGAATCTGGGTCCAGTGTCCAGTAGCTGCCTTTGCCGGGTTTTTTATCGTCGCGAGGCACTTTCACAAAACATTCATTCAAACTGAGATTGTGTCGAATGGAATTTTGCCAGCCTTGCTTATTGTCACGATAATACGGAAATTTATCCATTATGTATTGATAAATGCCATTCAGTGTGATTTTATGATCGGGTGAGTGTTCAATGGCCATTGCAATAAGTGCGATATACGAATATGGTGGTTTAACCATTTCGCGATTGTTTTGATGTGGTCCGCCGATAGCATATGCTGTACCTGGATATGCGTACCTGGCATATTGATCGTGCATGGTGTATGGTGCCATGCCTGGACCACCACTTCCATAACCTCCTTGCGAGGTTTGATAATGACGAAATGAATTTTGATCGGTGAATAGCATGGCCATAGAGATAGAAACAAATCAAATTTTCAAAATTCGAAAACTTGTTTCACTCTCACGATTTTTTATTCTGTGTCACAAAATTTTTTATTGTTTTTTTTTTTTTAATTTTTTTTGTACCGTCGATATAAAAATCGGTTTTAAAAATTGTCAATTTTTCGAAATCGATGATTGTGAAAACTGATTGTTTTTTTTTTTAAGAAAAAAAAGCAGCGTAAAAATATAAATGTTGTTATAGTTTTTTATTTCACTTGAAATATGTTACGAATTGGTTATATGTGTATGTTTGAAAAACAACGTTTGCTTATTTAACTTTGAATATTATAATTAAAAACAATATTTTTTCACGCGACACAAAAAACAACACATCTCGTGAGCGTTGTCAGACGATAACTGTTTCAACGACTGAAATAACAGAGAAAAGTTTGCCTTCTGGTTTTCAATGTTCAGTGACGAAAGAATATATTCTGTAGCGCACGTACGTGTACACATTGAATGGCCTGTGCTTTGCCTGTAAGCATTCTTGCTCAGTAAGCACTGTAAGCTGATCATAGAATACCACAACAAAAATTAACACATACATTTGGTCGTGTGCGTGCAAATACGATGGTATATGTGAATGAATCTGCAGTCTCTTAGCACTCTCTCAGAGCATTCTATGTACGTACTCTGTGTTATAAAGAAAGGAGAGAAAATTGTTCAAATTTGTACATTTCTAAGTCTAGTGAAACGGGGATGCCGGATGCAAGCATGTATTTGTGTGCAAGAGATGAACCACAAAAGTGTTTTGATGTTTTGCACTCATACTATAGTAAGAAACACACACACACACACACACACACATGCTGTGTACTTTTGCGTAAACATCAATGTAGATGGATGGCTCAATGAATGAATGAATGTGTGTTTGGTGTGTGATATTCAACGATTGTGGGATGTATAATTTTGTTATTTTAAAGCATAGGAAACGGCCAGTACTCGACTATTTGGCATTTCCATTTTGTATACATATTCAATGGTTGAAAATTGTAACTCCCCATGGGAAACGATAATTTTATCATCGCACGCTACACTAAATCGACTCAACCGAAACCAACGAAAATGTGCATGCAATAAAACATCACGACAGTCGACACGACCAGAGAACCACACAGAGCCAATTGCTCGCACGCTTTGTCATTAAAACGAGACAACGATATTTTTGTGCCTGGGCCGCATCTATATTGACACAATGGGTAAATTTGTGTGTGACGATGAGAGGTGGGACTCACTCAGAGAGCTCAAATTGTTATTAATAATTATTATATTTTGTATGAAAACAAGCAAAAATGCGCGCACCCAAAAATCGAACCAAATCTCCATCTATCATATACATTCTAACTCTAATAACTAATTGGTCACGTCAATTTTATAGTTGGCCAAATTAAACAATGATATTTCCGTGAAATGATTCTATTTTCGGAATGAAAGAGATGAAAGAAAGGTCGGAGGAGAAGAAAGAGACATAGAATAATCGATACACGTTCAAATAAATTAGCCGAATTAACTTTTCGGTAAATAATTGCCAACATGTGTCATTATGATTGATTTTTTTAATTGTGCATTTGGCTTTAAAGTGGCTTAACAATTCGTACCATTTCGATTTGTACTGTATAATGCTGTAGAAAGAGAGATAGAGTTGCCGTTAAACGCTTCATCAAATATAAATATTTTCAAACTAAACATCGTTTACTATTTATTTACATTTGATGTGTGTGTATGTTGTCGTTTGGAGTGCTCAGTTCACGTGTTCGCCGTCTTTTTTCCACTTTTTAGTCGGTCATACTTTGCTGCGAATGATTTTTTGCTGACTATATTTACTGAAACTCGCAATTTTATAACTTAAAATTATATAGATATACACATGATATTGTGTATTGATTGTAATGTCTTAAATCGAATGCTTGGGGATATTTCCTGCTTTAAAAAAGTCGCATACTCGCTCTTTTCCTCTCATCCTCTCTCTGAGATGATGAGGTTATCCATTTATGTGATTTGTTGCATAAATAAATTCAAAAGTCACCATGCTATATCGCATTGGGTCAACACACACAAACACACACAGAGAGAGGGAGAGAGAGAGAGATAGAGAGAAAGTGAGGAAACAGCAACCCGAAATAAAAATAAAATCTATATATAGACGCAATTAAATGGAGACCAAGTATTTACTGGATGTTTGTTTATTTTGATTCAATACAATGTATGTGGTCTCCAATGAAATTTCACGACGAACGTGCGATGGAATAAAATCAACACTTTCATCGTTCCAAATGCGATTGCATTCTTTTTTTCGAGAGGAATTTTTATTTGCTATTCCAATGGATTATGGGAATACGCATTACACGCGTATATTTCATTAAAATTATGATGTTTATAATTAAATTTATTTCTTTTCCAAATACACTTGTTAAGAAGCGTTTTTATTGCGACTCAAAAATTTGCTCGTCGCTTTTCATGTGTGTGTTTGAGTGTGTTTTTTTTTCTTCTCATTTTCATTTTCTTTTGTATTTATGAATGAAATGATGTTTGTACTTATACGTTCAAACTCATTTGCAATCATTTTTATGATTGTTGATGGTAGAAGAAGTTCCGGAAGTAAAAAATTCCCCCAGTATGACACATTGTTGTCTCAAGTTTTATGGCCAAAACTACAATGCACTCTTACCAAATACAATGGGAACCAAAATGAAACCTTTTTTGCAAAATGTTCTGTTTGTGCGTGGACATTTTTTAAAAGAAGCTTAAATGTTTCATTCGAGATGAAATTTAATGGGAAAAAATTGTTGTTTTTTATACATCCATTAAAATGTGCTTCATTTGAATGGAAACAGTAAAAAAAAAAGAAATTTGTTTTTTAAATTTGTAAAATTGTCTGCCATTTTTGCTCATCTATTGCACAAAACCGCGACTTGCTTTCGATAAATATATATATATATATATATATATGCGTATTTCAAATGGAAGATGGCGTACGAGCAAAAGCAGAAGGTAAAAAAAGTAGTTATTCAGTGCTTTATAGCCGTGTGAATGCAAATGATTCTTGGGGGAAAAACCAGTTTTCAGAGAAAACAATTTACAAATGCAAATATTGAGGTGTTTTAAGCCATATAGCCGTTTCAAATTTCACACATAAATATATGATGGAAAGGCTTCATATAATTTATAAGCAACATCAAATGCAACAAGAACCAAAACGTCGATTTTAGAGATTGGTACAATAAAATCGGTACACCAAAAACGAGTTCCATCAACATCATTATATCGCGTGCATTTCAAATAACATGAAATAAATATGAAAAAACGACAATATACACGCCTCTCGCATTGTTTGAGGCCGTTGATTGTGCTTTAAGAGCAAACCATCCATGGTGATTGGTTGGTTGCGCATGTACTGTGTACACTTTGGCACGCCCATCGTTTACATTTCCAACCGCAATTCATATACGACAAGCACACAATTCAGTTTACCAACGAGAATAAAAAAAACACCGCAGCATACAAAATTAACAAAATTAAATGGACGTAAATTTCAAAATTTATAATATCATTGATATTATATCAAAACGGATTCACTGCGATCAAATCACTTAGGTAGAGAGAAATATGGTAAAATCTTGCATACATTTTATGCAATATAATATATGACGCGAAGCGAAGTCATTGCTACGAAAAACAAAATTTAAATATGTCTGATGTCTAAACTTTAATTTTCAGTTTTATGTTTTTGCTTCTGATCTGAATCGTTGCGGCGAAAGAGTAGCTCTTATTTTTCTCCAAATAATACTGCAACATGAAGTTTTTTTCACACAGTTTATTTGTTGTAATACAACAAATAAACTATTCATAAAAAACTTTATGTTGCAGTATTATTTGGAGAAAAATAAGAGCTACTCTTTCGCCGCAACGATTCATCTATGCATCCATTAATTCAAAATTGCAACATTGGGAAGAAATATTAAAATTAAATTTAGAATATGCTAATTTCAGGACAATCACGGTCCTTCAAGCGCTTCTTTAATCTCTTCCTTTCAGTATATCGCTCTCAAAATTTCAGCTAATTCGATTCAAAAAAATTCGTGATTACTTACAGAATTAATTACATTTGATGGATTTAACATTCTCCCTTCTGTTATCCAAGAGCACTTTGACCGAAACAAGAATTTGAATTAAATTCATTTTTCGAACCAAAAGAGATTTTACTGTATTCACACTTTACAATTATTCATGACGTGGAATATAAACTTCTGCTAATAGAACCTCGGAAAAGTTATTTCTGAGGAAAAATTTGGCATATGTAATGCCTAGAGTAGTAAATCAAATCATGGGAAAATTCACTTCAAGAATACTTCGATTAAGTTTTCCGGGGTTTCAACTGTATATAAGAAAAAACCACTATTTCTAATTTATGTATACATTACTTTAGAAGTACAATGTTGTTAGCACATTAAACTTAATAATGGAAAATAATTTTCATCGAAAATAATGATATTTTTTTTATATATTGTGAAAACTCAGAAGATCCGTATAAAAAATGTGAATTGGTTGTTTATAATTGGATTTGATTTTAATTTTGTGTGTTTGTATTTCGAATATTGACATTCTTACCTCTTTTCACATGCGGATAAAATTTGTGAATGAATTTGAAAGTATATTGCATCTGGCGTCAAAAGCAATAAACAACAATGACGGCATTATAAAATGTCTGCCATTTTTTATACATTTAAAATATGAATACAAATAGATTGTTCTAACTGTATGTGGGGAATTCCCCCCTAAAACTATGAATTATATCTATCGTTCAAAGTGTCAGATGAATATTTGCATATTTATTGTATGGAATTTGGTTTTTTTCTTCCAACATTTATCAATGGTGTTCTTTGTTTTTTTTTTTAATGAAATTGGCTTTCTACCTGATCGTAGCACATTCGAAAAATTATGAATGAACTATCCGTATACCGGTTGGAATTTGCTTCAGAATGGTAGAGTGTTTGTTCCTTTTACACCACCTCTATCCCTCTGCTTTTGTTCAATTCACGTGCTCATTAAAGGAAACAAAACTAAAATCATCTTTGCATTCATAATAATGTCGAATTTTGAGCTCGTTTACCTGCTTGCATGCAAAGTTCGACAATCAATATGATAAAGAAAGGAAGAAACTAACGAAAATAAAACTTAGGCCGCAATAAAAGTGCATCGAACAGCATCTCATATATTAATAATTTCGGAAGTGCGGGGGAAATTCCCATAGCTTTTTGTGTGTGCACTGTATTCAAGTGGTTTGGATACATATTACTTTACGATTCATTCATCTAAAGAAAAAAAAAAAGAAAAGAAAAGAAAGAACCGTGCTGTTGAGCCGGAATTCGGTAATAAAATTTTAAGACAAGTGCTTTTGTCTAATTAACAATGCTAGTGAATTTTGGTCAAACATTATTTTATTATATTGAAATTTAGTCGATTGGGAATGCTAATGCAACTGCTTAAACAAATTTATAACAATATTTCGAGTTCAATGGCAACAAAAGATGAACAAAAAATTAATCCATCAAACAGAGCAACCACTTTTAAGTAGAACAAAAAAAATTTTAACAAAAAATATCTCTATTTACAATGCTAAAAAAACACAATTAAAAAAATTATAGGTAGACAAAATGAATTATTTCATGGAAATAAAATGTTGAGCTTGTCTGTCGCTAATGGAACACACATGCATTCGATACTTTGCGTTCAATATTTATTTATTTATTTTAAAAGAAACAATAAAATGAAATCGAGATCCACCTAATGAATGGTGAAAAGATGCCACACGGCATGAGCTTTGCATCGTGATTGTCGATCAATTGAATGATATTCAAACGAGTTCGTTGAAAATGATTTGCAGTAAACGCGGTTATAAAAATAACACTTGATAGATAAATAAAATTGTGTGAATTGTGGTTCGCCCGGTGTGTATTATGATAATGTATTGAGACAAGATGTGAGTGTGTGTGTGTCTATCTCTTCTGCATCTGGCCATGAAATTCGTTTGAAACATACATATTTGCTGACATCGTGTACAACAAATTGTTTGAATTGGCTTTACATTATGATGTACCAATTGTATTGATCGTTGAAACATGTATTTTCGTTTAGCTTCAAAAATAACATCGTTCTGGTGGAAAAAAGCAGGACGAAAGGGCGAGATAGTGAAAAAAAATCCGTAGAGAAAAAGCACCACATTAAAAGGCTGATGAAAAGAAGGAAAAAAAGAGAGTTGCGAGAGAATGAGAGGAAACCTTTGCCTATCAAAACAACGCAGCGTAAGCGATAAAAATAACATTTGCAGCAGCAGTAACAAACGTAATACAATTCTTCTTTTGGACAGTAATAATCACGTTTTTCATATGCTGAATGCATGACATGGCCAATAATTTGTGTGTACATTCGTGTGCGGTGAGAGAAGCTTTTTCCATGCACCGCTTTTTTTTCGGAAAGGAAGAAATAATAATAATAAATGTGTGAGGATGTTGACAATATTCAGAAAGGTAAGAAGAGTGACTGTCCAAAATCAACAATAAATTATTGATTCTTTTGTCGATGTCCAGTCATTTTTAATCATTCAGAAGACACACAGCCGGGATTATTATAGCGTTAGTTTGTTAGTTTTTCCACACTGTCGCCCATTCTATACGTTTCATATTCGATGCATGAACAAATCACCGTCGATTGAGAGATAGTTTTCCAACAGTCTAATTTGTGCATGTACATACTTTTCGTCAAAAGATAATTCATTTAGAAGCAATAATTTTATTGTCTTCTTTTAGGTTCGATGTTGTTTTCTTTTCATTTAAGCTTCCATTGGATTATCGATATGATTGTATTGAGGGTACACTTGAAACGGTTAATGTTTCATGTGTTTTCGTATACACGGGAGCCGAAATATTATCCATTGAATGGCACATTTGATATTATTATTATTATTATTATCATCATTTCTGTTGATATTCATTGGAAATTTCTGCGTTGAAATAACAAAACTTCTTTGAGTCTTTCCCTCTATCTCTTTGTCCAGTGTATGTTATTCCTTTGGAATGTTCAACTGAAAGCAAAGCAAAGCAATGGGCATAGCACAGTTTATAGGAACTTTTTGGGAGCAATTGAAAATATCACTTTATAATTGAGTGCCACACTCTATTCTCATTAATTTGGAGCAATTGTTTTCAAAAATACATTTATACATATCTTGTATGTATCAATATAATATTTAAGTGACTTTTTTCGATAACGATCGATTGCGATGAGAGATAGAGAGAATAAGATAGAAAGAGTGGGATTTCAAGCACTTGCCTTTCGATGTCAGCGCATTAAAATGTTCATTGAATGCAATAAGTTGTATGAAAATCTTGTTTAAAATGCCTTTCACCTTATTCGGAACTGAATGTCCATTTTTTTCTGAAATGCTTCTTTTTGAGGCGAACATGTAAACGAGCGATAGCATCTAACCAAATTGAATACGATACGCACCATACTGAGAGCATGAGAATATACAGAGGTGTGGAAAAAGGAAAAACAACAAAATACCAAATAATCTGCCAAGTCAATGTTTTTATTTCATTCTGCCTGTTTACACACCTGAATTTGAAAAGACGTGCATTGTACATTTAATGGACACACTTGAAGTTGTCAAAGAGATCCGATTGTCGAATCATTATGTGTGTGTTGTGTGTGTGTGGGTGGGTGATGGCTAGTTGGACCAAATCTGGCTGGAAAAGCCATGATGCGTCAACGTCTTCAACAATGCCCTGATCACAATGGGAAATTGCATTTCAAAAATGCCCATTTGCGGATTTAATTTGAAATCCAATAAAACTGTACGATTACCATTTTAATTGTAGTTTTCTTTCTCACAATTTTCAAAGCCAAAGCATGTGTATTCGGCAATTGCTGGATAAAATAACCGACGAATGTTGTGGAATATGCGATTTTATACATGTGCGAAATGACAGAAGAACTGGGAAAATTTGTGTTTTTACTTCATAATCATTTTTATTTTTTTTACTACTTTAAACTTTGTTTACTCAAGAGCAAAGGATTCTGATTTTTTTTTTGCTTCTCCTTCTTCATTCACCAAATGGACTAATACCATTAAAATTTATGCAAAGAAACAAAATAAACTATAAGAAATAAGCCCATTTTGTTGCGAGTCATTGCTTCATTCATTTTGGGTTGTTCGGAGCGGTGTTAAAATCTTTTGCTAAGCACCAGATTTAAATGCCATCAATATTTTTGGTCGTAGTGCACAATAACGATTTTATGCCGATTACCTTATTGTATTTGAACGGTGGGAAAACACTGACTTGCCAAGTAAAATCTTATGACTTCATAATCATCAATGAACTCAGAATGTACTTAGAAAAATATCAATGGAAGCGCAATATGAATCAGAGTAAATCATTCGTTTTCTGGGGTTGGCCAGTTTTACTCATCTCAGGAACTTTTTTCATAAATCGTAATTTCAACTTTCAAGCTAAATTATAGCTTAAGATTCACAATCGCTCCATTTTCATATTTTTTTTAAATTTTATCCATAGTTTAAAGTAGCATAGTAAATCTTCACCTATAAATTGAAATGTTAACGTGTAGAACTAAACAACAGTTCAAAATATTCTAAATAAACAACAGATTCAAAATTGCCAACATCATTATCAGAGCTGTTATAGGAACCGCGGAGGTGCGGGCACAATTCTTATAATTGTTGCTCTTTCATGTAGACTTACCAGTGCCCGCACTTCTGCAGTGCCAATAACAGCTCTGCCCACTATCAATGATGTTATCCTGAAAAATAAGTGCATTTAGTGCTGGAATTGATACAAATATGATTTTGATTTGCGTTAAATAAAAAGAAAATTTGGTTTCCGAAATAAATCTAATATAATTTATTAATAATGTGGGTCTCTGCGTTTAATATTGCCTTCCTAAAAATTTTCTTAATATTTTCCAATATAACACGTTTGCTTGGATTTATTTATTTTATTCTTCTTTGTTATGTTTGCTTGAATATTAATTAAAAAAATAAACGTGGACGATACAACATAATATACATATAATTTAATTTGTAATCCAAAATATGAAGGCAATTACGCTTATAATTGCGATTAATATCATTGCGATGAGAAATTTCTTCTTTCGAATTTGATTGCGATAGTGACTAGCTTTTCGCAATTGTTCGGTACCTTCGGACACAAATACACTGGTTTGTTCAACCGACGATTCAATTGAGTCAATCACATTTCCTTGTTCGAATACTAGAGCGCCCAAATTCTTATAAATCTCATTCACACCGACAATACTTTCCTGAAACATTCAAATGGCAAAAAAAAAACAATGAAAAAATGTCATACAAACAAATCGACGACACATTCGAATGCATTCAAAAAGAGAAACAATTAAATAAGAAAAAAACAAACTCAAAGTATACTCACTTCTAATTCACGAATTGTTCGTTCTTGTTCTTCGAGTGCTTGCAGATCTATATCTTCTTGGAGTTGATTTTGTAGTTGGCCACCTTGTTGTGGTGATGAAAATGTGTCCATAAAGAATGATCCCTTATTGCTATTGCTACCTTGTGAACCGGGCGGTTTTGGAATGGCCACGTTATTTGATCGTGCCTGTCGATATTGACTCTTTGCAATGTCGACCGTCTTCTTTTGAACATTCTGAAATGCCGACACGGCCGCTGCAAATTCGTCAAGTAAACGATCCTTTTGAATTTTCAAATGTCGATCATCGTTTGAATTCACCAAATCATTTAGCATGCCTTCAGTGTCCTTGAGAAGCTTCTGTGTATACGTTCGCAACTGATGTCTAAACCAAATAATTTACATTAGATTTTCTCATAAATCCAAATATTCATTCAATCAAGGTATATTTTTTACTTACAATTGTTGTTTGTGATCCGGCGAATCTTGCGCTGTTCCAATCTGATTAACCATACGTTGCATAGTCGATACTGTGCAAAAAAAAAACAAATCCAATATAAAATGCAATTACATTACATTAAAAGAGAAATTGATCACCAGAAAAGAGAAAAAACAAATGTAACTCACCATTTTGGAGTATTTTCTGTATACTAGTTGCAATTGTTTGTGACAATTTTTGAAATTCAGCCTCACTACGAGAGGACTTACTGCTGGTCGAGTACGATGAAGAACTCATTCTAAAAAAAATAATAATCGAAAAAATAAATGTGATTAAAATTAATACGGAATTTGTCAACAAGATAGAATATAAAAAAACGTGCGGAAATTTCGTCGCAAATAATAGTGGAAAAATACACACAAAGAAAACGTTAATTGGCTTGGATAAATGTCCAGATGATTCATCGTCATTTATCACGTCACTGTTTGACAATAGATTCAATAATGTTTGTGTGAGACATTGTTTGTGAACATTATCAGTACAAAATATCGATAAAAATCTGGGAAAAATTGTCTACATTCAATTCATATCCAATATGCATCGATTGAATTGATTGAAATGTACATTTAAATTCAATTAAATTACTAATTAAATTCCTTTTCAATTAGATCATGAAATATGGTTGGATGAAATTGGGTTGCATACGAATTTCGGCGAACAGATATGATTAATATTATTCAAATGAGAAAAAACACCCAATTTTACGTATCTCAAATCGAATATACGATGATGGGTCAAAAAAAAATCGTACACACATTCACCACATACACACAATTGTGCATGGAATACATTTTACTCACTTTTTAATTTTGCACTAGATCTTTTTTTACGTGTTTTCTTAAACTAAATCTGTCTTCACCCAAAACGTTCCAATTTGTCTTATTTTACTCGTATTTAGCGTAAACTACGAAACCAATGTCTTGCAAATCACCAAAACACTTTACAAAGAATTGCAAAACAACACGAACACAATTTCGAAATTCAATCGAATTAAAACCAAAATACAATATATTTTCTATTGTTTGAGTGTGTTTTTTTCCTTTCATTACTGCCAATGACAGAATAATGTAATAACAGGCAATGTGAACAGATTTTGACAAGTAGCTTTGCGTACAAAAATAGCAAGACTACACGTATTGTGCATCGCGCATGAAAACAAATTTATTCACTGTCAGAGGCTGGTGAACGAAGCAGAAGGCATTGTGGACATTGCACTTTAGATTAGAATCTGATGTGATATACGTTTTTTATTTTCTAATTTCCTTCAAAAATAAATATTTGATCATTTACAGGCCATTATTCCAATTGTACATTTAACGCCATCTCTTTTGAATCGCATAAACTATTTAGTAGAAAATGTGACATTTTATACTTGGCATACGAACCTTGGTATAAACAGTAAGTTTGGTTTTTGATACTTAACCTTTTGTATCTCAGTCGGCATTCATTAGCAGATAAATAAACTTCACGACAGTGGCAAAAGGGAAAATTGTTTGATTTCAACAATTGTCGGCATTTTTAGTTGAAGAAATTTAAAAATCGCATTTAAAAAAGATGTCATCACCAGCATTATCACCAGAATTATCTGAGAAAAATAAAAAATACGATCGTCAATTGCGGTGAGTAATTATTGTCATTTTGTGTTTTTATTGCAAACATCCATATTTTACGTATTTCATTCATTGATACAAATAGATTATGGGGTGAACATGGACAATCACTTTTGGAAGCAGCACAATTGTGTTTAGTTAATGTATCGGCACTTGGTACGGAAATTCTGAAGAATATCGTGCTACCTGGCATCGGCGGCTTTACGATCGTTGACAGCGGCCTCGTCACCGAAGAAGACATTGGTTGCAAGTAAATTATTTTTGCGATTGATCTCGTGACAGCACATTTTTGTTGAATTTTTCGGTTGCACTCAATTAACTCATCAATTAACTTTTTAAATTTTCTCATTTTTTTTAGTTTCTTTTTCGATACAAATTCGGTTGGACAGTCACGAGCAAAATGTAGTAAGCAATTATTGCAAGAAATGAACCCAGATGTGAGCAGTGATTATCTGGATGAAAGTGTCGAAACAATTTTGAGCAATAATCCGGAATTTTTCAATTCATTCAAAGTTGTCATTGCGTCGTCGCTGAAAGAAAAGACATTGCTCACATTGTCACGCATGTTATGGGCACAAAATATACCATTTGTTTATTGCCGATCAATTGGTTTCATTGCATCAGCTCGTCTTCAATACAAAGAACACTTTGTCATTGAAACGCATCCGGACAATAAACAAAATGATTTACGGCTAGAACAACCGTTTGATTCATTGAAAAAATATCTAGACGTATGTATTTGAACAAAATAACTTTGCAACGATAAAATGGTAATTTTTCTTTTTATTGTTATAGAACATTGAACTTACGCACAAGGTGCCGTGGATTGTGGTTGTATATAAATTCTTAAAAGAATGGCAAACGACTTCTGGCAAAATGGCGCCGAGTAATTACAAAGAAAAATGTGAATTAAAAAAGCTCATTCAAAATGGTAAGTATTAAAACTTGGATTCAATTCAACTGCTGCATAATTGTTCATTAAAATGTTTAATTTCAGCGATCACAAAGGAAGAAGAAAATTACGAAGAAGCTGTAAAAGCGATTAATTCGTGTTTTGGTGGCGGCAGACCAAGTGCCAAATTACTGGAAATTCTGAATAGTCCAGCAAGCAATCAATTGAGCAAAGAGGTAATAATTGACGATCATTCAATCGATATGTTCTTTCATAGAAAATTTTTTCATGTTGTAGACGAATGTGTTTTGGATTTTGGTGCGTTCGGTGAAGGATTTTATGGAAGAAGATAACAATGGCTGGCTACCATTGCCAGGAACAATACCTGATATGACGGCCGACACAGAAAATTACATTAATTTGCAAAATGTTTATCGGCAAAAAGCATTGAACGATGCCGATTTGGTGTACAAACGTGCCCAACAATATTTGCGTGAATTGAATTTGCCCAGCGATTTGATCACTGACAAAGATGTAAAAGTTTTTTGCCGTGAATTTAGCACGATAAGTGCATTGAAAGGAACATGCATTGCTGATGAATATGAAAAACCATCGGCTAATGTGATTGCTGGCGAAATTGAAGCGGCACCAAATTCATTGATGATGATTTATATTGCGCTTCGAGCATTAGACAAATTCGAATCGGAACATGGCACATCGCCGGGTGATATTTATGTTGAATCGGATACAGCTCGCATCAAATCGATTGCGCACAAATTCCTTAACGAATGGGGAATCACAGCATCCTTCAACGATGAATGGGCACACGAACTTTGCCGATATGGCGGAGCTGAAATCCATACCGTATCAGCATTTATGGGTATGTATATCTCTTTGTTTACTTGTGTGGATATTTAAAAAATATAATTATTGAAACCGAATTACATTTCAGGTGGTTGCGTGGCTCAAGAAATCATCAAATTGATTACCAAACAGTATATACCAATCAATAATACTTTCATCTACAATGCAATTACCTCCGAATCTGCTGTTTTTAAACTATAATACATGCAATTCCAGCAATTTTCCGTTTTCAAGTATGAACATAAAAAAACTCCATACAAAATCCAAATAAAAATCCTTGTTATTTAAACAAAATTATTTTGCTTCCAGTCCAGAACAAAATACGGACTGTCATTTAATTTTTTTTTGAATATATTTTCTATTATTTATTATGAAAAAAAATCATTTGATTGTTTTTTTTTTTTTTTATTTAAAAATTATTTTTGAAATCAGCCCATGGCTAAAGTACTCATTGGCATAAGTACTCAAAATGTCAAAGTAAAGTGCTGTTCACAATAGCATTGGAATGTTTATAGAAAATAAGCAACGATTGGCATTATTTGGTACCACCTCGGTGCGGCGTTTGTTTTATTTGTGTTTTGTCGTTTTATTTCGTGTGCCTTTTATATTCATTTTCAGAGTATAATTGAATATTTTTCTTTAAGACTTGAATTAATTTGAAATTGAGCAACGAAAAGTGTTTCTCTTTTTGTTAAAATGGCTGCAATTCGTCATTTGGTAACAGTACCGCTTGCACTATGTTCATTCGTTGGTGTCTTTTATGCCATTGGAAAATTGATGGTATTTTTATCGTTGCCAGTGAAAATTCCAATTCATCAAGTTTGGCTTGTGAATTTACTGGATGACTGGAGCAAAATCGAAACAGCTTTACTACCTCTTACAACTGACGCAATTTTAATTTTCGCCTTCATCCTACCTCATAGTTTTCTACGAAATGACATTTTCAAGTCTCTTTTGCAACGAATCGGACTATCATCCGCATCAAGATGCATCTACAATTTGGTGACATCAGCTTCGCTTTTGGTAGGAATACCTATTGATTGTTTAGCACAAATGAATGCTAATTTTAAGTGACTTTCGATAGCTTTTGATAGGCAAATGGGAAAGGGTGCCATCACTGACGCTGTGGAATTTCGATGTTGAGTCCAATCAAATTCTTTACTGGGTATATTTTACTCTGCATTTCGTTGCATGGATCGTGATTTATGGCGGAAGCATTGTTATGGATTTACCCGAGTTAACTGGCGTGAAACAAGTATGTATCATGTTTTTTGTTTCTCTGCAAATAAGAAGCTATTTCGAACGTTTTTGGTGTAAAATTCTCTTGTAGGTTTACTATGATTGGAATAATTTGTTGCATCCATTACAATATAAATCGCCCCAACTTGTTGCTTTATATGATCACATCCGTCATCCATCATTCATTGGATTTTCTCTGATTTTGTGGTTCCCAAACATCATGAGGTGAGATATTTTTGCCATTATTTAAACAATTGCAGTATCTTCTCTATTACAGATTTTCTCATGTTTTTTTTCTTCTTATTTTTTAAAGCTTTGATCGCCTTCTCCTCGCCATCTTATGGACAACATACATGTTTATTGCTTGGAGAACTGATGCCCAAGATGTAGCTTACCAACGCGAACAACTTCAGCGCAAAAAAGCTGAACTTCTAAAGTAAAACGATTACCTCATTTAGTTACAATCAAAAATCTACCTAATACAATACTCTCATCAAATCACCGCCAATATTACCTTTTAGTCAATGTAGTTAAATATCAATTGATGCAGAGCTAAAGTTCTTTGTCATTCAATCAATGAAACATTAAATATACAAACAGTTCATTTGTACACCGACTTTTAAGAAAATGAAAATGCGTATTATTTCGTTTTTTTGTAGGTAATTTAATTCTGAAATTGAACAATTTTGGGATCGAATGGTCCTTTGAATGGAGATCCTTCAGCGTCCCAAGCCTTTCGCAGTAATTCTTCTTGTTTTATTTGCTCCGAAGTTGGTTGACCTATTCGAAATTTAAAAAAAAAATTGAATCTAATTCGTTGTAAAATTATGTGAATAACCTTTTAGTTTTTGGTGTTCATCAAATTGAATTTGATTGATTTGGGCCTGAGTTTCAGCCGAAAGTTCTTCCAATGGACGAGAACAATCTATTTGATTCGCATCAATTTCGCCTTTTTCGTGCTGAAGAAGTTTCTTCCACCAAATCTCTTTTGTTTTATCTAAAACGTCCATACCAGAAAATTCAACAATAATTCGAATCTCAAATCAAATTTCGGTGGATGTTATTTACCGATACTAATATTAAGTTTATTTCCACCGGTTATCGTCCACATCGTATCTGGTGCCTTACATTTTTCGCTCAATTGACCCCTGAGAATGGTTATGCGCTCCCCATTCAATGTTGCGTATATTTCAATAGACGTATATGTTATATTTACTTTAAGATTTTTTGATGTAACATGTTCCGGCAGTCGAATATGAATTTCTGTATAGAAAGAACAAAATCATTCTCATTCAATAATGTTTGTCTTGAAAAATATCCATGAAATGGTCAATTAAAATGTTGCCGTCGAATTACCAATTTCGGTGAATGTTTGGCTCCAGCAATAGTTTGATTCATCATAAAGTGCTCCGTTCGAGTAATCGGATGCATCAAAAAATGGTAATTGGTCAATCGATTTGGATTGTTTGCCGGTTGTAATTTTTGTTTCTACCGTAGTCTCAATTTCCACTTCGTTTGCCGTCAAATTTGAAAAATCATAAATTATTTCATTGCTTCGATCCATGTTTTTTTCATTTGCTATTTCTCATCCTTGGTCAAATGGAGAAATTAACTCAATTTTCATTTGATGCAGAAAAAATTCCCGTAAATTGAACAAAAAAAATAATATATATATACTTTGAACTGTTCAGTAAATGTCAAAACATTAAGTTGCGAACACATATACATATACAGCGCGCGCTAATCGAATATAAACAATCACTTGAACGCTCATTTGGCATGAAGTTGGTTTTTGCAACAAAAAATTTGCTTTGACAGCATTTTGATCGTATGTGTGTTCGTATTGTATGGTATTTATTTATATTTTAGTTGACAAAGCATATACGATTGTTTGATCAATTTTGTTTTCATAATTTCAATTGTAAAATGTTTGAATTGTAAAAAATCGACCGTAACTAATTGGCCAAGATTGGTCGTTGGACTGATTATTTAATTGTTTGAATTGCTAATTACGGTGTATATTCTTTTACCGCTAATTTCATAACAATGTTTAAATCGTTGTTAACCGCAACACGACCAAAGGAACCATTAATTTTAAATCATGATCCGAAAATTTTTGTTAACGAATGTATTGTACAATATTTGTTGACACATCAAGTAAATGGCGTTCGATTTTTGTATCGTAATTACAAAAAGGTAAGTCAAGCGTTGTGTTTTTTTTTTTCTTATTTTATCAATGAAACTCGTACTAATCATATGTTGTTGTCCTTTTTTGTTCATTTGGGGGGGGATTTCAGAGTAATTCATGTATTTTGAACGACGAATGTAATTCAGGGAAATGCTTTCAATGTGTTGCATTCGTTGATGCAATTCTACGGACATCAGCATCAAGTCGTATCTTAATCATTTGCCAACGTAAACAATGTTTAGAGTATTGGCAATATCATATAGACTGTTTTTTAGAAAATGTAAATGCCAAAATAGTCGATAGCAACAATGATACGCAACAGCACAATACTCTTCCCACAAATGGTGCTATAATCGCATCTTTGGATCACGTTCTGAATCATTCGTCGATTTTCACAACGAATAAATTCGATTGTGTAATTGTACAGGATCAAAATCTACAAATAACAAACAACATCTTCGAACAGATCAAACAAATCGAGGCTACATCAAAAATTGTACTTTGCAGCAATGATTTGATGGTAAGACCTACATGATGAAAGTCAATGAAAACAATAACCACTTCTAAAATGTTTTTTTTCTTCTTCAAAATAATTTTTCAGGATGATCTGTCGTACTTCTATGAAGTATTAAAATTCTGTGATCAAATGTCTCCATTGACACAAGCGAATCGTACATTAACGCTTGACGAATTCAAACAGAAATTTGGCTGCACAGATAAAAGTGTTTCAAAACGAAATCGAATGTTTAGACAGAAAAATTTATTAAATGCATGCAAGTAAGTGAAATGAATGTGACTTGTATGGATTTCAATGTGATAGGGTGAATATTAACTTGATGATTTATTTTATTTCAATAGCGATTTCTACATACGTCGACTTACCAATCAGTTTGGTTCACAATTTCCACCAGTTTCAATTGAAGATTTTCTACATGATTTTGGTGCTTGGAAAACGGCACATTTTAACACAGAATCGATCACACCAAATGTGAACGACACATGTTCATCCATTGAATTATTTTCAAATTTAACGAATCAATCGATTGCGTCCACTACCAATGGGGAATCATCATTGCTGAATACCGCCTATGCGGATTTATGTGATTTCGACACCCAAATGTCACCATTAGTTTATTCCGATTCGGATAACGAAGATGCAACGAATCATGTTCATGATTCATCAAATACGGCTAGCCAAAGAATGATGACACCAGAGATTGCTTGCAATCAGGAGCATGCTGCACGCGCCAGAACACGTGCAACGGCCAAAGCGTCCATTCTTGCAACTGCACAAACACATACGACGCCTATTAAACGAACGAATCGAACGCATATTGAACGAATATCACCCGGTGGAGCAAACAAACGGCTGAACTATAAAAAATTACCGATTCAAATAAATTCGATAGCCAAATCAGAGCTCAAATCAAAAACATACTTATTTCGGACGAAAAAACAATTGCAGGCAAATTCGTCGAATTCGAATGATATCGAAAGTGAATATTTATTCAAACCATGCCGTACCCATACTACACGTAAACAAAGTGCATCATCAAGCACATCTGACGTTCAAATCATGTCACAAAAACAAATGACACCCATTGTAATCAATTCAACACCGGAAGATGAGCAATCACAACCACCGACCAACAATCAAACCGAATTGGAAACTGAATTTAACACCATTTGTCCGTCGCCTGATTTATTCACGAGCTTTTCGAGCGGAAAATCGGATGTAGAGAAAACTAATAGCCAAGAAAATCGATTTAACGAAAAGGAGAATGAGACTGAAAGCGTAAAAATTCGCAATGTATTTGGTCCACCGGATGAATGCGATGATATTGATCTATTATCGAATACAAATGTGGATGTTTTTGAAATCACCAAAAATAGCGCATTCGATAATGTTTTGTGCAGTGCTGATGATAGAATAACACCACTAAAACGAAGTCAATCAACAACGAAAAATCCAAGTCCAGTTGTTAGTTGTTTGAGTGGATTACGAGTCATTTTGCCTCGGCTGAATAATCAACAAATGGAACAAATCCATAATGATTTGTCGACGCCGACTGAAACGCAGATGCCACAACCAAATCTATCGGATTCCGATGATGTGATTGATTTAACACTAAATGAGTCACAGCGAACTATTGAAATAAATTCCGATGAAAGTTGTCGAATTCGTGAGAAAACACCGGAACGAAAACAAGAACTAACACCATCGACGCGATCGTGTTTAAAACGAAATGGAACCACGGATGAAACACGAAAAAAATCACCATATTCACGGCTTGGTTGGTTAACATCGTCGAGAAGAACAATATCGCCAAGAGGTGAAACACCACAATCACGACGACGATTAGATAAATGGCGTCGAAGAACCGACGAAAGTAATTTAAAGGCAGACGAAGTTGCAAAATTATCACGACCACGAAATCTGTTCAATGAATTTAAGTCGAAAAGTTCAGGTCGGAAATCACGAAATGATATACCATCAACGAGCACCGCAAGGAGTCCAATTATTTTTTCAGACCAGGAATAAGCATAATATATATTGTTTTAATAGAAATTACCTTCCTTTTTCACATCCATTCCCATTTTATTTTAATGTTGAAATAAAACCCATTCATGTACAAGATGAAAAGTAGATCGAACATTTATTTATGACTTTCTTTTCTTTTAATATAAAACCAACACGATATGGTATTTTTATTTCTTTTATAAGTTTTTATTCAGTTTGTTGAAATGAACAGATAAATTCTGCATAATTGCTTTGCGTTGGAATTCAACTTCGCGCCTACAAACGGGTCCAAAGAATGGAGGACATTGATAGTTCACGGTTTCGACAACGTAGGTATCTGATCCCCTTGTCACAAACAGAAATTCACCGGTTGAATACACTGAATCGAAAGTTAAGATTTAAGTTTTAATATCGCAATGAAACAAAAAAATAATCATGAAATTATCAACTTACGGCAATATAAGCCACCGAGAAAGCAAGTCCGATGATCGGATGTCACTGAGTATTGACCACGTTCGTCTTGAAGCAATTTTTTCACTACAAAATCAGCTTCGGCCACATTGATCCAATACGGCCAATGTGAAAGACGTTCTGTATATTCGATGGAATATTTCCAATGGTTAAAGTGTCCTTCTTCTTTTGTGACTATGAAATTTAATCTATATGCGATGAAAAAGCATTGGAAATGAAACAATCATATCAACTATGAATAAATATGCAAAATAAACTTACATTGTTGGATTTAGTTGATGCATTTTATGAAAATCGGCCACATATTCCCAAACCAATTCTGACTTTGTATTCGGGATGATGATATCGGATTTGTATGTGTTACGGCTTGCCGAAAAAATCATATAAAATAATAATAGTCCAATACCCAATGTGGATAAGTGACGTTTATTCCATCGTCTTGTCTGCATTCTTGCTTTGTATTTTTCTTTTCGTTTTACACAATTCGATCTTTGATCAGTCGATGTACACGAAATAGTGCTTTACTTTCAAATGATCTATTTGATTTGTTAAAAAAAACTTTATGTCTCAAATGTATCCAAGACGATTATTCGGTCAAGAATATTTTATCGCAACACATTCAAAATTCCGAATGCATAATATATTAGGAAGATGGAAATGAGACGATAAGTTCGAGTCACTTACATCCTTTTCAGATAAAAAAAAAAACATTGTGTAGCATATGTATCACAGTTTAGTTTATAGAGAACTTGAGACTCTTTTTCATATGAACGTCGGTACACATACATCGACAATTTTTTTTCTTCCTCTAAACTAAAGTATGTAACTCCTCTAAACAAGTCGTTAATTTTTAGGCTGTGATTGAGGAAATGTAATTTTCTAAGAAGAAATTTATAATTTGCAGAAAAAAAATTTAGAATGAAAAAAATTGAATGCAAATCATTCTCTTTTTTATCGCATTCAATGTTGTTTTTTTTTTTTTTTTTTTTTTCAAAAAAAGAAGAAAGAAACGTCATTTTAAATGTAAAATGTCAGCATTATTCCAATTACAGATTTTCGACGGAAAAGTTAAAAACTCATGAATTAAAGCGCCCAAAAATGAACAATCGGAATTCATTCATGTTTAAACCGAAATAGATGTATCATTTAAATAAACATCTCAATTAAAGGTTCTTTCAAAGTTCATTTGAGCGCGCACTGCAAAGCAATCATACATTTAAAAAAGTGTACGCTTCGAGAGAGCCTCCCTCTGTCAAATACACATACAAACGAAAAAGCGAATGCAGCGCCGATGACTAATCTGCCAATATGGTTGAATACATTCGACTTTCTTTATTTGATGTCATTACTCTGTTCCATTCGATGAAATACATTGTAAATTATATTACAAAAGATACTGTCAATTTTATTGAATACAAAACTATATAATCTTGAGTTAAATATTATTCATTCAACAATCAACTGGAGTGGAAAAGAGTTTTTTTTGACGAAATAATTGAATTAAAAGCATTGACTGCTGTTGCGAAATATTAAGAGACAAAAAATAGAACGAAAGAAAAAAGAAGTGTAGTTGAGACTGGAAAGTGAATTGAGTGAATTAATAACAAACACACCGAGGTCTATCAAAAGGAAGAAAAAAGTAAATAACACTTGATTTTTCTTTATTTACCATCGAAAAACTATGATTTGATTGAAAATAAGAGGAAAAATATTTGTGATCAGTAAGAATGCCATGCAAATGGAAAGGGTTTTGTAATATGTTAGAAATGGAAATTCAGTGTAATGATATGTGCTTTGTTGTGTCTGGTTTGTTGTGTTTTTTTTTCTCTTCATTTTCGTTCTCTTCTGTCCGAAAAATTTTCGTATATTATTTTTGAGTAGATGTTTTCTTTCGTTTTAAAAGTGTATGAGTGTATGTGTATGTGTATGTTTGCGTGTGTGTTTGCGTATAGACGCTTGACGTGTCGTCGTCATTCTGTAAATAAATCAAATATGAAAACATCGTATTTTAAAATGGTCAAATAAAAAAGAAAATCTGTTTAATTTTTCTGATTTTTTGTCGTCGCCAAGAATCAAGCCAATGTTCCATTTTCGTATATTTTATAATATTTGTGTAATAATGTCAAACTTGACGCGTCTTATTTTCCTAAATTTAATCGAGTTATCTTTTCGTCATTAAATTTTATTTTATACATCATTTGATCATAAACATGATTTTTATCGTATAAACTTTTTCTTTTCATTGTGTTTTTTTTCTTTTACTTTAGAATCTGTGTGTGGCTACAGCCGTCATCGTGTGTTTACATATAAATATTATTGACCTACCTGCAAAATCGTTTAGTTGTTTCTTTTATTAATTGTTATCTAAAGTGAGTGTGTGACGGTTGTTGCAGAAATTCCATTAATTGCGGTGTTATTATTATACGGCACAACATACACATAATTATGAATACGGCGAATTGAATTGAATGTGTGTGAGAGAGAGAGAAAATAAGACGAAGAAATTCAAGAAGAAGAAGAAGAAGAAGAAAAAAGAACACCAACGAATAAAAACAAGAATATCAATTTTTGCATGCAAGAAGTTCAACGGCATTCTTGAAAGTAGTGTGTGAATTGTGCTGTAAAATCAAAAAGAAATCAATAAAAAACAAAAATTTCGGACACGTACATACGGAGAAGAAAGGAAACATTAAATCGGCCCCTAAAAGACGAAAAAAGAAAGAAAAACAACAGAAAAACAAGTACAGTTATTTGAAATTCAGCTAGGATATTATAAGTAGCAACATTTGTTGTGTCGAAATCGATAAAAGCGGTCAACAAATAAGCCACAAAGAAACACACTGAAAATTCCGTGCAACGAAACACAACGACTGGATAACCAATTTTAACGTTTTTTTTTTGTATTAAACCCGAATGACTGAGAATTGATCAATTTTTTTTTTACTTAGTCCAATCAGTTCGACTCTTTTTTGTATTATTCATTTTTAAAGCCTGAGTTTTCAAATTTTTTTTTATTTTTTTTTTGACAAATTGGTAAGTGAAATTTATGTTTTTTTGCGTTGTTTTCGTTTGATTTCGCGTGTTTTATTATTTTATAAATGAGTTGATAATATCGAATTCAAAATGAAGTTTATATTTTTTTCTGTATTGGTTTATGTGTTCAATCATGACATTTTCGTGTTTCTATTGGCATGCTCTATATCGGTTTGATTTTATAATTTGCCCGTGATCGTACACAAAATGGAAAAGATCATGGTTTTATTCTAAATTGATTCAAGATACAAACATTTCCATTGTGATCAACACCATTTAAATTGGATTAGCACATTTGATCGTGCAGCTTTGATATATGTACACAGTAAAGTATTGCTTGTACTTAAAATTAATAAACAGATAAGGATATAAAATAACAAACAACGATAAGATTTCACAATAACATTCCTCTCGACATTTTTCGAGAATTTTGCTATTTTCTTTTATTTCGCTCGAAAATATATACTTTAATCAGTCCATCATATTTATCATATTTTTGCCAAAATATCGTAAAAAGGGATTTCTTTCAATGAATGATCACTTCCGTACGGTAGTTACCACATTCAAATTAAGTGTATAATTGATTAAACAGGTTAAATTAAACTTGAATATTTGCTTCCGAAACCATTCAAAAGCATAGGACACGTGACTATATTTAATAAGAAACACAAATGGCGTGTATTGTTTATGTGATACAAGATTATAAATTTCATTTAAATCGCTTGCTTGTTAATGGACACCGGACAGTGTGTTTTACTACATTAATCAACATTTACCTTGTATGTAAATAAGTTTCATTCGATTGCGTTCATTTTATTCAAATATTCTCGAGTAATTGAATTGGACGATAAATTCAAATGTATGACACACATTCTATTTCATTCTCAGATGTGGAATCTAGTCGAAACTTGGCCTCATTGAAAATTTGCTAATTATTTTGCATCGAACATACTTGAATGATAAAAGAAACATCACCTAATCATTGTCTGTTCAAATTGAAAACTTATTGCCTTTTAATTGTGTGTTTTGATAACAAAGTCTGGAAGAAAATCATAAAAAACACATATATTTTCGCAAAACATTCACCAATAAAAATGAAATATTGATAATAATAAACAGCTTGTCAAACAGTTGGAAATCACAAAGAAAGATAAAATTTGTTATCGAAAAGCGTCTGCACGAGTTTATCGCTCTTTGTGCTCTTCTTTTTTTTTCAATGCAATCGTATATACATTGTTCCGAATGTGTTTTGTAAGTGAATTGAATGCGCATTTTCCCATCAAACGTAGAGAATAGAGAAAAAGAGTGAAAATCAAATGAAAGCACGCAATTCAAAGTGTAAAAAACTCATAATGCAGAATGACAAAGAACAAAGACGCTCAAATGGATTTGTTTCGACAATGTCGTTACCGTTTCGCTTATTTCACATTGAAAATAATATGATTGAATGGTGGAAAATTGTGGATATTTTTCCTCAAAAAAGAAACAAGAAGAAAGAAAAATACATATACATGGTTGGCCTTAAACTTAAAAAAGATATCAATGTATGGTTCAATGTATATATGATAATTGACATTGATAATTAAATTAGATTTATTTATTTGCATCACAACAAACAAATATCAAATCTAAACGGATTCGATGGATAGAAAAAAAAATGTTTATTCATATGTATTTGTGTGATGAATATATCCATCGGTGAGAATGACCAATGGTTTATTTTAAAAACACATAGAGAATGAGAAACTGAAAGAGAAAAAAATGTCTCGAAACATATATTTATTTACATTCCATTCAATTCACATGTATATAAATCAAGCGTGTACACTGCACATCAACCCGAACAATTGAAGAAAAAAGGCATCTCAGTTTGGTGAAATAGAGGTCAATTTAACTGGTTTGATTCCAATAGACAGACACACACACTCCACTGATTGTATGTTTAGCTTGGTCAGATAAGATCTGTGAGCATGCAATAGGAATTGGGAAGAAAAATAATGCGACAATTCTGCATAAAAGAAACCACACAATCTCTACTTAATGTTAGCCGGTTTATGATGCACATAAATACCGAAGCATATTTCATTGAGCTCGACTACAAAGTGTGCATACAAAGCGGTAGGTCTACATCGATTCAAATGAAAGCAGACTTAGAAAGTCGATCTCAATGACGGTGTGTGTTTCACTATTATTATTGCTTGAATGACGACGGCCAATGACGTCGCTCAATTTGTATGGAATATGGACGAACATACAGCATCATTCTTTCATATACATAGATATACATTTTTTAATGAATCGAAAAAACCTCTCAAATTGAAGGAAAATAACATTTACATTGAACACACAAAAATACGGCATTCTATTAAGAAATAAAGCTGTTATGCATGCGCACTGCGTCAAATTATTCATGTTTCGAGAAAAGGAATGAACGAGCCACAGCTCACGAACTTCGAAAGACCATTCACCGCTGTTTAGAACCATATGAATAGAATAGAATCATTTAAAAAACATATTTTCATGTGATAGAGCATATTTTCGAGTGAAAATCAGACATAACTACAATGGTCATTTACGGTTACGTATATTTGAGGTATCGATTTTTTAGTCCATGTTTGGTTGTTGTTTTTTTGTTTCATTTCTTGTCCATATATCTTGTTTGTTGTGGTTTATTTTCGTGTAATCTACAAAAGAATAATCGTGGGCGGTGTAGCACATAAAGATTATAAGTGTGAACGTCATTTCACGTTTTTTTCCTCCATCTGAAAACTCATTGATGAGTGAAAACAAAAAAAAAACAAAAGCACTTGAAAAAGATAGTATGGAATCGTGAATGAATAGAGATGACCATATCTCCATGGAAAACCAAATAGCCAAGTTTCAAATCTAATTTATGTAACTCAAATGTGACTCAGTGTCGAAAGACTCGACATTAAACATGGACAACGTATGGTAGAAACACGTGCATTTTTACAACATTTCTTATTCATATTCTTCTGTACGTAATTGATAGCTATGTCCTTTTGCATTTTCACCGAATTATATGCGCTATTCACTTTCTTGCAGCGTAAGTCTCCTTGAGTCATCGACGAAAAAATGAAGAAGAAAAAACACCGTGCGATTAGACGCAGTCGGCGAATAAGCAGGTGTAAAAAAAAACAAATCAAGTTCGACCGACGTATCGAATTGAGACGAACAGTGAGTGTGAAGAGAAACAACAGCAATAATAAACAAACAAACTAATAATAAAGAAATTTGAGGAAACAATGCACTGTAAGGTGGTTGAAAATTTTCAGGGCCGTTCGCGTAACGACTGGATATAGAAATTCTACGGCTTCCGCTACATGTATTTGAATTCAAATTCGTTAAAAGTAGTAATACACACGGAAACCAAAAGAACTCACTTACAAATCATACGGTCGCTTGTCTACAATTCATATGCTCTACGTATAAATGACATAGATGAAAAGAAATAGCGAACGAAAGAAGGGAAAAAAAGATAGCCTCTATGCTTTTTTTTCCTTTTAAATTATGTTATGTGAGCACCTATAAGCAGCGAACCATTTCAATATATGATGCATTCAAAATGCCCAAAAAAAAACGAAGAAAAATAAATTCAACGACAACCAAACGAAAACTCTGACACACACTCATTTATGTGTGCGATGTGTGGTGTACGAGTATACAAAATAAATTAAATTATTTACTATCGCATTGGTTTCCTAGATAGTGAACAATGCACTACAGTTTGTGCTCATAATATCCAAAGATATATACCATACAGCACACACAATTTTGTTGGTATATTTTTATTTTGTTTTGGTTCTTCAACGCAACACGATATTTACATCAAAAGTTAGTCTATTCGAAAACAAAGTATGTTCAGAAATTGTTGATTTCAATAAAGCAAGAGAAAAAGAGAATAAACGACATCAATTTAATTTATCCAAACATCGTAAATAATCTTTACATTCGTGTTGATATTCTCAAATCAGTGTTTGAGATTTGTTGGAAGCTTTTTTTCTCTCTCTTTAATTAAAATACACATTTTTATTTCCAAACGAACTGTGCTTGCGTAAAGTTGTTATTTTGTTTGGCAATTTTGAAATAAAATTCGGCACGACCCTCACGACTAAAACCTTAATTGTAATTATGAATCATAGATGATCATATGACGTTAACTGATTGAATGTTTTACTTATGCTTGTGTGTGTACGTGCGTACTGGTTTTATTTTATCATTGTCGGCATTGTATGTATACATGGCGATATTTTGGAGTGGGTATAATAAGTGAAATCAATTTACCGACTGTGATTATGATATTGAAATGATAAAAAAAAAGAATATTTATAAATAGAACATTGTCTTGAAAATTGAAAATTATCGTTCAGTTCAATGGAAAATTTTGCCACATAATTTGTTGTCTGTACCGAAAATAAAAGAGAGAAAAAAAAAACAACAAAAATGGTGCAAATTTATGACAATCATAAATGTATCTATTTACTAGCTGCTAGTTTGCATTTCGCACAAAATAGGCGACGATTTTGCTTTCATAATAATTGATTGCACGTGTATATGTGCCAATGTGTATATTCGTGTATAAGTTTGTGCAAGCTCACATTCATCTTTTTATCTATGTGTACTTGAAAGTATTTAAATTGAATTTTACGCATCACATAGCAACATTTTCTTTGAGCTGATGGTGGTATTCAACTTAATTCATACCTCTCTTGCCTCAAACTGTCTGTGAATTTTTCAATTAAACCAATATAGATTGAGCTCCATCAATACATACAGAATATATGCGCACATTTTCAACGACACGAACAAAATAGTACTATAGTATCAAAAGCAGCTACGGCGGCGGCGGCATAACATCGATATTGTTGTTTTTTTTTTCCTCGGCAATACGACATTCACACCATACAGTTTCACGTTTGATAGCAATAAAACAAAAACAAAAACAAAAAAAAAACGAAATTCCATCCAGACTTACCAACACCACATACACATTGTACATTTTGCTTTTAACTTAAATTTCTAAAACTTCTCACATTTAATATATGAACTTGAAGACACTTCATTTTCACTTACAACATTACACTAAATGCATTTGCAATCAATCAAATTTTTACATAAAATTATATCTGCATCAATAACAACAAGTGAATGGAAAAAAATTTCAAACAACAAACCAAAAAAAAACCTATGAAAAACGAAAACCAAATCAATTTTTTTTTCGTTTTCTTTGCTTGTTTTCAGTGAAACGGCAAAAAGACGACATGCAAGTTAACGTGGCTGGGATTCGAAGAAACATCAAAAATTTAGCGCACAATTACTCGGATCCTCAGGTAATGCAATTGCTGCTGCAGCAGCACATTTTACATTCATTTATTAATTGTCATATCACGTTGCACATCTATATCATTGCTATTATGTATATCATTCAAGGTAAAAGTACGTGAAGCAACATCGAATGATCCATGGGGTCCGTCAGCGACGATAATGGCTGAAATAGCCGATTTAACATATAATGTGGTTGCATTTTCTGAAATTATGCAAATGATTTGGAAACGATTGAATGATCATGGAAAGAATTGGCGTCACGTTTACAAAGCACTCATTTTACTCGAGTATTTGATTAAGACTGGCACCGAAAAAGTTGCTCAACAATGTAAAGAAAATATTTATGCAATACAAACATTGAAAGAATTTCAGTATTTTGAAGAGGGAAAAGATCAAGGTTTGCATGTACGTGAAAAAGCAAAAACATTGGTTTCATTGCTAAAAGACGATGAACGCTTGAAAAACGAACGAACCAAAGCGTTGAAGGCCAAAGAGCGTTTTGCTCAACATGCCAGCGGTTTTGGAAGTGATGGCTCCATCGATGGGCCAACACTTAGCCATCGCGATAGTCCATCTTGGCGAACGGAAAGTGAAGCATCACGTTCGGCATCCGAATTGGAATATGTACGTCCACAAACTGTTGGCGAAGAAGAGCTTCAATTGCAACTTGCGATGGCCATGAGCCGTGAGGAAGCCGAACAAGAAGAAGCCAAACGACGCAGTGATGATGTTCGATTACAATTAGCTTTGAGCCAAAGCGAACAAGATTTTAAGTAAGCATCCGTTCGCTCGGTGAGAAAAAAAATTACATTTTAATAAATCCAATATTTTTGTTTATGCAGAAAACAATCAAATGACCCACTAGCTAAGCCACCGCCAAATCAAAGTCATTTAATGGATTTACTGGATATTTCGTTGGGGGCTACATCAATTTCGGGTCCATCGCAGGCGAGTGATCCATGGGGTATGCATATATTCACATAATTTACAAATATATTTATCGATTATTCACTAATTATTTTTTTATTATTATTCGTTCTTTCTCCCCTCTTAGGTATGCCGTCAGCTAAACAAGTCAGTATTAATCAGATAATAAATCTATGACTTTGTTTATTAAATGAATTTTTAATATTATAGACATCAGATCCATGGGGTGGACGTGCATCACCAGCCACTGATCCATGGAATACAAATACTGGAGCCATATCAAGGCAACCGTTGCAATCGTTGGCTGGTGCCAGCAATGTAGAAACCTGGATTGCTCGTAATCATTCGCCATCGATTGCGTCTGGATCATCCAACGAAGGCTGGCTACAAAATAATCCTGTCACTACTGCTAATGGTAATGGTAATGGAACATCGAATCCATCTCAATTGGGTGTCGATCCATGGTTAACGAAACCATCAACTAAACCCGAACAACCAGATCCATGGTTGAATAAAACACCCGATACGAATAGCGATGCTTGGCAGCCAGCTAGTTCAAAATCAGGTGTCGTTGACCCCTGGGCACCAGCTAGCTCCAACATGGGCTCACGACCATCGCCAATTGGTGCGCAAACATCACCTAACTCAGACTATGACGAATTCGATGTGATATCCAACAGAGCAAAAACTCAAAACACCAACTCCAACAACAACAATATTAATAACAACACTAGTAATGGTGCGTCATTGTTTTCGGTCATCAACTGTGATGCATGCATAATTTTATCACCAATTAAAATCGGTTTTGTTCATGTTCTTTTGTAATAGCTTTGCTTGATGAAATGGACCCATTAGCCGCATCAAAGAATGCTTCAACGAGAAAAACACCACAATCATTTTTAGGTGAAAACTCGGCATTGGTTAATTTGGATCAATTAATCAAAACAACGAATCCAACGAATTCAGGACAAGTGGCATACAATCCGTTTGGTGATATGGCACAACCACCAAAAACAAATCTATTTCAACAGCAAATGCAACCGGTACACATAGATTAAAAAAAAAAAAAATGTAAATTGAATCGAATTTTAATCGTCTGAATAAATCATTTCCAAAGGTTCCGTCCATCAATCAGCTAAAGCAAAGCCCATTTCCAGTATGCATAAGTCAAGATCCATGGGCTCCAGCAAACAATAGCAGTCAGGTGAGAATAGACATATTAAATCAATTTTAATTTCGAAACGGAATTACCTTTAAATTCGTAAATAATGTGGACTAATTCTAAATAAATGACATTGTCTGTCAAGCTTATTAACTAACAATTAATATTGTGAAAGCGGCTCAAATGTTAACAAAACTATTTCATACTATAATAGGCATAAAAAAATCTACTCGTTAAATTGTCATATAGATATATTTTTTTTATGTAACATAAATCGTTTTAAATCAGCTCAGAAACAGACATACAAAATCGCCAGTCGATAGAATTTAAACAGAATAATTAAATTATAATTATGTCTACATGTGCAGTACGTTGCGACAAATGTTGATGAGCATACACAAGATGTACATGAATACGATGAGAATGATAACTATGACGATGTATTCGATACTAAGCACGTTGATGATATACAGATTAGAACTAGCCCAGCATACAATAGCAATTACAAGCTTTATTTCGATGATGAATACCATGACTTCAATCAAATCTCCCAAATTTGCGTTGACAGTGAACGCGTGAGTACAAGTATTTTGAGAAAATACCACCATCTAGAACAACAACAATCGCAACAACAAAATCAAACAATATGAAATCAAAGAAAAGCATACACATGTCTTGTTTAGCAAAAAAATCATGGTCTATTTCATAAAAAACATCATCATAACAATACCTGACGCAATTTCAAAACATTAAGCTTGCATCAACTCATAAGAAAATTTGTAGAAATCTGTAGAACAATGGCTATGATTTATGTGTGTGCGTGTGTATGTGTATGTTTTTGTCATCTGCAACAACATGTGTCTGTATATTTTTTCCACAACAATCGAACATATTGTATTTTGTTGGTGTCAATTTCATAATTTAATTAAGAGCAGACATACAATGTGCACACCCGTACTCTTGTTTCGATTCATGATTTCATTTTGACCAAACAATTTTGATTATCGGCAATCATCAATTTCACAATATACATCAGTGAATCAATATGAAAGAATTCGGCAAATTTCTTACAATTTATGCAATTTACTCATGACTTTTTATTTGTGGATATGAAATCATATCGAGCGTAAATATACTCTCTCTCTCTTGCTTCCTCTCGAGAGAAAATACGCTCTTTTTTTTATCAAAATGTTAAATTTGAAATTAATTTCCAAGAATGAAGTCCGCATAGGTCGAAGCTGATTGAACTGTACCTAATCAAATCATTTCCACTTTGTATTTTTCGTATTAAAACAGCATAACAGGGAAGCTTGGACGCTTAAATAGACATAATATTGGTAACTCTCTTGCAAATCGATACACAAAAAGTGAACTTAAATACTCCATTATCTTTGTTAGGTATTGCCCACTCCATTGATTTTTTTCTCTCTTGCTTTCACCATATTTTTCTACACCGGTTCAGCATGAAGCAAATGTACATGTTTGCAATTATATTTGTTTTGTCGTTTACGATGTTTTATTGATTTTATGCACTTTTTGTAATTTTCCCCATTGACACATACACATGGCTCGCTGTCATTACTCCCACAGATGATGCTTTTGTGTCTATATCTGCAAGCTCAGTTTGATGTACACGGATAAAATGTATATCCGTATCCGCGGCGGATATGGATAAAGTCGTCATCCGTGGAATAATGCCATTGAGCCCATATCCATACAAAAAATGGTTCGCTTCCATTTATAATTTTTGTCGCTATTTTATATGATTTCTCTCTCTCTCTCTCTTTCCTTAATTTGGTATTAACACTTTATGTACTTATTAAGCGATAACTTTTTTGACGAATTTTTTAACAAACTGAAATAATTTATAGCATAAATGAAGGTTATTTCCCGATCAATTGAATAATTTAATTTGAACGCAGATTTTCGTTGCTGTTACCATCATCAATTTGCAACTTCATTTTTCGAAACTTAATTATTTCAGTTTGAATATTTTGTTCATGAAGCGTATACAGTTTTGTTTTTTTTTGTTTTAAATAGTAACTTTAAATCATTTTACATGCTTTCGCTCAATCGTTTGCTAATTGCTATTTTTTTAATTTGACGTAATCTTAATCGTGTTTTTTTTTTTCTTGTTTATATTTTCAGAATAATATAAATAATAATAACAGAAACAATACCACTGGTAACAACACCAACATCAATAATAATACAGCAGCTCCCTGGCTCAATCCAGAGGTGGCCGCCTCCAATCCATTCTTATCTTAAATTAAAAAAAAAAAATGATTAAAAAACCGACAAACATGAAAAAATCGTCGATCGAACGTGTGTGCATCGTTGTTATTTTATACAATTTAAATTGTTCCATAAATGTTAAAATTAATACATTTTACACAGGAAAAGTGCAGCAAAAATTAGATAAACAAAAACATTACAAACCAATTGATATAAATTGATGAATGGGTATGTGGGAAGAATGTTTGCATGATGTATATAAATATATTTAAAATGAAATGAAACCCAACAATAAATTTGAAATTTATGTTATAACAGAAGAAGAAGAAGACGAAGAAAAAATACTGCATGAGATATATCATCACGAAATTGCAGATTAGGCAATTAAATTGTATAATTTTGTTTTCTCTCTTGTCAACTCAAGATTACTAGATTTCATTTCATCGTATTTACAAAATGGCTATTCCGATTCTTAGGCGTATACAAAAACGTATTACCAGCTGTTTTTTTTTATAGTGCTAACAGGGGATTTATTCAGCATTTCATAGACTCGTGTTTACAATTACTGTTTTGTCCAATTAAAGAATTGAAAGAAAAAAAAAAATCCGAAAATATAAAATAGATTTTTCTTGGCTTTCGATCGAGATATATTATATACTTTTTACTTGAGCAAATAGTAATTACAGCGCATTCAATATATCAGAAAAAAAATAACAACAACAAATCAATTTTACTCTCATCTAAATAAACGAATTGCAATTTTTCTTGTGCAAAATCGACCGTCGTTTGAACAAAAAAAAAAAAAAAATTCAAATGAATAAAAAAAAGCGAAAAAGAACAAAATTGAATAATAAGATATTTACATCTTTTTTACACGGACTTATATGAATTTAAAACAACAAACATAAAAGAACATGCATTCCCATGTAATTCATTTGCGGAGTAATTTTGACGATGGCGGGACTGTGCGGAGTTTGGCGGAGATGACATATAAACTCTGTGTGTACGAGGGTAACAGCACATCTATGTGTATCATTCTTACGCAGATGATTAGTAACTTAGCTGTGTGTACGGCTACTAAGATGTTCGTTTGGACAAAATAAATCTATGAACAGCAAAGAATGCTGTTGCACTCGTACACACAGCATTTGCATGCTATCTCCGCCGAACTCCGCACAGTCCCGCCATCGAAAAAATTGCTCCGCAAATGAGTTATATGGGTTAACACGTATTTCTACAAGAATATTATTTATATAGAGATTGCCTTAATACCATTTAAAAGAAAATGAGAAAATAAATTTGTGTCCAACATTTATAAGAAATCTCCGCGGATTTGGGCAATACAAATATTGCTGTTTACTTCATTCACACATACAATTATTTTATTTCTCAATCGTTTTCGATTCTGTATACATACGAAACAAATGAAATGATGTAAAATGTCACTCATTTTACTACAAATAGATGTATTTTTTCCTTTATCATATTTATCCCCCGATTCAATTTCTTGTGATTTTTGTTTACTTCCCTTTTATTGAATTTTATCTAAAAGTATATGAAATTGTGCTAATGAATTATAAGAGAGTATTTTCCCATTTATTTCTATGAACAATGTTAACTAACTATGAACAATCACCATTTGATTCGAGTTAGCCAGCCCCCATTGAACTATATTATAGAAATACATGAATTTTTTTTTTGCTCGAACTATTTACTATACTTTAAATTTATTATTACTAACGTGTGTGTGTTAAGGAACATTTGTAGAATGAATTAATTTATGAATTTGACATTTACTATGCAGATCAATTAATGGAACAAAAATGTGAAAGAAAACAGAACAATATAAAGAAACATTTTATCATAAAAGAAAAAAAAAACTATGTTGTCGTGTTTGTTATGTGTCTGGAAATTGTTTCCTTTACTTCTCCACATAAAAATGGTAAGTATATCAATCAAATTGATTGCATGCTGTGATTCCTTCTCCCATACAACTCGCATAATTGATCAAATGAGGTATGGTATGCTGTTCATATACCCCAGAGAATAAGTGTGACATACAACCTGAAAATGGTGCAAAATGATGGCTTTAAAAAAAAAAACGAAACATTTCAATTTCGATATCAAACACACCAAAAGCAAAAACACCAACGTCATCACCGCCATGGGTCTCATATTGGCTTGGATATGTACCGGGATAAGTAAAATTTGAGTCTAATGATGCAAACATTTTATTTTTGAGTTCCAAACACAATTTTTTTTTTAATTTTATTTTCAAAACTTACCGATTTTAAGACCAGTTAAATCCTTACGTGTTCCGTTTTCAAATCTAATCGTATCATATCCGGGCCCATTGGCATAAGAGAGCGTTAATGTTGGCAAATTATCTGCGATTTAAAATGTCAATATTGTCAAAGAATATTTTTCTTATTACTGAAATTCATTTACCAATGTCACTAACTACAGTATTTATGCCAGCAATTGGATTCCCACGATCTGGGTACCCGGCAATACTGAGAGTGTGGCCGTGATCTGATGTAACAATCAGTAACGTATCATCTTGATTTATTAATTCAACGGCTCGTTGAATTGCATTTGAAAATTCAACGGTTTCATCTAAAGCCTTAATGGCTTGTGCATTATGGTGACCGTGATCGATTCGTCCACCTAAAAAAAAAGAAAGAAGAATTGTTCAGCAAAAAAAAGCAATTTCAAAACCAACCTTCAACGAATAGGTAAAACCCGTTTTCGTCATTTTGTAAAATTTGTATGGCACTTTCGACCATTTCCCAAAGTTTTGGTTGTTTTTCGTTCGCTTCTAAATTGTAATCCATATGATCTGGTGCAAATAGTCCCAAAACATACTCGGTATCTTTTATATTCAAATTGATTAATTCATCTCTATTAAAAATAACTTTGGCATTATTCTTCTCTCTTGACCATTTATCGATCAGATTCATTCCATCTTCACGTTCACCCTGAAAGTCTTCAACATCTTTTATTGATTTTGGAAGGAATTTGGTTCGTCCACCGCCAAAGATCACGTTAATCTTTCGTCCGGGCTCATTATAAACCAATTGACTGGCAATATCCTGACAAGCATTCAGATTTGTATCGTTGTTCTGATAGTGAATAATATCTGCATCACATTCGAACATTCGATTTGGAGTGTGTGCATAATTGCCTGCTGGGCTAGCATGAGTGACGGTGGTTGTTGTGATGATTCCTGTTTTTTTGCCAGCTTGTTGGGCTAATGCCAACAATGAATTTACATGATTTTCTGTGTTAGCAGCAGCATTACAGTCGTCGCGCTGTACTCGACCATTGACACCAATTGTTTGGAAATTCGCTTTGACACCGCATAAATATCTACCAATTATATATGGAGTTGCATTAAGCATTTTAAAAAATGTGCCCAAGTTTACTTACGCTGTTGAAGTGCACGCCGAATCGGGCACCTGCTTATCGATACAATAGGTCTTCGAAACAAGTGAAAAGAATCATTAATATTCTGCGTTCGTACTGTCTTGATGAATACTAATTCGAAATATACCTTTGATAAGCCAACATGTGGAAAGTTCTCGAATGACAAACGAGCTTCTTCACCTGACTGCCCTCGATTTTGTCCCACATAAATTCTTGCAGCGGTTATTGTGGGTATTGACATACCTAAGTATCACAATAAAATTACTTATCAAAACCATCATTGTTTCATCGTTTACAAAATATGGAAAAAAAAGAAAAAAATACCATCACCGAGGAAAAAAATAACATTTTTCGCTCTATTAAGATTACGTTCCCGTTCCAAATGCTTTTTGAGTGTGTGCTGGGCACGACTTTGCCAATAAATTGAACTAGACTCATCATAGTATTCATTGATCATACTGACAGAATCAATAGTTTCTCGCTTTGATCGAATCATGGGATGCATCCTGCTCTCATATTCTATATGAAGATTTATTTAAATGAGTATTCAAATGAAACTGTTTTTCAAACTGAATTTTACCCTTTAGACAGTCGACACTCTGTCTATCACAATTGGTTTTGCTGGGATGACATTGCACATAGCCACCAAGTAGTTGTATACACAACACAAGTATTTCCAACCAATTTGCGTAATACATAATCGAGTTTTATGGCCACACGTTTTTTTTTATGTTCTTAACTAATCTAAATGGATATTTTATTCAAAAATTGCTGCAAATATAAATTGGAAACGAACAAACACTCGACATAAAAAATGCCAACGATGAAAAAAATGCTCAGATCTATGCACATGAATTGTTATTTATCCGTTGAATAAGGAAACGCGCTCAGAATTGAACTCCGGGCAAAACTTTTTGATTCAGTGTTTGTGTGTGTTTGTTGTCTCAAGCGTGAATTGCATGAGTTTTCGAGACTTTGGTGTTTTGTTGTTGTCTTTTTTCAGTTCAAAACCATGTTGTTACAATTACGACCAATTTGCGACTGAAAGTCTTTTCAGCAAATGCTCTTCTTTATAGTTCGGTAGAATTTATTTTTGGCTTAATTTAGTCTCAACTTCTTTTAATCTGAATGCCATTTTGATAAAAAAAAGGTGATGCCACATCAGTGCATCCGAGTAAATCACACATATTCTACTACTTAATCTACTTATTTCTTCTTCTTTTTTAAATCGCGTCCGAAGTGAAGTAAATTTTAAATTTTGGAAAATTACAATTGGGTTTTGGCAATTCCAGATTTTGTTATCATTTTCGCAAAATTTTTGGGAAACCTTGAAAGCCACTCATACTCACTTTCTCACAATAAAAAGCTTTTATTTATATTTTTTTTGAAAAAAAAAAAAACGATTCAACTCACTAATACAATCAAGTAATTTTATCTATATAAATTTTCGATCGTTAAAAAAATGTATAACCATCTACTCGATTAATACAAACTTTTTAAAATGCTTCTCTGAATAACAGGAAGTACACGAAAGGTCGCAACATTGAATTGGAAATTTTACATTAATTTTCCAATAAAACTCGGTGCCACGAATACCATATGTATAATTTCCAATTAAAATTGTTATTTTGCAAATAATTGATGGTAACACATCCGAAAAAATGGAATGCATTATTAAATTAGAATCAATTTTCTGAATTCATCAGAGCATATACTGAGCATAGATATATATCCGGGATATTTTGTGAGTATCCGATATTTATCGCAGCCAGACATTATAATGGAGTGAAAACAATAGAAGCGATTGTTATAGGTCTAAGTAAGTATTAAACCATTTACATAACTATAATCCTATAACAATAACTTCTATTGTTTTTACTCTATTTCAAAGTCTGGCTCCAATGAATATCGGATACTGACAAAATATCCAGGATATATATCTATGCTTAGTATATGCTCTGGAATTCATTAATTGCATTTGATTAAATTTTGCTCACTGAGTTGACGAAGCATGATATAATAGGAAACGGATGATTGCATTAGCTAAAATTACACAAAAAAAGAAATAAATAATAAAAGAATTAAAGAGCCACGATAAAAAAATGCGTCATTTACCGTAGCAAAGGTCTCTAAAGAACATTGAAAAAAATTAAATCCATTTAAAGAGAATGGAACTTGTCCCTGTTTGATGATTAACTTGATCATCTTCTGTTGAAGAATATTGAGGCGATACCATCGAGTTTTATAAATAATATTCGGCATTTCACCGACATTAATGGTTAGATTTGTTCCAAAATGGCATAATGCATAAATAAGAATGATTTGTACGGCAACACAGTCGATGCAAACCACCGATTCAAAATTTAAATTTTGTAAACTTTCTTCGAGTGAACGAAGTGCCAGCACCGTAATTAGCACAAAAATTAAAAATTGAAAAAATTGCGGACCGGATAGTAAATTTTTTGTCAATTTCATTATGCTGTAAAAAATTTTTAATGTATAAATATTAATTTCGATGATGTAAATGTACGAATATTACGATAGAATTCTGCAATGCAATTGAATAAGAACATCAAGCTGTCTTTTCGTTGAAATAAAATTATTTCTTTGTTGTTCATTGATGTTAATTTCTTCGTCAAGTTTTAAAGTTATTCCATTATAATCGGCCAATAGAGCTTCTAAATAAGTACAAATCCCAATGAAACAGGATGAATACATTCCACATATGGTCAAGTAAGCTAATGTGCAACAAAAACGGATTATTTTATATTTTTATTGCGTTTAAGATACATTTTACCAACTACAGCCAACGATTGATAAATTAATGAAAACGTGAACTCTAGCACGTCATTGTCATCGAAAAATGATCTACAAATTGGAAATTTAGTTATTTAACATTTGAAATGAATCCATAGAATGACATAAGGTCTCATATATTGGGATAACTAACTTCAAAGTAAACGGTGATCGTCGATATTCGGGTCCTGGAAAGTCAAAAATAAGATAGCACACAAAAGCCAAACCATGAGGAGCAAATGCCGATATTAAAATGATTATGCTCATTTTAAAATAAAATTTATTAAAACGGCTATTTTTTGCTTCGTTTTTTGCGTAAATTTCAAATGCTTCCCTGGATAATTCACATCCTAAAAAAAATCAAAACATTTCTTTACCAATTTATCTCCATCAAATTAATAGTTGAACATACTTTGAGCAACAATTTTTTGAAGTGTTTCCATTAATTCAACAACTGTAGTTTTCATCATCACGAAACAAATGAAAATCAACTCAAATTGACCACATGCTGCGATCAAATTCATAGCCCAAATAATCACAATCAAATTAAACTTATTATCAACACAAAACCAAAATGATAGAACTATTATCAAATTCAATGGAAGCAGAAATAAGAAATAAAACAGCCAATTTGGTATTCGATTGCCAAATCTCAAAAAACTCTCTTTACTCAATTTCAACACTCTCATCAAAATTCTAAAGTTTTTCAATACAATCAATTTTCTATTTTCCATTTTGAAGTATGATGGACGCTTTATGTTAATATAATATGCTTGTCAAAAGCAAACTGTGTTTCATCTATCACTGAATCAATTCCTTTTATTTACAATTTTCGATATTTAATTCATGATCCCAGTTTTCACGTGGTTTTTTTTTACAAAACCACAAATATGGTTCAGGAGCATTTAAGTTTTGTCCTTTGTGTTTTCTTTAAACAATCAAATAAACAAAAAAAAAATTGTTGTCGATAAAACCGCAATTGATCATTTTTTTCATTCTTCAATTGTGTCCGTAAGAATAAATATGACAATACAAAAACGGAATCTGAAGAACGTTACATAATTTTTTTTTGTATGGAGTTGTACTATGTAAAATAATTCTTACGGACACAATTGTTACGACATGATACTTCTTAACACGTACAGCAGAGCTCCTTGGCCGGAATATATAATTAAAAAAAGGAAAACAAAATCTACCGTTTTGTTGATTGGTTTTTCATTTCTTTGCAATAGAACATATAATTACAATGTTGAAATTATTTTTTTTTTTGAAAAGAACATTTCATTAGCAAAGACTATCGATTTTGTAAAAAAATTCCATTGAGATCGAAAATTCACTATAAATATTTAAAAAGGAAATTTTTTTTTCGCTACTAAACGCCAACCCTTGTTCACTGCAAAATTTGAAAGTGAAACAAAGAAAGAAGAGGAAAACTCAACAGCTAAAAGTGGAAATGTAGTTGTGAGAATTGTCTGTATGACATACCGAACCGAAAACAATATAATTTCATTTTTGGAATCTGAACCAAAAGTTCGGAATGAAATTCTCTGTACGAGTAAAGTACATGTTCATGGCATGGTTTGTAAAAACAAATGGCTTTGATTTTCTTTGTCTCCACTATCGTCAAAGCGGCATAGGTGTTCCAAGGTGAATGGTAGAGAACCTGCTTTGCCAATTGTGTAAATTTTTAATGGTGCCGCTAAGTTAACAATATTTAGAATGTCTTGCATCGTTGGATGAATTGAAAACCGAATAATTTCAAGACCACTACATGAATAAGCTTTTGGATCGGTTGTCATTTTTATCCAAGTGATATTCGTTTCGTCATAGTGTCTGGAATTGAAAAATTCATTATGAAAATGATTTAAATCGTTGAAATTTTCTTGTAATATTTCTATACTTTTGAACATTGTCCGGTAGTTGGTCCACCAGATACACTTCTGCTTGTTGAAAGTCCATACAAAATACATTTGAGATCTGTTGTCGATTGAATATTTCGACGCGTTTTGTGTCTGGATAAATTTTAATTCCCTTTTTTGCCAGTAAAAATATTAAATCTTCATAGCCGAAGTCATCTATTATCATATGGAATTTATGATCATTTTTTGATCTTAAAAAAAGAATCAAATTCAATGCTCATTCAAAAAAATTAAAATTTAATGGTGATTAACTACCTGATTAATGATTGAATTTCGTCACAAGCCTTCCTACAAAACTGGAACTCAGTTATGTTGGCCGAAGTCACATCAATATAAAGATCGTCAATCTTTTTTTTGGCCATTAACTTACGCAAATATACATGCTCAAGAATTTTATTATTACCAATATATCTTCCAGCGTACAGTGTATACCGATCAAAATCTGAATCGAACGAAAAAAGAAAAATGTCAATCAAATTTTTAAAGTGTGTCAAAGTGTGCATTACATTCGAAGAGGATGATAACATTGAGTGTATGGCTTCCGTATGAAAAGGCTTTAACGGTGACAATCTCTTTATTTGGCAGTTCTATACCGTATGATAGGCCACAATCGCTTATTATTTCGAAACTTTCTCGCACCTAAAACATTGTGAAAGTTTGTGTGTATTTTTAGTGAATTTGAATAATAGAAATGAAATGCTTACATCGGCATCACAAATCATAACCGATTTTATTAGAGCGGTTGTATATAGGCTGAGTGAGCTTCGCCGTTTTACAGTTGATAAATTAAATGGACGAGTGAAAATATACACAGCCGGTTCCTACAAATCACAAAATTACCATCAAAATTGATTTTTTTTTTTTTATTAAATTTTTTTTCTTAAATTCGAATGTATCTTACATCGAATTTATTTGGAATTTCATCAACAAACACATAGCCGTCAAACATTTTTATTTATAATATTCTACGAGTGTATTTTGATTTAACAATTGGATTTTGTTTAAATCAACTGTCAAAATAACGCTCAAAACAATAACATTGATACAACGCCTTGGTCCATTGACAACTTCACGTTGGATTCTATTTCAAAATATGAATTATTGCGCTGATGAATTTGAATTTTTGAAGAATTTTCTTCAAATATTCTTCATGATTTATATTGAACAATGAATGCATATCTCAAATGCGTAATTGTAACCATCAACATCGAAAATTTGACAATATTTCTCATTCCGTACGAAAAATGCGTCTCCAATACATTCATTTCAATACAAAATTACGGAATAAATAATCGTATCATAAAAACAGTATTTTTCATCAATACGATTACAAATCATCAAAAAAATAATAATATTAACGAATCTTTGAGTCATTTGATAATTAAATGAAATTGACAAAGCAAGCTGTATATATAAAACGTGTCTCATGTATGCGTATGCATGCATATATGTGTTGGTTTCCATGACATTTTGGTTATGTGTGCGACGCATAGTATACACACATACATATTCCAATGAGATCGTTGAATCATAACAATACCGCACCTGTGTTTAATGAGTAGCCACTACATACTAGCCATATACTATTTGAAAGAGTTTCGTGACTTTCTTGTCAAACATTTATATCACTGATCAATTTAATATATTTTTGTTTAATTTTCAATAATTGCAAAGCAAAAAAAAACGTTCAAAATCAACGGTAATGTTTTTAAGTGTAAAATATTTCTAAGCAATTGTATTTGAAGCTCAATATTCCTAGAAAATTTGTGTTTCGAAAAAAAGCCATTCTTATTGTGTGACAAGGCTAACACGCCCATTCAAAAAAGCTTTAATTCTTCAAAATAAACGCGTCAAAAATGAGGAACTATACAATAATTAGTGCTGTTTTATTCTGCAGTTTTATCAAAATTGGTAGGTTTTTTTTCAACTGCATTCGATTTTCGAACATTTAATAAATTTATTTCAGCAAATGATAAACCATAACAATGTGCTATTGGAGTGTAGCTACTGTGACCGCATCGAATGCCATATTTAATTCTTTTTTTTTGTTTACATTTTATTTTATATTTTTGTGTTTGTGTGCTGTTTTATGTGTTCCGAATGATGATCGAATAACGAAAAAAAAAACCAGCCACTTCGATCAGTTGTTATGTTTGTAATGCCACCGATTCGTCGTCACCGTTCCAGTGTGGTGAATGGTTTGAACGCTACGATACGCCCGATATCGTACCGCAAGATTGTTCAAATGTGTATGGTGCCAAATATTGTATAAAACATATCGGCCGTTTTGAAGGTAAATTATGATCGCACCAAGCGACAGATCACTGGGAATAATATTGGAATCGTATTCATCTTAGTGGATTAGGTTGCAAACATACACTCATTACTTTATCATCCTTCTGTCAATCTGAACGTAATAACTGTCGTGATCGGTGGCTCTTTTTTTCCATTGTGATGGGTGAAACAACTGTGAAGAATTATTAACAAGAAATTATCTAACTGGTTTTTAATTATTATTATTTAACTGTATAAACATATATCATCAATCATTGACTAACTAAATTTAAGATAAACATTAACCACTAATTGTACTAACATTAAATAAAATGCTATCTTTCAATTTCTGTAGCCAGTTCGATAAAATGCTATCAATGTTCATCGGCTGATACGATAAACTGTGCCGATATAATGATCGCTCAACCAGATTCACCATTACAACCAGAAGACTGTTCACATGTGATTGATGCAAAATTTTGCGTCAAATCAACTGCACTCAATGGTTAACCACATTTTTCTTGGATGGTTGTGTTGACACGCATTTCAGTTTCCGCTTCTTATAATCTTTTTTTTTTTGTTTTCGTTTCTTTCTGATTACAATTTCTTTGTAAATGCTTCAGTTTTCATCGGATTTCGCTTTTATTATTGACGTTATCACTGTTTTTAGATCTTGGCTCGAGCAACTGTTAGTTGAATAAGTGGCCAGTTGGCTCGAGCTCAGATGTGACAGTTTTTGTTTTTCAGTTGAATTATCGAATGTTGAGTTATCAGTCTTCATTTCTATTGATTATTTCATTTGAAGATTGTATAGAGTATTTGTTAAATTATCTATAGATAATTATATACGTATTGTGAAATTTTGATTGCACATTTATTTATTTTATGTACTAATTAATGAACTAATCTGTTGAGTATTTGATTATTGTTTTTGCTTGTACAATTTGGAATGTTGCAAATATCTAATTGAATTGTTGTTGTTTTTTTTTGTTGCCTGCATGTGTACGTCCAAGGTGGTATTGGTGCAAAACGTTTTTGTTCATCAAAGGATTTAGGAAATTACTGCAACTACGTGGAGAACAAAGGTGATCGAATGGAATATCGTTCGTGCATTTTCACTTGTGACACAGATGGATGCAATCATTCAAATCAAATTACGTTGAATCGAATGGTATTCGGTGGCTTCCTGACAATTATCTTCACTATGATTAAACTATTAGTGTGAAACCGTCCAACAAAGAGTCTCTCAATGTTAAGAAAATTATATTTAATCCTAAGATTAAGCTGCTGAAATGCCGTCCATTTGCATGTTTGTGTAAAGAGTCCATAAAAAAATAGATTGATGAAAAGTAGTGATAGAGATTTTTTTCTATTTTAAAAGTCAATATTTACCACTTTTGAAAAGTTTTTATTACAATCATTTACAAATAATATTTTTTTTGGATGATTCGTGTATTTTAAAAAATAAAATGTTTAAGAATCACACCATTTTTTTAAAAATCATTTACATTGTATAGAAAGTAAGTGACAATCAATAAATGCAACCATTTTTTTTTTTAAATAGAAAAGAGTTGTTGTTTTTCCCAAAAAAAAAAAATTGGCATTGCTTTTAACTGAGATTTTTAAATTCAGCCCATGCGGCCCAAGAGCCTTGATAAACGCGACTATTTTCGAGTCCAAGCGTTTTTGCCACTTCAGCTGCTTTTGCCGCTCGTCCGCCAAGACGACATGAGAATATTACTTCGGTGTCGTTGCCCGGTTTATCGCGACCAAAACGCTCCTTGAATTCATCGTCCGGAAGTTTCAACGATTCTTCCAACGTGCCCACTGTGAACCGATAAATGAACAAAAGAAAAACAAAATAAAGATACAATGAAATTATTTACACAAATATAAAGCCAATTGAATGCTAAATTCAAATGATTTATGTCACAGACATGCACAAAAACACAATTTGAATAGAAATGGCGTCGTTTACAACCTGACGCACACATACAACATTTATTTCGTTGGTTTTGTTTTTATTCTTACATGGGATATTAATTGCTGTTGGTAGAGATCCTGTGCTTTTGATTTCAGGTGGATCACGTACATCAATTAATAAAACTTCAGGACGATTGACCAAATTGTCGATTTCTTCATTTGTTGCAACGCTCATCTTGATAAAAACTTCTTTTTTTTCGTTTCTTCTTGTCTCGTTTTCGTGTAGTTTTTCGCACTCAATGCACAGTAACCGAATAAATCTATTTGTCAATTTGGACTGCGGTCATAAAAATGCCATTGTTTTTCTTTCTTTTTTCAACTAATATGATCGCATGAGTTATGAACAATTGTACACGCATACATATGCAAATAACTTGTTATTTGCTTACATGTGAAATTAGTATCGCGTTTGTATTGTTTGTGAACCTATGAATGTCGCTATGGTGCTATGTACTGTCAAACGAATACGGTGCCCAACAGATTTAACACTTTTTCAAACGTTGCGTTATTCAACGCAATTGACATTTAAAAAGAAACACTAATACCGTGTGTTTCAAAAATTGTCAAATCAATTTTCAATTCGGTTTAAACTGAAAAATAAATGAATTTATTCTATTTAAGACTATTTTCTTGACTTCAATTAAAGTGAAAAATGAAATAGATTAAATGACTAATTCAATTCCGAATGTAATTATTTTGCTTCTGATGGAATATTATGTGGATACCAAGCAATTTATTGTTTTTCCGTTTAAATAAGAAGAATACTTTTTCTCCAAAAGTTTAAAATAAAAAAAATTCGACACGACTTTTTTGTCATATTTTCACTATTTTTCATTATAATATTTCAACATATAAAATGAAATCACACTATTTGTAAGTTTGAATCAAAGGCATTCAAACCGTCGAAATTTAAAAGAAACACTAAGTACATTGAAGTATTTCATCTATTAAGACGTCATTTGAATTTGAAGTTCATATCGGTCTTTTTGCGCCACAAATTTTTGGTACATTTTTTTTAAATCAATTTTTTTCATTCGGTTTCAAATATTACAAAATTTATTTTAAAATATATTACAATTCGACATAAGTGTCAAGAAGCTAATTTCGACCAGTTGAACATAGAATTATGCATAAAAGTGAACCAGTCCAACTGTGCATTTAAACAATGGATGTAATTACATCAATGATTAAAAAAGCGCTTGAAATTTGGTGCAGACTTGTTACTTTGATTATTAATATTTACAAAACAACGGAAAACTTTGAAAGTATAAAAATTGCTATTCTATAACTCTACAATTCTTGATCCATTCCTTATTGAATGTTTTCCATTCTTTTCTATGTGATTCACTCTAGGTATAAGGCCAAAGAAGATAAAACATGGGAGCTACAAGCGTAACCGAAGTAGGTCTCTGCAAGGGATGCATAAAAATAAAAGCCGAAATCAACTCGAAAAGTCATCGAAACAAATAACCGATCTTAGTCATGATTGTTTAGCAAAAATTTTCAACTATTTATCTCTCAAAGAAATGTTGAACGTTGCGCATTCAAATAAATACTTGAAAGTGGCCACCGAAATAAGTTTTCGGAATGTTTATGGAAATCATTTAATGACGCTTTTTGATGAGGACATATGTTATATTGAGACACCTACTGAGTTACAGGAAAAAATAAAAAAAAGTCTGCAGCTTCTGAGATGCTTTGGTCACTTTATTTCTGGAGTGAAGTTTGAAACAAACCGAATTCTCAGTCGGAGTTTACGTAAACATTTAATAAGCTACCTTGCCAAATATTGCACTGATTCCTTGGTGAAAATTCAATTCGATTCAATCACGTGTAATTTGTTGATTAAACAATTTGAATTCAAAAATACATTTCCAAAAGTGCAATCAGTATGGCTTGATTTTTATGAAACAAATACCTTTAATTTGATAAGACCATGTTTTTCTTTCGATGTTATCTTTCCAAATATGGAACATTTGACGATCATTTGTAATTATAGTTTTTTATTTGAATACTTCCTTGACATAAGTTTTTTACGTGCGATTTTTACGAATGTTGAAATTCAAACCGTCGAAAGAGTTGATCGCTCCGTATATGTTTACCGTGAATGTTATATGGATCAAATATTTCCCGAATCTGGCAGTGGGCCAATGCATCGAAAAATTTACTCGAAGAAACAAATTCGTAGAATGGATTCTTAGAAACAGTATTTCATATACATTCATTATAATAATACAATAATAACTTTTACCAAACTATTTCTAAGTCATAAGTTTAAAATATTTATAGTAAACAGAACACCAGCAGTTTTTTTAAATCTAGACCGATTCGCTATTTTTTTAAAGATATATAGCTATTTTCAAAAAAAGAGTGTCAAATCCATACTCAACAGACTTTTTTTTTTGCAACGTGATCATTAATTGGTACGGAGATATTATTGAGAACTCGTTAGTGCGAGTCTTTCCATCTGTGAGCATGTGGACCACCTCCGAAATGAATAGCAATCAGAATGTATTTATGCATAATTTTATACAGGTGAATTCAAAGTTTAGTGAATTATATGATCTGGAAAATAAAAACTCAACATCGTCACCTAGTTGTATACGCAAAAGAGGCGAACAAATAATTTTGAGTGTTTTTTTGTTAGTTCGAAATCAAATCGACATGAGCAATAGTAGTAAGTGTATTCATCATTTGTGTATTCATCATTTGTTTATTAAAAATTAGGAACTGCAAAAAAAAACGCACACAATATAACCAATCGTTTCTGTTTTGTGTACGCCATTGATTACTGCTCGAAATCAAAGATTTCAATCAGTCTTGTGATGGCATCAATACAAATAAAGTCTGGAAAATCCACTGAAAGTAAATAAAACACTACCCTGTTTTTTTGGCTGAAGCAAATGGTTGCATGTTCGATACAAATTTTATTCAATACTTGAAGCTGAATTAAAAAAATTAGAGTTAAATATTTTCGCCACGATCTAATTGAAAATCTTCAAAAATATTTGATTTAAATTTTTGATTTTTAAATGCAAACAGATTTTGATTGAAAGTTTATTTAGGGCATGACATCAAAAGAAAAAATTCACTACTAAAAATTTGTTTCTAAGATTTGCATTGACGCTAATAATAATAAATTCTTGAATTAGCAAAAATAATGATTTTACATGCATACATTTATTTAATTCTTATTTGATTTACGTCTCTTCATAAATATTCGAATAAATTGATGTCTCCACCACAGATGACAATAACGAATCGTTCAAGTTTTGATGAAAATAAATATTTAAAACGATTAAATTTAAAAGGAAACTCATCAGCTCGTGATTTATACGATGAAGATGTGAACATTGAAACAATTTTATCAAAATTACAGCACATTTAAAATTACAGTAAAGAAACAAATAAAAGAAATGTGTGGAAAATATCACAATCATTTTATGTCATATGAAAATTATTGCAAAATGCTGTTTTACATATTTACTCTAGTAAACAAACACAATTATTTGTATCTATGTCTGAATTTAAAAAAAAAACTCATGCACATTCATCGATTACTTTACATTGAGTCATTATGTAAACAATGTCATAAAAAAGCACTTTTTTATTATTATAAAATTTTGTTGTTGTTTTTTTTCGCCTTTTTCTTATTTAATTTAATTTGTTAGAACCAATATGAGCAAAATGTCTTAAGCCAATGCATTGTCTTCTTTCTTGTATAAAAAATTAAAAATGTTAGGTTTTTGTACGAAGTATCGTGCAATTTATCTAAAAAAAAAAATATGACGCCAAACACATTCACGAATAATTGTGATTGATCTTAGTAGCAAAAATTCATAAATACACCACTTATTGCCTAAAAACACCTCTATAAAAGCCCATTATCATATCAATGTAATCTTTTATATTATACTTTCACTCTTTATCGAATTGGTATTGTATTAAGTTTATATAAATTTGCAGCTCCATTATAGACATTTTTAAGCTTATACACATGTTATACATGTCTACTGTTGTCATTTATGTTGTTCGTGGAAACAAACTGACTACAAACAAAAAAAAAAATCTCGATAAATTAACTTAAACCATAAAATACAATTGAAATACACAGTGGAAATAGTTGAAAATATAATTCGATTAAAACTGGATGCACATTGCACATGCACATTCATAAATTTCTTCACTCTTCTTCTTCCGGTTATTTGAAAGAATTATTTAACTTGCTAACAATTGCAAGCGTTTCACTTCAATCTCTAGCTCTTCGCGTCGTTTCTCCGAATTGGTTAGTTGATTTTTCAAATTTTTTATCTCTTCAATTTGGCGATTGTATGCTTTTCGTAGCTGAAAACAATAAAATCGTTAAATGTGTCATCTATTTTTTAAAAAGTGTTTTCCATGCATTTACCTCATTTTCAGAGAAATTTAAATTCTCAAGCGAACCATTAGGCGTTCCATTCTTTGGTGTGGTCATCAAGCTGTTTTGTATATTGGCTATATCTTTGATTGTTGCACCTTGATGCCCAAATATAGCCTGTAGCTGATGAAATTTCGTACTTTGATTTGATGATGTCTTTTGACTTTTCTCAATCAACTGTCAGATAAGATCAAAATATGAATTAGAAATTAAATCGCATTTATACAATCAATGTGCTTGTTTACCTGTTGAGAGCGATAGTCTGGTATTGTTTGTTGTGCCAAAAAAGCGAATTTTCTCGTATTATTATTATCACAACTGTTTAATTTGTTATCGTTGTCTTTGTGCTTATTTAACCCGTTCATATTGCTTTTGATATTAAGATTATAATTTGAGTCGACCATTTTTTCGTATTTGCGTTCAATTGAAGTCGGTTGTTCGTTCGTGTGTTGCTGGTGTTTCTGCTGTTGCTGTTGCTGTTGTTGATGGTGATGCTGTTGCTGTTGCTGTTGCTGGTGATGTTGATTTTGATGTTGCTGTTCGTTCTGTTTATTTTTCGCATTTGTAATATCGTTGGCATTTTTTGGCAGTTTATTTACCATTGACATCATAATTGGTTGCACATTTCGTCCCTTGAACCATTCTTTAGCTGATATTGCTGGCACATTGGCCGCTGTATCCGGATACAAATCATCTAATTTCAATAAACAAAAAATCGATTAATTTTTAAAAGTACTTTTCCAATTCGATAAAATTCACTTACTTTGAAACATTGTCGATCGTCGTGGTACAATCATAGCGATCGGTTCACATATGCTACCAGCTGCATGAAGCTTATAAAATCGAAATATTTCACAGATTTGTGTGTTTAAACCACGTTTTGGCATAAAACCAAGCGCTTTCTGTAATCAAAAATCCATCGTAAAATATTCAAAGCGATCACATTTCAAAAACCGACACAAAAATGCGGTTTCACACGTACCTGCGGATGACCCGATAAAAATTGATTCAAATAGTGAATGTAGGGGGCTTCATCAACTATTTCATAGTAACGAATACTTCCATCTCCCTTGCCGGCTAAATAGAGCTACAAAATGGACGTTGATTTCATTAAAAAAAAAACAGATTCCATAAATAAAACTTTGGTTAATAAAGTTTCAAAATACCATTCTTGTATCATAGTCATAATATGGAGTCACTACACCGCTGGAGCTGTCCATAACTTCTTGGTGCAGGGGATTTTTAAGATCGTGTTGATCCCAAATCGAATATTGTCGATCGGAGTGTCGTGAAAATCCGGTTGTCATTACTTTGCCATTGTCCAAAAATGCCACTTTTGAACACTTTGTGCCCATGTGACAGACTCCTTCCTGTATACAAAAAAAAAAAATGAAAATGATTGAAGAGTCACTTTCATAGCTTGGAGATTTTACAAGAACAATAAACATACCGAAATAACGATTGCCATTCGTGGTTCAATTACACGTAATTTCTTGTCTTTGGATGTGGTTGCAATATAAGAACCATCACGGTTGACAGCCAATGAGTAGATCATATCGACGTGACACGTAATCGTTTGCATGATTTCTTGAGTTGAAATATCCCAGACGAGCACCTTTAATAATAGCAAATTATACATTACTCATACCGACACCATTTCCAAATGGTTTGTATTGTATTTCTTTTTCAAAAGCAAAAGTGCTACTCACGGTGTGATCGAAACCGGCACTGAAAATAACATTGTTTGCTGTTGGATGCCATTCAATGTGTAAAACTTTTCGTCTGTGACCCAAGAGTTCCGATTCATACGTGTCAAGATTTGATGTTAAACCTTCTTCGGGAATGCGCCAGATTTTAATCTAGTAAAAATGTGAAAAAAAAAAATTGAAAGACATTCACATTTTGTATACGGCATTTTATCCAAAAATAAAAATGCACAAAAAAATTACTATCATGACTTACCGAACAGTCATCTGAAGCCGATGCAATGATGCAATCGTTGAATGGGCTCCATTTTAAGTCTAAAATTTGTCCCGAATGTCCAATAACTTTATTGCACTGAAAATCGATTCGGCCAGTTTGTGAGATGGGAATGACGACGAAGGCATAGTCAACCACAATTGCCAAAAACAACGGGTTCACTGCGCACAAATTGCCATCGTTTCCGCTCCGAACGACACTATGCATCCGTTGATTGATGAACAGAATGTATGTGAATCATTGAAAATTGGCTGACGCAAATTGATTGTATTTAAAAATAAATTACATACCTAATGTCCGTATAGCTATTTTCCTTTCGCGATGGTGCTCCGTATACATGTCGAAATTTTGAAGCGCGCACTCCACGAAACCATAGCTGTAAACAAGGTAAAGAGTTCAATGGAAACGAGTGATAAATATTTAGAAAGCAAAAAAAAACCACACAACAATTTAACTGGGAGCAATTTGCTTTTCGAGATTTATTCCATCGGAAATTCGTATGCATAAGTATTTGAAAATTAAAAAAAAAAAACAAATGCTTCTTGGAACAAACAATCAAACGCAAACGCAAATATTATAAAGAATGAAAATAAATTAACAAACAATGAAAAAAAATTGGATTAAAATAAAAGAAAATTTATGAGCATTACCTGTGAGTTCGTCATTGTTGTGTCTTTGCTTAAAATACTGTACAATTCGTCGATTTGCTAGATTTGTATTTTATTTTTCGTTTATTTGTTTATTGATTGTTTTCGTAATTGTCAATGAATTGGATTTTTATTTCCGAAAGGGGGAAAAGAATAGTATGAAAAGTTTTTTTTTTTACTGAATTTGGCCAAGTGAATAAAATATTTTATTAGATTCTATAAATTTATTTTTTTCGTGTTCGTCATTAAATGTTCGTTATTTTTTTGTGTTTATGTACGTTTTCTCTACTGTGTTTGTGTGCTAAGAAATCCTTGGTGGCCCGTATTCGTTTCGCTTTTATTTGTATTTTGTTCATCAAATCAATTAAACGCTCAATTTTGACAGTTCAACGAAAGCCAAGCTATAAAACTGCTACGATATTCTAAGTCAAAATGCAAGAAGAGAAAAAAAGAGACAAATAAAAAACAATAAAAATGAAGGAAAATTATGAAAAAAATAAATAACACAAAAAAAATAGGCTGATAGTAAAGTTAACAGATACGAAACGGAAGAAATTAAATTCTAAGTGGAACACAGTGCAGTGGTTGTTGTTCTTATTTTAAGCGGTATATTTGGGTGCATTCGAGGCGTACGCTTAGCCGACACATAAAAATAAAATAAATACAAAATAAACAATCGGTAAAATTAAATTGTATAAATAAGCCATTACTCACGCACCCACTTATCTGCGCGTGATAGGGCGATTGATAACAAGACATAGTCCAACTACCTTTTGAGCGCAAATGTCTCGAATGTGTACCAAATATGGGCCCAATTTTGCGTAGCACTTAGCATTCGGTCATGTCGAGACAAACAGACAGAGAGGGAGTGGGACACACAGAGAGAGAAGGAGAGAGAAAGAGAAAAAGATATATCCCCCCGAAAAAACCAACTGTACAATCAAGTCGAATCAAGTTGATTATCTTGATATGTAATAAAAACTATATTTATATACAATTATTTTCACCGTTGCTTGATCCACGTGTGCCGTTCCGGTCGTCTTCTTTTTCATAACCGTTTTGTTATTTATTTTTCCTATTTTTTTGAGTCAATTCGGTTATAGTGCGGTTTCTTAAGTGTGAAAAATATTAGCATTTGGTTTTATCTCTCTATGAGCCAATGGTGTATATTGACATGCAGTTCGAATGGTAATCGGATCGCCGATCGTCTTGATTTCCAACCGTTTTCTGAAAGCCAATACAAAATCAAGACCAAAACAAGTTAGTCTGCCTATGACATCTTGTTCCTTTTTTTGTATGTTATCGTTGTCGTACACACATACACACACCATGCGCAAATGTTTATTCATTTAACTCATTTTTCTCTTTCTCCGTTTGTCATTCATTTTGCTTGGCAATGAAAGTTGCTCTTGTACAGCAATTATCCCAATTTCTTATTAATGTTACCTGTGATCATATAGTGAAATAATGTTGGGAAAAGTGACATCGAGAGAGGGGGAAAGAGGCAGATAGAGAAAAGAAAAAAATGTACCAAATCAAGTTGAGCATTACTTGTTTTGCTTCTAATCTCTCTTAATGCGAATACTGAACATTGTGTTAAACTGTTTTGCACATATGCTGTACGATATACATGCTGTATCAATCTGTAGGCAGCAGCAATAGCGTCGCCGATGCTCGATCGACAACTAATTGAGCTTCTTAAAACGGTGGTTTGAATAAGAAGACAGAGTGTGAGCGCTCGATCACAAAAAATAAATAAACAAACATGATACTGAGGCCGAGAAATAAAAGATCTACAAACATTGCAAATAAATGTGCTTTGTGCTGAAATTAACGACTTTAACACTGCAATTCATTCTTATGTGTATGCAAGTGTGTCTGTGCAACGCGTTGAAAAACAAATTATTATACACAGAAATATATTGAATAAAATCAAATAAAATTCCTGTATGAAACATTCCGATGTAAATGCGCGAGCATTCACCGATCTAACTAACACTTCACGCATCTAATCTAAATCGTAAATGTATGGATCGGAGTGAATCGGTGACACTACTAATCGTATTCAATTAGACTGTCATTACAATCAATTAATGACTAATGCATGCTGTGCGTACCCGTACAATCAATTCGGATGTGGTAGCTTTGATCATCACCTTGTTGTATTTTGTCCAAGTGTGCGTGATATGATATTAACACACTTTATACAATGAATTGACCGTTGAATCTCTCCCTGTGTCTATCATACTGTGCATTTGATTACTGATTTAATATCCAAGTTCAAACAATCACACACATACACACACATGCCACACCACACCAATCGGCGATTACCAGCACACTGTGTATCGATAAGAAGTATGGCCAATGAATGACTGAAATTCCATAAATAAACATATCTAATCGAGTACTTTTTATGGCAATCAATTCATAAATTACGTTTTACTTAATCATTTGAATCGTGTTTTTTGTTATTTTCCTCATTCGAAATTGTAAATAAATTGCACGACCGGCTAAATATATCGATTACTTTATTAACGAAGAAAAGATTTATGATTTGGACGTGACCAACTTTAATTGATACTTTGTGTGCTAATTTAAATCACACATCGCATTGTCGATGGCATTAAAATGGCCCATCAAATGCATTTCATTTTATTTATAATCGTTTGTACTAAACCTCAAACCAAAATGCAATCATCGCTTCGGTGATGCGTTTGATTTGATCGGTATTACCACTTCATGAAAGATTATAAACATCGCATTATATGTAATACTATACATAGACAGTTGTTGTTTTTTTGTTATTTCATTTTTATTTTAATTACTTCAAGCGTGTGTTGTGAGAATTCGATTGGCAATTCAGCGACTCTTTATTCAAGGATGTTGCATGTTGTTTGACGCTCACACATGAAGCGTCGTGCACCATTGCCATGCACCCGATAGTTGTTTTCGCTCACACGGAATCACAGTGTTTTATTTGTTTTGGATTTGATGTTCTTCTCATTATTTTTTTTTTTATTTCAATTTCATTCGCCGTATTACGACAATATAATGAAATCTATTTTTACAGACGAAACCATCGCATATTATATGAGCAATAGTTCGCAGACGTTCGTTTTTTTTTGGTATCATCTCTCATCAGCATATGTTTTCTTTGGTAACGATACATTTTTTTCTTGTTATTTTCTGCATTGGTGTTGTTGTTATCTTTGGAAATGTTCGCTGATTATTCGTCATCGCCTTTGTTAGACGTGATGCGTTGTAATTCTAGCTAAATTTTCAAAGTTTGCATGAGTGTTAATTGCCTTTTTTTCGCTTTCATTTTGAGGATCTTTTTTAAAAAAATTTGTGGTTTTTCCTTCTTTTTTTCTTCTTCTTTGCTGATTCGTGGTGCACTACCGCTTTTATTATTCGTTCTGCAGCAAACGAACGCTCCGAAAATTCTCATGTAATTTTCAACGGATGGATTACGGTACATCTCTATTGCACATGTAATTTAATTTATTACCGCCAATTGCACATTTCTCTTTCAATTCAGTTTGAACTGTGTCATCGAACACTAAATGTGTGCATATGTATGCGATTGTAGGAAAGGAAAGGAAAAAAAAAGAATGTCGACTTGAAACAATTACAACAACAATAACAATGTTGTGCATAGACGTTTTAACGCCACCACGCGGTATCGAAATAATGAATATGAAATGATAATAATAAAGAAACATTTGGACCTCGGCTTGGACAAAAACTAGCGCACACAATAGCAAATTGTAATTGTCTAATGTTTTGGTGCGGCAGTGTGGCACATTGTGGTGACATAATTCCAATTAAAATCGTTGTCAACCGATTTAAAAATCGTCATAATGATTCAATAAGTTATGACTACTTTTAAATTACATATGCGACGGCATACTTTGTACATTTCATTTTATTAATTTAAGCTTGAATAATAGAATAACAACAGCTGCTTGTAATAAGGCAACAAGAGCCAACGAAAGAGATAATGTTGAGACAAATTATCCATGCAAAAATTGTTTATTGTATGCGGATTCTATAAGCAAATCACATTGGATTTCCCATAAAAATTTGTCTATTCTGCTCATTTCGATTGAAGATTTTCACCTAGATGTTCGTTATGGCAATTCGTTCAATTGCATTTTTATATTTTACATTTTATTGTACAATTTACAGACACCAACGGCAAATTCGTTACAAAAACACCATGGTGCTAGATGTAGCAATAAAAACAAAGAGTCATTCACGCTTATTGGACTCGAACGAAAGAACCATTTTTAAATTCTCTATGCTAAGTTTTTTTCATCTTCTTCTTATAATTCAAGAGGTTCTGCAAACACCATGCGATCGTAATGGTTGAGCTAGTCAGATGTATATGTACGATGACTAACATTTGTATGTGTTTCACTGTTTTATTTGACTTGATATTTAGATGTTCATTTTATTTCGGACAATGTATGTTTTTCGTCAATTAAAAATATTGTCTGACTTCCTTCTGGTAATGTGTTTGGCTTTAAGTGACTTATGTGACTTATTTGTTTATGCAAGCTTGAGATGATGTATACCCTGAACCCACGTTATCTTGCATTAATCACTTTGAGAAATATCATTTTTATTCTCTCTATTTTTTAATCTCTCTTGCATTTTTCAACATAGAATACTTCTTTTGTGATGTGTGTGATTACAATTTGTGGTAGATATTTTGTTGCAATCGTTCCTTTTATTTTTCAATAATATGTGATGGCATTATTGTTACACATGTTTCAATACAAAATAAGTATTTGAGATAAAAATTCATGTCGTTTCTATCTTGAAATGTGACGTTAAAATGAAATATTCTTTTGTTTAGTCATGCCAATGGAATGAAATTCAATGTTTTAAAAATTCGGCAAACGTTATAGATAAATGGTTACCGAAAAAAAAACGCAAAGTTTTCGAAAACGTGACAATTCAAAAAAATGTTGATGGTTTCAACTGGATTTGAAATGTGGAGCAAGTTATTTGTGTACATATTTGATGAGATTGACTGACCAACGGGCATTTGTTTTCTTTTCGAATCTCTGATGAGATTATGTGCTTTGCCTATCAATCAACGAAAATGACCAAAAACCGATTTAACCCCGAACAATCGTACTTCTTTTTTTTTGTTCACTATTCAAAACTTTATACGGTCATTTGTATTCGGCATTCGTGCTTTAGAATTTCAGCAATAATATGGCATCGAAGTAGTTTTGACGAAAAACTGCGATGAAAGCTAAACCAAACCTAAAATAATATGAATGAAATAAACTCGGAACAAAAAACTATACAAATAAAATTAACATTCATATCAAATCAAATGGCTCAGTGAATTAAGCAAGTGTGTGTGTGTGTTGATGATGGTATTCCACACAAATAGTCGAAAACAAAATAATTGGTTCTTGTTAATAAGATCATTTGTGAACCATCAATTCTCGTTTGATCGTTTGGCAAATATTTGATACATGTATATAAAATGACAACATGCCATTGCAGGTCGATTGCCATTTATCTACAGTATTTCATGGTCTTTTAATGAACTTCCATCCAAGAGCGAGAAAAAAAAACATGCGTTTTTTTAATACCAAATTTAGGTATTCGTATTTAATTTGCGCTGCAAATTGTCGGTTGGGTGCCAAAAAAAGCCGTCATTTCTCAAATATAAAATCCATCAGACAAAATTTATGGCTGATTCACATAAATTATAATCATCTGCTAGTTTTCACGACGTGTGTTTTATAGTCGCGATGTTTTTTTTTTCATTATTATTTTACTCTCATTGGCATGAACTGTTTGTGAGGTACGACTGAACGAAAAAAAAAACCAATTTTGTCTGCGTATATATTTTTCTGATTCGTTGATAATGTGATTTGATCCAAAAAAAGTCATGATGGAAAAATTTCAACTATTTACACCATAATGATTTTTAAACGCGTTGCGAATTTAAATGCATGGTTTAATTCGAGTGATTCGTCAAAACTTAACCAATCCGCGACTCGAATTCTGTTTGACTTTTTTACCTCAAATATACATTTTTTTATTCACTTTATACCATATAGTCAATGTGATATATTGAGTTCACATCACAGCGTAACATACGAAAATAAACAACCAAAATAATTCATGCGCAAAGAAAACTCATATTTGGTCTGAGAGAAAGAGAGATCCATCGACACCGAATGATTTGGTCAGGTCAATCAACTGTCCTTCTTTCATCGACTCTGTACCTTAAGTTCAGATAAAAATTCGAAAAGTGTATAGCAACTCGTTTTAATTTAATTGCTAATTTAAACCGCTTTATCTTTATTCACGGTGCAAAACCATACACACACACATACGAAGTAACGGCAAATAAAACATTTCGAATAAAAAAAATGGTTTTGTATGCGAATCGACGCAATAGAAATGATAATCATCATGAAAATTGTGCCTTTGATTCAAACAGGTGTCATTTGAGGCCTATAGCACAATCATTTTTTGGCATGATTTTGTCACTGAAAAAAAAAACTGAAAACTTTTTTCTTGTACTTTTCTATCACTCTAAATCATCGATGAACTATTAGAAATCAATGGGTAAAAATACTCATTCAACTTTGATCATTAAGTTTTGCATTCAAATACACGGAATTATATCATTCAATGTGAGTAGTCAATGATACAAATCTCTCTTTTCATGCAATAATTTGGAGAATGTGCGATCAAAAGAAGAATGAAAGCAATCGCTTTTCTTCTCTTATTGTTGTTATTGATAAAAGAAAGAAGATCATCCAATAAAAGTTTTGCGGTAAAACTTACACTTTTCCTTTTTTTTCCTCTTCTGTATTGGAAGCGAATCGGATGGTGTTGTATCATCAAGTTACATTGATCATTGATGTGGTTGACTATCTATTTTTTTTATTGTTTCCTACATATTCTTTTTTTCATCGAAAGAAAAAAAAATGACGGCAAATCGTCTTATATATTATGCATATGTATCGAAACCGTTTGTTTTATGTTAAAAAAAACGGTAAAACTTTCCGCTGTTTTGTCGATCAACTACCACAATACAATAGCTATGAATAGATTTTTCAGCATTTTTTTTCAAATTCAAGTTTTTATTTACCACCAGGTTGATGATTATTGATCACATCGAAATGATATGAGATTCCAATCGGCCGATCATTTTAAAAATTGCGCGTATTTCTTAATGTGCAAATACAAAACAAAGACAAAATCAATAAAATCGATTCGATAAAAGAAAATATGTTCATTAAAGATTCCAAATTATTTGAATACAAGGTTGCCAAATTTAGATTGCATTTGGTAATTGATACAAAGCTCTCACTCTTAAAAGTCACAAATTTAGTCAATGTTGTATTTTTATCACATCGAATTTAAGAGGTTTTGATTTGCACCGATTCGCAGCACAGAGACATATATAGCATGCATACCGATTCGGCATGAAATTCTCTCATAGGCAATTGCAAGCAGTTCTTGATGAAAATACAGTAAAAAATGTAATGCAAACGCATGGAATCATTTATCATCGGAGTGTGTGTGTGTGTATGTTGGAGTGATTGCGAGAGAGATTTAGTGATGAGAATAAATGCAGCAAGCCGTAAAGCATGTTGCATGGAACGTCGAATGTTTGCATTCAATATTCACTTCTTTCTTCATTGTTTATTGACACATTTAATTCACATACGTTTTTCTTGTGTTTTGAATTTAAATTGTAACATTTCTAATCTTTCTCTCTCTATCTGTGTATATGTGTACGCTTTTTTTTGCCATAAAATACATGGCATACAAAATAATTAATGTATGAGTCATTTTAGTGCCGCATAAATGACTCGAAATACGATAAAAACATCTAAATGGAATAAAGTTCCACCACACATGGATGCAGGGACACAGAGAGAAAGAGAGAGACAGGGAGTGAAATAATGACAAATTGGTGACGTTCGATAGAGATATATTTTTGTCACAGAAAAAAAAAAGATCCTCTTTCGATTGATAAAATTGTAAATGTACGCCAAAAAGAGAGAGACACATGACGAAAACCGGAGAGAGTGTGTGTATAATTACATATAATTTGCATTGCTGGCAATTGCAAACACATTTCCACCCAATCCACAAAATATGAGAAATGCATGTAATCACCGTCGTCATATTACACGCGACAAGCGATTATATTCTGTATTTTTTGTATCGTGAATATGCCACGATTATTCGATATTTTTGTATGTGTAATATTATAAATACATGTATACACACATCCCTTTTCAAGCTATACTAGATTGGAGGAGAAATAGAATAGAAAAAAAATCGATATTTTTATGATGGCATTCGTTGACCTTTCTATTACGTAAGCCTCAAGACAAACACTGCAATCGTTTTTCGATTGGTTTTTGATTTGTGTATTTATATAAGAGAGTCGTAAGCGGAAAATCACAGGAATAAAATAAGTTCAAATAATAATTATAAAAAAAAAAAAATGTTTCAAGAAAAATTATGACTAAACACTGTCAAATGATACGGACGGTATCGTAATATGCAAAATAGTTCGCTACATTACTGGCACACGCCATTAGAAACAGTAACAACAATAACAGCAGCAACAACAATAACAGTAACAGCGACCACCACGAGCTGGGCACAATGATAACAGAGCATGAAAAATGTTCGATTAACAAATAAACGCAAAGGAATATGCAGCAAAACAAAAAAAGAACCACGTCCGAACGATAAAAGAAGTGTGTGCCAAAATAAAGCACAACACAAAATGCAATGTGTATATTTACAAAAAAAAATGATTATGAATATGAGCAAACGAAATGCAAAAAAGAAATTGAATCGAAATGAAATAGTCGATGTGTACAGTTTGTAAACAGCACATGGAATGGATGAGCATAGGGAAAGCAACAAGCAGCGCACACCACAAGTATAATATTGATATATATTTTTTTTTTTTTGTAGAAAAAAGTGTATTCAATTTTTTGCTCTCTTTTCTTTCATTCAGAGACTCTAATGTACATAATATCTATTACGTGTGGTGTTTCTACCAGCCTGATATGTTCTTTTTTCATTTGTTTGGCGTTTTTTCCTCTCTGTTATGTGTTGAAGTGCACGGCGTGCATTTCTTCTTCTTTTTTTGCACAGACGAAAAGCTAACTGGGCAACATGCATTGAGCTAGAGAAATCAAACGCTTGTTCATGAATAATATTATCATTTTCGAAGCATTTTGCGTCCGTGTTCTTCTTTCTCTATCTCTGTTCATCTATATTTCGCTCTTGATGCGAGAAACAAGAGACACGAAAAAAAAACACTCAAAATGGCAATTGCATATGATTTTTCATGCAACATTGTTGAGTTTATTGAATTTAACTGCTGTTTGTAATTAATTTTTGTCTATATATGCGTATGATTATTTTTTTTTGATGTTGTTGCTTCTTTCATTTTAATGTAAGCCGTGCTACCACCGACACTGCCGCCACCGTTGCTATTGCGCCGCTGTGCCGACAATATTCATTGTGTCGTTTCATTGTTGCTACAACTCTAATAGCTCATGCTGTGGCTCCTATACTACTTATTTCCTCCGTTTTGTTAAGTTACATTCAAAATATTAATAGATAAATTTGTGTAATTGTTTTTTTCTACTGCTCCGTCTACAACTTCTTCATTTTTTTGTTTTTAGCTTAGTTTATTTTTTTTTTTAATTACCTTTTTCTCAGGTTTGTAGCAAGCCCGTGAATCAATGGTAGAATTTGCGTTTAGACTATTGTGATCTGCACCGATAACGGTAACTTCTTGTGTTTTCTTTTCACCGTCACGTACACCGAACTGAAATGGTCGATGTTCCTTGATACTGTTGCTATTGCTGTTGTTGCTGTTACTATTCCCAACGACGATCAAATGCTGAAGTTTACGTACATTATCGCAATTCGATACAATGCCGGAGCTATTTGATTTTGTTGGTTCTTTGGTCACTTTATCAATGCACAATTTATCAATAATATTTTTATCTTCGACCATGACCGAGTGCAGGAAAATTTCGATTATTGGCCGAGGAAAAAAAATTTACTTTTACTGTCCTTTTTAAATATTTAGTTTCACTCACTGCTCTTTCTCTGTCGCGCTGATAAATATGTAAACTTAGTACAATAATAATCTCTTGCTGAGTCACAGTAAATTACCGAAATATTGCACGATGATTAAAAATGGGAAAAGTCGCGAATTGATTTTTTTTTTTGGATTTTAACTTTGTTCATCCAAATGACGAGCTTTTCATTTAATTAGTTTGTTGTGTTTTGATCGCTTGATTTTTTTTTCTGCGATTGACAAATTTTTCTTTATCAATATCTGATAAAATGCGTATCGAAACCACCACAGGTTGCCAAAATAAAAAATCAACAATGTTGTACAGGTAAACACTTTGATTTTTGAATTCGCGTTCGCGATGAGAGCTACACTCACAAAATACGCCAAACAAAATGAACCATGTATATTATTTTTTCACATATATATATATATAAATATACAGATATTTTATGTTTTGAAACGAACGACAAACGATGGGGACCACAATGAAAAATATAATGAAGATGTAGATTTCACACAACAAGAACGTTGACGACCGAACAACACGATACAAAAGCAAAGTTGGAAGTAAATATTGCAATGAAGCGTCCTCAGCTACAAACCATCGATGGTACGGCAAAAACGTAACACTTGTGAAAAAAGGGCTTATAGCTGTATATATATATGCTTATTGTTATGATTGTTTATTCGGCCTCTTGCTCTATCGCTCGCATGCGACACACATATCGACCGTGCTCAGCATAGCGCATACAATAATCATGAATTAACAATGTATGCGTGTGCGCACTTTGCAATGGAATTGTGTATATAAAGTGCTTCTGATGACGTTTCGCATGTTTCACTTCACTCGTTACAATACAAAAGCCCATTGCATTCCACACTCATACAGTGTAAACGCACTTCTCACACCAACTTCATTAGTCATTTGAATGTATGTGTGTGCGTTCTAACTTAATAACAATGACGGCACTAGCGTATGAGTCATAGCGATGTTTATTTGATTGATGATATTCGAAAAATGATTGATGTTGAAATGATATCAATAATTGTGTGATTAATTCGAACGATTATTTAATTCATCTCTTTGCAATAAATCAAGCGTTGTTTTGATTTTATGTCAACCGCAAAAATAAAGTAAACGAGCATAAGTGCTGCCAACATTTAAACATCAAATGAGTTAATCTTCATTTACATCTGGTAAACCGAACTCGTATATTCAATAGACATTAAGTTCATATTATTTGACAAAGAGATTTCTCGTTGAGAAAATAATTTAAATCAAATTCTAAATTTTGATTGATATGTACGCGTACGTCGAACATTCTCATTTATTAACATTTCTTTCATTGTCTCTGCAGCGATGCAGTTTTTCGATTGAACAATGCAATTGGAAACATCGTTTTCAAAACAGTAGAAAATACACCAAAAAGACATATAATAGTAAAAAAAACTCTGTGCTTGATCCTCAACTGTAGATACATTGTCTGTCAGTAAGCATAACTTCGAGAACTTCGATACGTATGAACAATGAACGACTCAAACATTTGATTTTTAATTAAATGAATTAAACAAACGAAGATAGTGTAAATAAAAAAAACCTTTGCTTGAATGGTCCTTTCGTCGGTGTTCGTGGACAGCACTACTTCTTGATTAAACAGTGACCATGTTCGGCGATAAACTCTTATACAAAATAGTTTTTAAAAACTCAGTCACATTCAGAGCTTCTAGACTAGAATTTTTACCACAAGTGCGAAATGGAAGCTTGAATGAAAATCAACTAAATTAACAAGAGCTAATTGCCGAATCCACTTTCGCAACTCTTCTTTTTTTTTCTAAACAATTTTTATAATGAAAAAAAAATGTCGACAATTTTTGACATTGTTTGGAAATAATTTGCTTTTGATAAATAATAAGTCGTCACAAATCGATCCAATACAATTTAACCGTCTTTTAAGAATTTTAAATACGAATTCATATAAGAAAGTACTTTGCACACTCTCATTCATAAAGTAATGCGCTTGAGTTGGTAAACAATATTGACAGTCTATCAAAATCATGGGTGTACGTGTGTTTGAGTGAGTGTTGTCGTGTCTAAGCTTGTATATGTGTTTTTATTTGGTTTTAGTCAGTTGGCAATCGTTGTTTTCGGTGCGATATTTTGTCTAATTGTGTTCACCTTTCATTGAATCATTGTCGTAAATGCCAGTTCAGTCAAAACGTCGCGACGGCGTTAAATAGTTGCTGTTTGCACACTGAACTGAGAGTATACATACAGTAACAAGTTCCATAGTTGTTGTTTTTTCCATCGAACACTTTTCCCAGTCATCGACGTGTTTGATTTTTGCGTTTTTCCAATTTTATTATTTTCCATTCATGTTTGATATCAAGTGACCGACAAAATTGACGAAATAAATTATTGATGGTGAACTAGTGACTAATTTACAGAATAAAAATGGATACAAATATATTCAAAATATTTGTATTTTATTTGTTGTGTATAATAACAACGAAAGCAGGTACAGTTGATTGTTGTCGGAAAATCGTATGAAAATTGCTTGTGAAAATGTTATTTGACAAATAAATCGTGTGGTTCACAATCACATTTGTGCTTAATTCAATCATTTGGTACATGAATTAAGTGCATTAATTAATAAATATTGTATAAAAATTGTGTACATTTTACAAGAAAACTGGGCGTGTGCTTATCAAAGATTGTTGAATGGTTTGCGTTTCACGCTACTATACCATACAAATGTGTCTACGATCGTTTTCATTTCGCTAGCTCGCTCATTCGCATCGCATTGAGGTGTGCTCACCGTGTGTTTCTTTCTTATGTTATTTTGACGGATCAAGTGAGTAATATCTCGCATCCAAATACAAAGTAATGGTATTTTGTTGCTTTCGACGATTACTCATTTCAATCAAATCGAATAACACGAGAAAATTCTAAAATTTTTCATTTATTATTGTAAATAAATGCATGACCATTCTTATTTAAATGCAATTAGAAAAGAACTATTTATTCTTCAACGCCCAAAAATGTGTGTATGTGTGTGTGTGCACTAACAAGGCAATGTTGTCGAAATTATATTTCCAATTCAAGGGTGAAGCACCACGAACAAAATGCATTCATATCGAACATAAGTCTAGTTCATATTTTTTTCTTGGGTGAAATCCGAAACAAATATGAATGTATTATGTCATTGATTGATCATGGGCTTCAATTTTTGTCACCTTTTTCATGACAAAAATCAACAAATAAAGGGAAATTTATTAGGGCTTCAATTGTTAAACATTTACCGTGATTTCGATTTTTTTTTCTTCGTCTTTAAGTCGACGAGTGACCGCACAATGAATTTAATTCCAACTGTAAATTGAATGAGCGAGCAAAAGATCTATGACATAAAACCCATACGTGTAAATTGTATTTCGGTGTAGAATATTTGTAGTTGTTTTTTTTTATTCATTCATATTTTTTTCCAATCCAATAAATATTCTATTTGCATCGATAATCCGCTTAAAAAATTGATCGTTCACTTATTCTGGTGCACATATGGTTGATATTTTTGTCTGTCATTCACACCTGGAATCCCGCTAAAAGTGTCGAGCAATTCACACGGATTTAATAGCTATAGAGTGTTTTTTTTTTCTATGTGTGTCTGTTGCTGTTGTTGTTAAATAAAGATCCATGTTCTTTGTAGGTTTAAATTTCATCTTCTCTAATGTGTTTTTCCGTTCATTTTTTTTATATTGTACAGATAACTACTATGAAAATGCATATTATCCACAGTATGAATGCAATATACCGCTATTAGATCAGGCAGCCATAACCGCGACATCATCACTGAGGGAGAGAGGTCCACAGAATGCACGCTTGAATGGTAAGAAGGAATATTAATAATGAAATGAGTGCAACGAAAGAGCCAAGAAAATCAAATCAGACGGGACCTCCTTGTTGTTGACTAAGTCGAATATTTATGAGGATACAACAACATGATATTACATGTTAATTGCAACGAAACATTCACGTCTCTTTTCTTTTCGGTCGAAACGAGAGAACGAGAGTGAGTGCCCCTTGTAGTCATCGCTCTATTGTACGGATTCGCTGGCAGGCAAAATTGATTTATGAGTTTTGAGAATCGGGACTGTAGTCTATTTCATTAGGTTATTGAGTTGTTTCAAATCTGTTGAAATGGCCAAAAGAAAGTCCGTTCTTGTTTGCACAAACACGTACTGTTTTATTGCTCCATAGTATGAACAAAAAAAAAAGAGTAGTCAAACGAGTAGAACATGAAATGTACTTTGGGAAAGCAGTTAAGAATTAATCCAGTTGGAAATTGGATGCTAAGAGCATTTTCATTTTTGTAATTTGATTCCGATCTTTATTGTTCATCTCTTTTAATTGTTGACGATGCGGCGAAAAGGCAATAGATCTATTCAATGGGAAAATGAACAGAATACATCTGCCAATATTATTTCAAAAAGGCGATATTTTAAAAACAGCATAAACACACTTGCATCGAACCCACATTTTCAATGGAAAGACAAACAATTTCACAAAGGATCATTCTTATCCATTCATGCACATCAATCATTTGATGAAAAAACAAAAAACAAAAACAACAGCACGTTACAAAAACGTAAACAAAAAATAAAGAACTGGGTGAATTCAAATCGGAATTTGTCTCTATTTCGAGTGAATCTATCTTGGTGTTGCTTTCAAAATATCACACAAATATTTCGTCAAACATTCATCTCAAAGCGCCAATAAATTTACATCTTGTTCGTGTCAAACATTTACTTTTTGCACGCCTGTTTAAACACATTGTGCGTGTGTTTTTTTTTTTCATCTCTTCATCTTCTAGTTTGTAAATGAAGCATAGCAAGTGTGCGTGGGATCTTACCCAAACACAGTTTTTCATAGAATTCAATTCGATGGCGGCCCCAAAAAAAACATTTTCCTTTAATTTAAGCGGTGCGAACCGTGAATTATATTATTAGTGAGAGTGGAATGAGTGCGCGAGTTGTGCGTGGTGCACAGTTTACGTTGTGCATTTACTATTTTTATCGGTTGTATGGCAACTGTCCAAATGAACATTTTAACCAAATTTATGGATTAAATGATGGTTTCCAAGGAAAACATATGCAGGAAATATTAATGGTTACGACTATTTTGATGTTGTTTGGTGCGCATAATTAATTTAGAACATTTCTTCTGGCCCGCGATATATTAAAGTCTTGCGACCGCTCCGACTCTGGGTGGAATTGATTTTTGTTTCACCATGGGTATTATTTTTTGTTGTTGTTGCTTTTCGGGGGTGAACACGACTTTAATGATTTAATACGTGCAATGAATGCAAAATGAATACAACGGTGCAATTTATATTCTGATCTGATGGCAATCAACATCAAAATGGCATTTACTGCACAACTACATGCGATAAATGTTTTTTATTACAATTTTATATGTGTCAATTATATTGTTTGATCTTATGTCATGATTTCGGTGCTAGACGTGCGCACACACACACTCACAGAGAGATAGAGAGACAATAAAAACTGAACGATTGCAATGTGTCTGCTCTGGCTTCCTTTTCAATTCAATGTTCATCCAAATACGAACAATTGATACACCGAAGAATCGACACAAATATAAATAAAACATAAATACTTTGGTACTTTTTGGTGTGTTGTTTTGCGACATGGGAGTGCTTCTATCGATCAAATAACAAAAAAAAAAATTGCGTTTGCCTTATTTTTCCGTGCTCCGTTCATTTTTCTTGTTGCACCATCGAATGATGAATGCACGAAGGGTGAACGATATTACAATTAGAGTTGAGTGAGGGGATGATCTCATCCTTCGTCTCTCGCTCTCGCATTCATTTCAAATGTATGTCGGTTGATTTTCACCAGGCTATACACCAAATGCATTTCGTTGTTACATTACCACAGCACAGTTGCGAATTTTCGATTCTTCTCCCCAAATATAATTCAAAAATGAAAATGACTTGTGCCTCACCCATTTCAATGGAAGTGCACAGCAAAAAAAAACCACCCGAATTAGAAATTGCAGACAACCATTTGTATGTTTTATAAATCGAAATGAAAATAATATCTGAAGAGCCGACAAACATCGTGAAACAAGGTTTCTGAAAAAAGTAACTACATTGGTATAAAATCAACAACGACAAAACAATGAAAGTACTTCTCGATCGACGTGTAGGTTATTGTTTTTTGTTTCTGGTTCATTTCGTTTTGGTAATTTATTGTTATTTTATATTCACCCCTTTCGATCGGTATAAATTGCGAAACACTTTGGTAACCTATTTCATTGTTATTTAGTTTTACTTTTCGGCGACAAGCGTTGCCAGGCACGATTTCTTTTTTTTTCGTAACGGATGAAATGAGGACATTTTATAAGCCAGATAAATCGTTTGTGACAAAAAATGAAAACAATCATACCATTGATATTATAATATTTGATTAACAACAAATTGAAAGAGTTGGATTCAACAAAATACCTAAGTTTTATTTTCTCATAACAAATTTCCTTAGCAAAACATTATAATATTCCATATAACTAGAAAAAAAATTCGTCAAAAAATAAAGTTTAACATAATTATCCCATTCGAATGTATGCTGCTATGAATAATGTCATACCGTTTTCTTTAACTTCTTATTCAGTACCATTTGACAATACATCGGATCAATGTTTAATAATGGTTTGGCGTCGTGCATAAGCCGTTCAAAATCAATCACTTCAAAAATAAGTTCATTTTCTGACAATTCCAAATATTCGGGCGATGGATTTTTTACAGCAACGCCAACACAGTGTTCGTTGTCAAGCAACGATTCCTCAAATAGCCAATTGTTCAATGGTTTACCGCCAACTTTAACAACAGTGTCCCGAACAATTTTATTCGTGAACAAGTTGTCGGTGCTCAGTTGGAAATCGATACTTTGCAAATCGATCGTAATGCCGACGCCAATGTTTTTCACATAACTCTCTTTCAAAGACCAATGTCGCATAAATGCTGCCGTTTGATTTTGATCACCATTACGTGATTTTATAAATTTCCATTCGTTGGACGTAAATGTTCGATCCATTAGGCGAAAGAATTCATGTAACGCCTTACCACCGCCAGTATATTCTAATTTCATAACATCAACTCCAACATGTTGTTGCCGGCCATTGTGTTCTTTTGAATTTTTTCCAAACCATCCGGCTAATACTGCATAACGTTCATGATGCGACACATTAAAATCCATGTTAAAATCAATTTTATCTCGGATGTCGGTGGCTGGAACGAAGAATGGTTTGCCACGTTCGTCACGTTCAAAACGAATTTCATTGTAATCCAATTCAGGTAAACAGGATTTAATAAATTGCCTCATTAATAAACGACCGATGATTGATGCTTTAAAGTCATCGATAAAATGGAATTTTGATAATCGCTCCCTTTCTTCCGGCTGAACACATGACGTAGCTAATTCCAAATCAGGCAATGTACATCGCCACGATCGTAGATCAAATGCCCATCGAACATTACCGTTCTTTATTGACATCGTGAAATCTCCCCTATTAAATGCACTTTTTTTTTATTTAGGCGAATAATCCGATGAATTCCCTTCGATATTCTTGTTTTTATTTTGTTGATTTGAATTGAAGGTTATCCAATTGACTGAGTATTTAACAGAGAGTAATCTCTCTTTTTATCTTCAAGATAAACTGATTTCAATGCAAATATCACTTTCTTCGAAACATCACATTTTTGCTTGGTAATAACAATGAAATCGAAACGTCAAACATTTGACAATGCGTTCATGTCAATGGTCGTGTTGCCAATGTTGAAAAAAATAAATGTCGTCGTTGGAATAGTTGTTGTTGTTATTTTCTTATTTGAATTGATAAAACGTTATGTATAACCGAAAAGATTTGGATTTATATAGGCAGTTTTTTTGTGAATGATTTTTTTTTTGTAGGTAGGGATTATTAAAGTATTTTAAAAATGAAAAATGTTAGCATTCTTCATCTTACAAAAATTATACAAACACATAAGTTTGGACTATATCATTGAATACCGACGATAAATGTGTGTAAAACATACATAAAAAATCACATGCAAATTGTATTAAAAAAATGAATTTTAATTAATTTTAAAGCTGGAACATCGTGGACCGCACAAAATTCAGATTTTGAACAAAAGTTGATAATTGATTTGGGCGCTGTTCGAAATATAACGGCGATTGCGATACAAGGTCGACCACATAGTGTCGAATATGTAACTGAATTCACCATAAGCTATGGTTATAATGGACTTGATTATGCCGATTTTAAGGAGCCCGGCGGCAACATTAAGGTAAACCAATCTTCAAATCGCAGAAGAAACGAAATACTGATAACGAACATTGAATGGGATATGGGCCGATGCTTGGTTTTTTTTAATTGGTTTTATTTACATTTCGCATTTCATTTCATTGCAAACAAATGCTCAATCACACTATAACAAGCTAATATATCAATAATCGAAGGATGTGGCCAAAATGAAAATAATTTATGCAACCATTGTTTTACCATTGCAACTAACTGCAACATTCGAACCGACAAATTCGATTATTTCTGGTTGAAATGCTGACATTTTTGACATCATATTTTTATTGTACTAATAATGCTTCTTTACCGATGGGAAATGACAAAAGCGTATTCTATTATTCATACGACTAACACGAATAATTTTATACTAACTGTCTTTATGTTTAAGTGGGGTTCTAAAAATGGAAAAACTTGAAATTTTTATGGGATATTTGTTTTTCGTAGGGTTTCTATTTTACTGCATTTTTTTGGATTAAGAAATTTTGGTCTCTAATAATAATAATAATCAATTATATAATTATAGTGGAAAATTAATAATTTCGAAACTAACCCAATTCGTTTTTGTCTTTCTTCTTCTTATTTATTCATAATGCACTCAATGCTGCGTATTGCTTCCGTTTATTTGTCTCCTTCAAATTCAATATGGATTTTTTTCATAATTCATTCAAAATCTAATTGAACCATCAATTTGGAAATGATGCAACACAACACGAATGCTCACATCTTTATTGCACATTCGCAAAAAAAAACTAACTAATTTTTACATATACACACTCACTGCAAATTATACAAACAAAAATAAATCAAAATGCTGGATATTGCAATACCGAAATTAAACACTGAATAATAATGAAAAAAAAAAAAACAAATAGCGCCCTCATCATGGACACCAGTCGAAAACACTTATTACCATTTTTTAACATTTGATTTGGGCGCAGTTAAAATTATTAATAAAATCGCAACACTTGGTCATAAGCATACACAAGAATATGTCACCGAATTTGTCATACAGTATTCGGACGACGGAGAATTATGGCGATCATATGTTAGCCCTGGTGGTGAGGTTCAGGTAACAAATTCATCAAATTCCACTTTCCTAATTTCGTTTTTGTTGTTGCTGTTGCTGATATGTGAATCTATGTTGTGCACTTACTGAACAAAGTAAATAAAAATCAACATGTTTTTAGCGAAATGAGTGTTTCAAATATACGCAAGTTTGTTCGAAGTTTTGTGCTTTCTTTAATTTAATCTCTTTTTTTGTCGCTTTCCTTCTTTTTGCTTGAACACCTACTTAATTCATTCCATTATGAAAATAAAACTGACTGGCTGATTGAATGACTACTCGAAATTAAATGAGAAGCAATCACATTCAATTAAGCAGAAATGCATTAATTACTTGTTAATTTAAGTCGATTACCAGGTTTTTTTAACAGAAAAAAGTCAACCGATTAGATCTGAAATTAGTCAGTCATTTTATTTCCATATGGGATACGTAATTTATACCCTACCATAAGCCTATTTTAACACTTAACATGTAGCATTCATATCGTAGCGGGTTGAGAAAAAAAAAATACAAGTGGTTTGTTAGCTTATTTATACAATCTATCATGTGCATATTATTTTAAACATCGAACAATGTGTAAACTAAAGCGATTTGTAAATTTTCGCAGATGTTCAAGGGAAATGTGGGAGCCGATTCGATAAAATACAATGTGTTTGAGGTGCCGATAATCGCACAATGGGTCCGCATTAACCCAACACGTTGGAGAGATCGTATTTCACTAAGAGCCGAACTGTATGGTTGTGAATATGGTAAGTAATACTAAGTACACGTATAAGTTACGTGTCGTTATAGTATCATAGTCAATCACTGCAACTTTCCATTACCACTTTAATTTCTCGATTTTTATTTTTCATTTAGTTTCCGATGTATTAAATTTCAACGGTTCAAGTTTGGCCCGATTAGATTTACTACGTGACCCAATCGCTTCACTTTATGAATCGATTCGTTTCCGTTTCAAGACTGCCTATGCAAATGGTATTGTTCTATATTCTCGCGGTACACAAGGCGACTACATTGCTCTTCAGCTCAAAGACAATCGAATGATATTGAACATTGACTTGGGCTCTGGCTTGATGACAACACTATCGGTGGGAAGTTTACTTGACGATAATGTTTGGCATGATGTTGTAGTTTCACGATATCAACGCGACATCATCTTCTCAGTGGATCGTGTCATCGTACACGGACGCATCAAAGGCGAATTTAATCGATTGAATTTAAATAGAGCTGTAAGTATGCATAGAATATATTACACATGGATAACAATAAAATAATATCAACCAATTTTGGAAAACTTATTTTCAGATTTATCTCGGCGGTGTGCCCAATATACAGGAAGGTATGGTTGTACAACAAAATTATACGGGTTGTGTTGAAAATCTCTACTTGAATTCAAGCAATTTCATTCGTGAAATGAAATATGCATATGAAATTGGCGAATCATTACGATATGAAAAAGTGAATGCATTCTACAGTTGCCCCGATCCACCAATAACACCGGTCACATTCTTGACACGTTCATCATTTGCCCGAATGAAAGGCTACGAAGGTATGAAACAATTGAACGTTTCATTTTACTTCCGAACATATGAGGATCGTGGTTTAATGGTCTACCATGAGTTTACATCGCGTGGCTATGTAAAAGTTTATCTTGAATTTGGCAAAGTAAAAGTTGATATTAAAACGGGCGATGGACAAAAAACCATATTGGACAATTATGATGAGCAATTCAACGATGGTCGATGGCATTCGTTGGTGTTGACTATTTCAAAAAATAGTCTTGTGCTCGATATCGATCAACGTCCAATGCCCACAACTCGTTTATTAGACATGACAACCGGTGGCGTATATTTCATTGGTGGCGATATGAAAGGAAAAGATGGTTTTGTTGGATGCATGCGTACAATTACGGTTGATGGAAATTACAAATTGCCATCAGATTGGAAAGAAGAAGAATATTGTTGTAAGGGTGAAATTGTTTTTGATGCATGTCACATGATCGATAGATGTAATCCGAATCCATGTCAACACTCTGGTATTTGTCGTCAAAATTCACGAGAATTCTTCTGTGACTGTAGCAATACAGGATATGCGGGCGCTGTGTGTCATACGGCATTGAATCCATTATCGTGTCAGGCATACAAAAATGTGCAATCGGTTCAACAAAGAGCAACGGTTCATATCGATGTCGATGGAAGCGGGCCACTTGATCCATTCCCTGTAACTTGTGAATTTTATGCAGATGGTCGTGTTGTTACCGTACTTAGTCACAGCAAAGAACATACAACGTCTGTTGATGGTTTCCAAGAGCCGGGCTCATTTGAACAAAATATCATTTACGAAGCAAGCTTACCACAGATTGAAGCACTGTTGAATCGTTCAACAAATTGCTGGCAACGTTTATCATATCAATGTAAATCATCACGACTATTTAACTCACCATCGGACGAACAAACATTTCATCCGTATTCTTGGTGGATCTCAAGACATAATCGTCGTATGGATTATTGGGCTGGCGGCTTGCCGGGCTCACGTAAATGTGAATGCGGTATTCAGGGCAGCTGCATTGATCCAACGAAATGGTGCAATTGTGATGCCAATGAACTTGGTATGTGGCATGGTTTTTCTTAACTGGAATATCGATTAAAATAGCATTCGTTTTTTTTTTTTCACTTTCAGATTGGCAAGAAGATAGCGGTGAAATTCGCGAAAAGGAACATTTACCGGTGAAAGCAGTTCGTTTTGGTGATACAGGAACACCGTTGGATGAAAAACAAGGAAGATATACATTGGGTCCGTTGATGTGCGAAGGTGATGATCTCTTCAATAACGTTGTTACATTCCGTGTTACCGATGCAACCATCAACTTGCCATCATTTGATATGGGCCATTCGGGCGATGTTTACTTTGAATTTAAAACAACCATTGAAAATGCAGTCTTATTCCATGCAAAGGTAGCTAACGATTTACCCACTTCGTCTAAGTGATTTATTCAAAATAACGTATCGGGATGTATTCATAATTTATTATGTTCAATCTCTAGGGACCAACTGATTACATTAAATTAAGCATTATTGGCGGTAAAAAGATACAATTCCAATATCAAGCTGGAAGTGGACCACTCGGTGTTAATGTTGAAACAAGTTATCACTTAAATGACAATCAATGGCATTCCGTTAGTGTTGAACGCAATAGGTATTTAATCATAATCATAATTGTTACGTATGATCGTACGCAAATTATAATATTTGATATTACAGAAAAGAGGCACGACTCGTTGTTGATGGATCGTTGAAAGCTGAAGTTCGTGAACCTCCAGGTCCAGTTCGTGCTTTACACTTGACATCGGAAATGGTTATTGGTGCAACAATTGATTATCGCGATGGATTCACTGGTTGCATGCGTGCATTGCTACTTAACGGTCAACTTATCGATTTAAAATCATATGCAAGACGTGGTTTGTACGGTGTATCAACCGATTGTGTTGGACGTTGCGATTCAAGTCCATGTCTAAACAATGGCACATGCTTCGAACGTTATGATGGTTATACTTGTGATTGCCGTTGGAGTGCATTCAAAGGACCAATTTGTGCTGATGGTTAGTAATTTCAAATCAACTGTATTATTTTTTTCATTCATTTTGTTTTTCCGATAATTGAACATCATAAAAAAATCATTCTCTGTAGAAATTGGTGTTAATTTGAGATCAAGCTCCTCCGTTAAGTATGACTTTTTGGGCAGTTGGCGTTCAACCATTGCTGAAAATATTCGCGTTGGTTTCACTACAACCAATCCTCATGGTTTCTTACTTGGATTTTCATCAAACATTTCGGGCGAATATCTAACAATTATGATTTCGAATTCGGGTCACTTACGTGTTGTATTCGATTTTGGATTTGAACGACAAGAATTGATCTATCCAAATAAGCATTTTGGCTTAGGACAATATCATGATGTTCGATTTTCAAGAAAGAATTCGGGTTCAACGGTTGTTTTGACGGTGCGTTATTTATTATTTCAATCAATTTAAATTCGTTTGTTTCATCATAAAATTTATTGTTTAAATAGGTCGATAATTATCAGCCTAAAGAGTATCACTTTGACATAAAAGAATCAGCCGATGCACAATTTAATAATATACAGTACATGTATATCGGTAAAAATGAATCGATGAATGATGGTTTCATTGGATGCGTGTCTAGGGTTGAATTTGACGACATTTATCCACTGAAATTACTTTTCCAAGAAAATGGACCGAAAAATGTTAAATCGATCGGATGTAAGTGTTCACTTCGGAATTAAATTATTTTCTTTCTTTTTTTTTCAAATTTTTCTTACACCAACTTTATTGTCATTTCGATACTTTTTAGCTACATTAACCGAAGATTTCTGCGGCGTAGAACCGGTGACACATCCACCCATTGAATTAGAAACTCGGCCACCACCGCTGGTCGATGAAGATAAATTGCGAAAGGCATACAGTCGCGTCGATTCAGTCGTTTTAGGAGGTAAATTGGAATATCCATTTTTTATATGAACTTTTATAAAACCGCATAATTTTTCCTGTGTTTTCAGTCATTTTGGCGCTATTGTTCTTGTTGTTAGTTGTGATGGCCGTTTTAATTGGTCGCTATTTGAACCAACACAAAGGAGAATATCTAACGCAAGAAGACAAGGGTGCTGATATTTGTGATGATCCAGATGAGGCGGTTATTAATTCAGCGACGGGGCATCAAGTAACCAAGCGAAAAGAATGGTTCATTTAAATCTGCTCAAAGCATTACGAATAGGCACCATATTTTAATCGTTTTCCAATTCAAAATAGAGATGGTATCGAGACAGAGATAGAGAAAGAGAAATAGAAAAAGAGAGTTAGAGAAAGAAACAGAAAGTCTCCAGTGCATTGAACCAAAAAAAAAAAAGATAAGAAAGAAGTAAAATATAGATCTGATTCCATATTCGAGTAAAAATTTAAAAGTGTTTTTTGTCAAAACTCAAAGGCTAATAATATTTTGACAAGCGGGACTTTTCGTATGAAAAAAACATAGCAACACAAGCATCTAGTGAACTTTTAATTACCACAACATTTTGTATAAAGTCAGTACAAATCGAATCTCTTTCACCGTTGAATATCGATAGTAACATTTGTTTTATTTAAAAAAAAAAAGAAAAAATAATAACAGAATCTAAGATCATAAGAAGAGAAATGTGTGTTACACATTCACAAGCCATGTTGAAATGTGCATTCACACCGTCAAAACAAAAATGAATCTTTTTGATCAGAAAATGAATTTTTTTTATTAATTTTTAAGTATGTTTAGTGTTTAGACTTTCGTTCCCGTCCATATGTTTACTTACTTTACCAAGATTTTTTTTGACATAATTTTTTAGAGTTAACAAAATAAAAATAAAACGAGAGCATCTCTTGCATTTCAGAACTTATTTTTGAATTATTTTGCGAAGATCGGAAACCATTTTTTCTTATTTTCGTTCGTAGTATTTAGATATATATATATAATTGAAATAGCAACGAAACCGTAAATTTCTTTCAAAAGGTGTTTTTTTTCTTGATTCACATTCAGAAATGTTCAAGTTAGTTTTTTTGAAGAATTTATCAAACGCAAGCACCACATTCGTTGTATGTTATTTTCATATTTATTTATTATATTGACCGGAAATAACACGATAAAAATTACTTTCTTTATCGTAAGTTACAATTTATGTGCAAAAAGATTGTGAAATATTTTTAAAATCCACAAAAAAAAAAAAACTATAAAAAAAAAATAACTGAACTGAAATCATATAGAAAATTCTTTCAAACACAACGACATCAAACATTTTCATTAATTTGATTTTTCTACTCATTATGATTTTGTCAATCAGCGTTTTCAATGAATTCGAAATGAAAATCTCTTATAAAAAGTCATAAAACTGTTTCATTGTCATTCTGTCAATTAATTCAAATATGTTCAGCAAGTGCCCTTAAATTGTGCACTGCTTTTCTACATAATTATAATAAAATAAACCAAACAAAAAATTAGCAAAAATAAAATCTATTTTTAAAAGAGCCGGCGTTTAATTGAGTACAGTAACACCTTGATTGCAAATTAATTGATAGAATTCAGACGGTGAGTGAATAGTTCGTCATAATACCAGGCGCCACTAATTTCCGAAACACTTCTGACTGAGTGAAATCATATCTACGGTCTATTGCATCCAGTAAGGTAAAATTATTTGCCGATGTTCGATCATAACTAAAGATATATAAATAATAAATGGAAAGGAGTCAGTCCCAGTTTGGCTGAGTCTGGATTCTTGAATGGCAAGTGTTCAAGTAACGTATCATTCAACCACGGGTACTTGATGGTCTAGTTTTACACATTTTGCTTGGGTGTTCTGATCAGTATAGCTTGTTGTTTCTCGTTCACACTCGACGGCAACTCCCTGTTCATCACGCAAAAGTCTTTAAAATTAACAAATTTCTTCTACAGTGTAAATTTTTTTCCATTTTTCTTCCAAGTGATATGTGGAACTTGGAAACTAATTTCGGTAAATTTCTTAAAAACAACGCGAATCATTTTTCGGAAAATATCATTGATTACAGTCCCAATTGATCAACTATGAAAATTTCGCACAAAATTCTCGGTGGTATATAGATTTAATAATATGTGATTAAAAATTGGCTGGCATATGATTTGTTTACGTAAACGTTTGAATTTAAAATTAATTTATTTTCGAAATAATTATTATGTATCAGTACACTCCATGTTCAAATCCAATAATCCAATTACGCATGTTTGATTTTCCTGTCCAAAACATTTGCCAAAAACTTTTTTTTAAGATATATGAGAAAACAATAAACGTCAAATCTTTTGAATACAAGAGTATGTTTTCATTCAGCCATTATCCATTATTATTATATGTGTAACGTATTCTACTATCATTAAAATGTAAAATCTATAAAAATAGTATACACTGAAAAATACAAAAGAATACAATAGCTGTACATTTCATGCTAACTAAATAGTTTGTTAAAAATAAAAACAAAACATAAATAAGAAAAATTATTAGATTGTTCTATGACTACCAGACGCTATACTGGGATATTTTCAGCCAGCCGAATCAGCTCAGTGAGCTAACGTCAGTCAAAATGGAATGAAAACAATAGAAGTGATAGTGATAAAGATAGTGATTGTGATTGTAGCTACGTAAATGCTTTTATAACCATAACATCACTTTTATTGTTTTAACTCCATTTCAGCGCTTGAAATTAGCTTCCTGAGCTGATTCAGCTAGCTAAAAATATAAATAAGTAGGATAAATGCATATTTGATGGATATACGATCTTTGATGGCATAATTATTAATTAAATGATTTCGTTGCTGACGATTGAGATTCATAAATATGCATGCTTCGTGTTGACTAGAATCATTTTAATGATTGATTTTCTATTGAATTGTAATTAATAATACGTGTACTGTGACACTTGAATGGTTAATAAACTATATTCGTTCGCCGGACGATATGACTTTTGGTCACTTGTGTTATTGTTCGATTTCTTTGAACATTCATGAAATTTTTAAATTGATTTGTTGTTGAATAATTTTGTTAGGACGCCAAACAAAAATTTTGTTTCTGCTAAAAGCAGCACATAATTAGCGTTCAATTGATTTCAAAAAAATTCTCTATATTATTTATCATTGTCAGTGTATGTTCACAAACACGTTAATAATCGAAGCAAAAGAATGCTTATTTAGTAACCAATACATTTGTACAATTGTACATTGACAAGTGTGTGTTAGTTGTTTGCCGGTTAACTTCACCGCTACACTCACAACACCATTTGACGCAGCTACATTAATATATAAAAACCAGTAAATGATATTTCGGTCGTCATTAAGTTCTGTGAGTCTTTCCAAAGAAGTCGCATTTATTTTCTACTCGTACTGTTCAAATTGGGTGAGTTTATAACAATTATTCATCCTCTTTTTGTCGTCACAAAATGGCACAATTTATTCATTTTGTCAGATGAACTATTCTGAACATTATGTTCCCTATTTTTCATAATTCGAAATTTGCAAACACAGAATAAAATCACAGATAGAATATCTGTGTGAATACCATAGTTCGGAAGTTTGATCACCACACAAATACGATGATATGGCAACTTTTTTTAAAAATCATTTTGTGTATGATGTTTTTACCGCACTGGCACAAAAAAAGCAATTGTGATTTTTAATCTTAATCAAGGCATTCTAACTCAGTCAGCAATCATACACAAACGTACAATTCAATTGAAATTGTGCTTTGTATTGTTGAAATTTATAGGTGTGTACACTGTACAGTAAGCGATAAAAATCAGTTAAACCAATTTTCGATGACGAAAAAACGTTTCTTTTGTTTGTGTAGAACATTGTTAACGAATACAAATGGCGTTGAAATAAATATGATTCTTTATGTATGTGTTTTTTAAAATGCGAACAACAGTAGGAGTTGATCTTTCAGTATCACAAGTCCGTTTTGATTGATTAATAAATTGTTTCTTTCAGTGAATCGTGAAAATGTCACAACCATCCGCAAATCCAACATACAAATTGACCTACTTCAATGTCAAGGCTTTGGCTGAGCCAATCCGCGTTCTATTCGCCTATGGTGGTATTGATTACGAAGACGTCCGTTTCCAGCGCGAAGAATGGCCAGCCATCAAGCCAAGTAATTTAACAACTTTTTTTTTCAATATTGAGAGCAATAAAAAATTTAATATGTTTTCATTTTAAGCGATGCCAATGGGTCAAGCTCCCGTATTAGATGTTGATGGTATACGTGTCCACCAAAGTGTTTCAATCGCTCGTTATATTGCAAAGAAGGTCGGATTATCAGGTGCAAACGATTGGGAAAGTCTTCTCATCGATGTTGCTGTCGATACAGTCAACGATTTACGACAGAGTTAGTATTTTATCATGAATGATTCAAACGTATTTAACTTATATTTACGAATACTTTCCATACTTTGTAGAAATTTCTATTGCTCAATATGAACCAGATGAAGCTGTCAAAGCAAAGAAATTCGAAGTTCTTAAGAGCGAAACTCTACCATTCTACTTGGAAAAATTGGAAAGCATTGCCAAAGAAAACAATGGTTACTTGGCTCTCGGCAAGGTATATTTCATTTTGAATTTCCGATTTTTTTTTCTCTTGAAAAGATTCTAATAAATTCCAAATTTTAATCCAGTTGACTTGGGCCGATCTTTACTTCGTTGGACTGTTGGATTACTTGAATTTTATGATTGGTTTTGATTTAACCACCGACCGTCCAAACCTGAAAAAAGTCGTCGACAATGTTACCGCCATCGAATCAATCAAGGCTTGGATCGCCAAACGACCAGAAACCGAATGTTAAAAACATTTATTTCTCTCACTTTCATAATCACATTCTTAACTGTAAAACCAAAATGGAAACTGTTAAACAAACATTGTATGTGTTTTTGAGAATAAAAGTTTAAAAATATTTTACACAATACACATCAATTGTTATTAGAATTATCGAGTCAGAATGTTTACAAAAATCATAAACAAGATATTAAATCTATCATTAATATCTTCACAATCAATATTAATACTTCAAAATTGAAGTGACAAAGATACACATTTTCTAATTCGAAATTCAGCCAGCGATAATATGAAAATATTAGGTTCTCCAGACAATATTCTAAGATATTTTCAGCCAGATGACTCAAATCAGCCAGATATCGTCTGTTGAAGTGATAGTTATAATTAAACTTGATGGTTGTTTTCACTCCATTTGAGCTGATTCATCTGGCTGAAAATATCTCAATATAATGTCTGGGCTTGTCCAATTTTGTTCCTCTTTGAGATTTATTTTTCATAATTTGAAGATTTCGTGGACTTTTGCTTCATATGTGACATTCTATTTGGACAAATTGAAACGCATTTCAAAAGAAAATAATGGCTACTTGCTCTCGGTAAGGCATTTTGTGTAGGAAAAAGTGTTGTTTATAAAATATATGTTGAATCTTTAACAAACTTACAATAAATGAAACATATAAAGTATTATTGATGGATTTGATTTCAGAAATATTTATATGAATCGGTTAGTATATTCGTGAGCTTAGGAAATTTGTTAAAGTAAGAGAGCAACATGTTCATATAAAAAATGTATGGGCAATGGTACGGTACATTGCAGTTTTATTTTGACGAATATTCTTGGCGGTTCATATATATGGATCGTGCTATAGCACCACTCCATATTTTTCGGTTTATCAGCAATTGAAACAAAAATACCTCAAACCGATAAACCATTCTCTCATTGTTTACATTTATTACAACTCATGTTGATTTCTTCATTTTTTCTTGCTGATAATTGAGTTTCTTGTCTTATCTGGCGACAAACAAAATTATATCAACTATGATATGACTAAGCATGTTTGTTTACACTGTCAACAGTGATAACGATGCAAACAAATGTTTAAACTTCATTCCGAAATTATCTATAAAATTTAATAAATATGAAACTCATCATGATCGGAAATTTTCGATTAAAATGTCATTTTCAATTGCTGATATACCCAAAAATAAATGTGAATTAATGCTATTATTATGTTCTTATAGTTCATGGTGATAAATCAGAACAGAAAAGTAAACAAAAGTCACCCATTTGTTGGTATATATAGAAGATTATTTTATCGGTAGTTGATTGAATCAACTTATTGTTATAACATAGTATCACTGTATTTGGTAAATATCGGTGTATTCATTTGCAGAAAATGACTAAAGTACGTATTTACATGATCAACTGTACACTGTCGCACCGGATCGACTAGGATCGGAAATAAAAAAAGAGAATGATTCATACTAATGGTTTTTTTCAAACATTCCCACTTGGGTGACTTTCAATCTGTTGCAATCTGATATTGTGATATCTGATTAGTTATCCTGGCGTTCTTCAAAACTGATTTTTTTTTTTAATGTAAATCAATTAAAGTGGTTGTATATTATTTGGGAATACAAATATGTTCGAAAAGATTGAAGAATGCATTTACCATGTTTTGAATCGGAGCTGTGATTCATTTGCTTGATTCTGAAATGAGAATTTGTCTCAGCGTCAGAAACACGTTTAATCAATGGACCAACAAAGTAACAGCTGTCGGTGTTGTTTTCATCAATTTCATGGATATTTACTGTTCGATTCTGTTTGCATTGAATTATTTTTATCATTTTACATTTTGGAGTGAATTTCCATGCCATTTCATGCAAATATATTTTACTCTAAAATAAAAACTCAAGTCGTGTTCCTAGTTTTATTCTATGCATTTCATTTGTATTTTTGAATGAATCTTGTATAACCAGGTCACTGCAATTTGTTTGCCTTACAAATGCGTTCTAATCCATTGCAAACAATTTATTTTAAAATTCAGTTTGATACACATTAATTTTTACTAAAAATACTATTTTTCACTTAACGTAACAAAAAAAAAGTTTTTTGATGGAAAACTAGTTCAATATAGAAAAAGGAAGAAGCAAAGGAGGATTTTTGGCTCGAGATCCAGTATTTTGATCAGTTTGATATTTAAGCATTACTAGTTAGCGTACTATTTTTTGCTAATATTTTTCCTAATAATTTATAATGGTGTCCGTCCCCTAGACATCAAGTCATTGGTTACCAATCATTACCTAGGGGGGAGACACCCGTGAATCCATTCACCTTTTGTGTCGGATTTGTACGATTAGTATGATTACAAAATTTTACAAAGATTCACATTCGATTCAATTTTTGATTTAAATTGCTATAATTCCAATGATTTGCACAGATTCACAGACTCGTAAAGATCCACAGATTCATTAAATATTCACATTTTTGTGTTTTTTTCTTTTGACGTACAAACGTATGTTGATTTTATAGAAAATAAATATGCTAGCAAACATAAATTGAAATAAAATTCAATTATTTTTGTTTATGCAATGATTTCATTTTTACCGACTTTTAACAATCCCAAGTCAGTATAATACTCTTTTCGAAGAGTGTACACGCTCTTCTCACACTCTTCGTATAGTTTTATTCGACTCCCTTCTCACATTCTTCTCACACTCTTCTCACACTTTTGCATAAAACACGTATATTGAGTGAGAACTGCTGTCACTGCATTCCAGTGGAAGTAATTTTTGTATTTTGATATTTGAACGTTTATAGCATTCGTCAGCTGTGTCAAAATACAACAGAACGACAATTGCTGTTGCAACAGCTAATTCATTTTTTTCAAAATATCAAAAATTAACAAAATCAAAAATTATCCATCAGTGGAAAAATTTATTATAAAGAAAAAAAAGAAAATTTTTTAGAGAAAAAAATTGAAGCTCAGTTAAAAACAATATACGTGTTTTATGCAAAAGTGTGAGAAGAGTGTGAGAAGGGAGTCGAATAAAACTATACGAAGAGTGTGAGAAGAGCGTGTACACTCTTCGAAAAGAGTATTATACTGACTTGGGATGGAATAAAATTTAACTCAACAATCAACACATTTTATATTATTGACAAAGTGACTTTGTCAAAGTCCCTATGATTCATGAGATTCTTCGGATTCTTCGGATTTGTGAGTTTTGTGTTTTTTATTATAATTCTAATGGAATCGTTGGAATCAATGAAATTATACAATTGAGTATTTTAACATAGATTTTTCATTTTGAATTGGTGTCTACCCCCTAGATCATTACACCAATATTTGAGAGTTTGTCTGTGTGACATATAGACTTGTCCAATTTGGTTTTCCTTTGGTATTTTATTGCAAATGCCACAATTTGACATTTTTATACATTTTCACTTTGAAAACTCAAATTATGGATGAATCACATTGCAGATCCAATATTTTCAAATTAAAGGTACAGTTTGGCCGCGGGAAAACCTAGGTCTAGCTAGAGCAAAACTAAAAAAAAAATGGAATAGAAAGTCATTGGTTTTTCTTGTGTTATAACTTTTCTTTTAATCTTTGTTCATTATTTCTAAACTTCATCTACTTGAAAAATAATTTCTATAATATTATTACAATCATTTTGCTACTTAAATAATCACTCTATAAGCAATTCAATAAGGATGAACAGGAAATACAATATTGTTTGTTTCGCCCTCACCTTTTGTATTGGTTTTGAACTTTTTTTCATTAACAATTTTTTTAAACCAAAATTCATTAAAATTTGCACACAAATAAAATAATTGGAAATAAATTTCTTTTTAAAAAATAGGCAGGAATTTCAGATATTGATCACCGTTTTGAGAAATTGAAAAATAATAAGGCATTCATTGGAGATGGTAAAAAGAGACTTTTTTTCATTTACATATCATAAGAATTGAAATAGTAGTGATAGTTTTTACAGATCGGAAATAAAAAATCAAATACTCATAATTTGTGCCGATTTCTTCAATCATTTTGTTTTCGACTGAGAATGTGAATATATCGTATATGATTGATTGATTGTATGTTATGTTGGTGCAACCGACTACGTGCTATCGAACCGATTTGGCATGTATAAATGCTGCTTGACAAACTGGTGCCTGAATTACGAGTTAGCTCAATATAAATTGATGGTATTAACCAATAGTCCAAATGTACTATTTTTCAATCCCATGAATTTAGACAAGTGCTGGAATCAGGTGTATTGAATGTGATACAGAACGTTTTCTTAACTACACCATTTCAAATGCATTTCGATCACCCTTTTAATTTTTGTACGTACTTATTTTATGGTGCAAATTAAATATAAAATGAGTTCAAATTTGCCCTGCAAAGAGTGTATATACTGGAATGATGTGAAAAATTCTACGTATACATAAATTTGTTGTTGTCTTATATCTGGTCAGTATTTAATTGTGGGTATTGATTCATTTTTGCCCATTATACGGTACACAAAGTCCGGTAATATTAAAGGTGTGTGAAATCGTTCTGTACTACTTGAAACTACAATGGTATAAATACATTTATATATAAATTGCTAAATAGGTTTGTTGATTGTTTTATGGCTCTGGGTGCCTGATATCGGCTAGATCGGTTGGTCCTGACATTGGTGTTGGTGGTGCTGACATTGGTCTATCGTTGAACACATCATATAGCTTACAATTTTTTTCATCGCTCAATTGAAAACGTTCCATGATCTTCGCCACAATTACACTTGGGAGAACGTGTGGATTTCCTATTTGTTTTTTTTTTTAATAATAGAAATTTGTTAGAAAATATTTGAATTAAATTTTAAACAAATTAAAAGATTTACACACCGAAAAATCAGCAAAATTAAAAATGGCAAATAAAAAAGATACTATTTTTAACGAAAAAACGTTAAACATAAAAAAAAATCGGCATTACAAAACTAGAGGTTATAATTTAAATTTAAAACAGACAATATATTTGGATATTGTCAACCAGATATCTCAGCACATCTGGCTGAGGTCAGGCTCTGAAATGGTAAGACAACAATAGAAGTGATAGTTATAGGTAGAAAAACACTCCCATCACTTCTATTGTTTTCACTCCATTCTTAGCGTCACTCAGATGCATCCAGATGAGCTGAAATATCTGGACGGCAATATACATCTGGATGTCTGATTTAAAATGATAAAAATTGAATAAAAGATGGAATCGCTGCTGAAGCTTATAAATCCAAAAGTGACTGTTATAAACGAAAGAGTCTAACTTGAACATCACACTGATGTAATATATATTTTGCATGCATAATTCAATATAAACATAAACGCGAAGAACTCATGCTCACCTTCCTCGAACAAATGTTCATGCATAAAAACAATTGATTAATATAAAGAAATCAAAAGAAAAGAAATGCTATGCAAATTTATAGACAATTATCTAAGACAAGACGACAACAAACAAGTGCAAAATCGATTAGATTTTAAAAGGACCACCTCTTCAAAACTAGTAAAGTGACAATGTGGTTGAAATCTTTGCAGAATTTGCATCCTATCGTCTGAATGTGAGATACCGTTGCCAAAGAGAAATAAATAATGAGAAAAAAGGTGATGATCATTAGGAACTCATCTGATTGGAGATTTTTGGCAATTGAAACTGTCAAATTATATGTATTCACTTTTTTTACCTGTTAAACCACGATAGCCAAGAATGCTTTGCTCATGCAAATTGTTGGCAATTTGCTGTTGTCTCATAAATGCTTCTGTGTCGATGCCACGAACTTGTGATGGCTTCAAAAATCTGTGGCCAAAAAGAAAAAAAAAATGTTGAGAAAACAGTGTCGATAAAATGTGTTCAATCATTTACCTTTTGGGTATTCGTGATAATAAATCTTCCTGATGTGCTGGGCCGAAGCCCAGTTGCCTAAGAATGGCTTCTGAATCGGGTTTTCTTGCGTCCAAAAGACTTTCAACGCTTGAACAATGGCTTGAATCGGATTGAAATGAACTGCCTTTAGATAATTGATTTCGATGCCGTGGACTATCTGACAACGAATGATCACGTGACAACATGCCACGTTTTAGGCCTCTTTGTGTTGGACTCACCGAATACGCTCGCCGTTCAAAAAAATTTCCATTTGATCGATTATTATTTTGTATTGCAATGCTTGAGCTGGGCGCGCTAATATTTCGTTCACCAATAAAAATTGCTTCATCATCTTGATGTTCGCTAAAACTTCGACCAATATCAGCCAAATAAAATTTATTTCGTAATCTTGGATTATCACTTGTGCTGCGTCCAATATCGGCCATTGCTATTTTACGACTAACATTCAAATGGGCGATGTGACCATCGTTGATGCTTGGCATCGATATATTAAAACCATCTTCGTCGTCGACTGATAGCATGTCATTACTTTGTGATAGCCGTAAACATTCATCCGTCGATAAATCCATATCGATTGTATCACATACAATTGTAGCGTTTGCTTCTGATTCACTAGCGATTGTTGCAGTTGTTGTAGCTGTCGTCATTGTCGTCGTCATCGTCGTCGTCTCTGTTGCAATTGCAATTACTCCTGTTTCAATTAAATTATCATCACCATGATCATCACTAACAGCCACATTATCACTGTCATTATTCAGCTTAGTTTCATCCCAATTTGTTGCAGCCAGAAATCGACTCTTTGCATTGTTCAATATTTTTTTGGCTTCCATTTTTCGATCCTTAATAAAATTATAACGTTTTTTATTGATGCTTAATTTATAATAAAACTCATTTAGTTTGGTTTTATTTAATATTGGTTGAATATTTGATGCTGAGCTTTCATCTGGTTCATCGCTTTGAGGTAATTGAGGCGATACATTGAGATCGGTTTCTGTACATCGATTTGAATCGCCAACAGATCGTATTCGTAATGCAGTTAAAATAGCTGGCGCTTTTTGCCAAAATCGACGATCGCTGTTTGCACTATCGACAGTATGTTCAATCAATTCTGATTGATGATGGGGTTGGGATTTATCCAAAGTTTCGTATTTACCAAATTCACTGTACGTTGTAACACTGTTTAATTTTGTTGGATTGCTTTCGTATTGTTCACTTAATTCAGTAGTTTGTTCAGCTATTTCAACAACATTCGATTCAGTTGTGCTTGCACATCTAATTTTCTCATCACAATTTTCCACCAATTTATCATCCACCGTGATAGTTTTATATTGAAGGCTATCGCATATAGTTTCGATTGTATCAGAATCTACCCATTTTTGAACAACTGCCGGACTCTTTGTTCTCACCCATGTCACCAATGAGCTCACTTTGATTCGAACTAAAAACAAAAATTTATGAGGAAAAAATGAGAGAGAAAAAAAATTTAAATTAAATCAACTAAACATTTGAATAAATGTCACGAATAAAACTCATCTACATTTATATCTACGATAAAAAATTGCACGAAATATTATCTGTTGCACGTTTGAGATAAATAAAAATGAATGATTTTATTATGATGGGTATGTGCGCTTGAAATTTATGTGCTTGGGATAGATAAAACGATTGACTGCACAAATAAGATCTACTTCAGTGACCAGTTCGATAGCAAATGATTGAAATGATTTGAACGCTTTCTTTTTGAACGTGTTACGCTGCTTTGAACGTGTTACTGAGTCACCAACATCAAATTACATGAAGTGATGCTTATTTATTCTCGTGGTCACTGATCGAAAATAAATTCTCTACCCAGGTGCAATATCGATCAGAGTGTGCATGATGCGTGTACTGTTTTATCTATTTACTACAAATGGAATATCTATATAGAATAGTCATGTGAGTTAAATTAAATTGCAAACATGGAAAAATCTCACAAATAATAATGATTGAAAACAAATTCAAAATCCTCTTGAAACAAAAATCAATAACGGAACAAATTCTCATTTAATACAATTATTTGGCATTTATAAATAATTCGAGAGAAACATATGAAGCGAATAAAAATAAAAACATTGAAATTGCAAACCAGATTGAAAAATATCCAATCAAAATAACAAACAAGCGATAAACAGACAATATATTTGGATTTTGTCATCTGGATATTTCGGCTCATCTGGATAACGTTAATTGATGATACGAAATGAAAACAATAGAAGTGATTGCTATAGTTATGATAGTATTTTTATACCTATACAATACAACAATCACTTCTATTATTTTCACTCCATATCATCGCTTAACGTTATCCAGATGATAAAATCCAAATATATTGTCTGGCGATAAACGCAATACGAAATTAAAATTGAGAACACGAAACAAACAAAAACGGTTTTCAATCAATTGCAATAATATATATATTTATATGACTGAGATGGGTACATAGAGGGTTAAAGAGAAAGAGAGAGTGGACTACAACAAGAGTGTCATTGTGTCTGAGCGAGCTTAGATACGTGTGCGTGTGTGCAATGTTGATTTTTATTGCAGATAAATGCGAAAAAAAATACGGTGATATAATTATGAAAACCAGATGCGCATAATTGGCCTATATCGTATAATGATTTGTTCGATAGGAGTACATAGAATGCTAGATTGCTTACATCGAAATACACACACACACATATGGAGCAACAACGAAAATAAATACAGGAGACACAAACCGTTTGTATTTGATGTTGTCGGTTGACATTCATCAGCTCCGTCAATTTCATTATCCATAATTTATTTTTCTCATACAAAAATTCTGACTATTTTATCCCATATAGCGAGTGTTAATCATTGACAGCGATTATTTGCTAATTTATTTTTCTTCTTCTCTTCCTAAGGTTTTGTACTGTAGTAGTGTTGCATGTTTTTTTTTTTTAATAAAGCGACCAAATAGAAAAGAAGTTAACATTAATAAAAAAAATCACACATTGCTAGAACAAGACCATGTTCGCAAAAAAATGCACGAAACAATGGAGTTGACTTATAAGGAAAGACGAGATAGAGGCGAGAGACTAGTATAAATTTATTTTAAAAAACTTCTATGTTTGTCAAGTAAAACAACAGCATGCTGACGCGAGAAAAATTCAATGTAGAGAGCAATTATTAAGTTGAACGAAACCAAATCGCGCCCTCTTGATACACAAGAATATGTTGATTTTTCTTTTGTTTTGAGCCGCAACCGTGCTCAATATAATTATTATAAATGTTGTTTCTACAGTATGTTTCATTATAGAGAGAGGTTGATTTTTTATAATAAAACTCAAGAGTTTTACAAAATTATTTTATATACATTCTATTTAGTATCTAAGCTACGGCGCCACAAATTAATATTTAATCCATTCTCCTGCCTTCTCGATCACACAGGCACATCTATTCGGCATACTTTTGCTCAAATTTTCAGCATATTCGCTTTGAAAACCTTTCCACTGGCGCTGAATGAATGAACTGAGCTGCTTCAAATTGCGGTATGTTTTACCACGAAGACATGCCTTAATAATAGCCCAACAATTTTCGTTCGGATTGCAATCGGGTGACTGTGGCGGCCAGTCCATTTGTTTAATGTCATTTTCCTCTTTCCAAGCATTGCATAGACGACTTTTGTGTTTTGGATCGTTGTCTTCTAATAGAAGCCAATTCGAATTGTGGTTGCCATAGAACTTCTTAGCGATGGGTAACTGTGTCGATGAATAATGTTGGTTCATCCTCACGGCGCTTGGAATCCCCGTGAATATGGTCAACTTTCCAAAACCAGCTTCACAAAAGCAACCATAAGCATGCACCTTTTTCGGATACTTTACCGTGCGAACGACCATTCTCTTTTGGGCTCTAGACTAGGCATGGGTAGTGCTATTCACCAGCCAAAAGAATGACTCGTCAGTGTATATAACTTCGCTCCAATCTCTTGTTGAATTTTGCTTTGCCCCGTCAGTGCCTTTTTCTTCTGGTTTTCTGTCAAAGGCGGTTTCTTCAATTTACTGCGATAACGAACACCGGCAACATCTAATCTTCTCCTGATAGTAGAGCGCGAGACCTCTATTTTAAGACGGCGTAGCCGTTCAACACCTTGGCTCAACAACATACCTAAATTTTTATCGAACAACTTGACTCTCCGTTTATCTTCCTGTTGCGAGGAGGCTCAGTTTGGCTTCAGATTGGGCTGGTCGTTCACTTTTTTTTCATGCTTATACTGCTGGATTCACTTTATTACGAACCCTTTTGACTTTTTAATGTATTTAGCAGTCGATGTGATCGACATTCTTTGTCCTTTTGGATGCAAATGCAGAAAAACGGCTTCAAACCGTGAATGAAAATGTTCGGAAATAATGTTTTCGTTGCACAACAAACACTGTACTGATTTGAGAGCTGTCATTGTTAATTGGCGTAGTAGCTTAGAGTCTCATATGGCAACACCAAAAACATTTTTAGGATATTTGAAATTTGTGGTAGTTAAATCAACCTCTCTCTATAATGAAACATACTGTATGTTAGCCATTTTTGCAGTGCGAATTTAATTTTTTTTTTGTTTTGTTTTGATATAATTTCAGCATGTTGAATTTTGCTCAATAATAATTCTCATTGATCTTGTGAGGGGCACACACTTATTTGTACAAGTGAGCGAAAGAGAAAGAAAACGCACACGCGGCGCAAACAACAAAAATATTCACCCGAAACGGCAAAATCGTTGTGAAAAATATACAGGTGAGAAATGTCTAAATAAATATGTATTAAACGGCCGGAGACAAGAGCAAGGTGAATTTTAAAAGAAAACATACAGAGAGACAAAACGGAGCATAACGAACACGCCAAGAGTGAGAGATATACATATGTATGTATAAATTTAGGCATCGCTTCGATGTAAATGGTGCAAGGTTGACAGCTACATCAAAAGCTTATGCTTTGTGTTCGACGCAATTAAAAAAAAACAACAACTAAATAAATACGTTCGAAGCATAAAAGTTAAAGAGCACGCTTGCACTACCGATACACTTAGATATTGAATTGACGCAATTTGATCGTTGATCTGACATAAAATATTGAGAAAATTTTTTTTTCACGCAATTACATTGAAATTTAACGCATTAAACGCAAGCGCCAATAATTTATTCTTTTTGTTTGTTTTCATTTCATGGCAATAAAAAATCCATTTCAAATGCAAAACAACACAATTTTGTTATTGTTTTCATTTTAAAAATGTTTGTATTGATTGCACACACCTTATGTGCAACACTTGTACTTGTTTTCTTTTTATTACGGAGATGGTTTTGATGTTATTGTTTGTGTGGTTTTTTTTTCTTCTATCTTGTGTCATCATTTGCACACATTATGTAAAATATTAGACTTTACTGTAGACATTTGTTTTTCGCCTCTTCCGCATAATTATTATCAATGATAACGCTGTTCATCACATCTATAACGATGCTATATATAGACATACAAGTTGTGTGCCTGTGTATGCGTGTCTGTTTACAACTTTTATTATGGACACACAAAAAAAGTTCCCCCGAATTGTGTTTTTTTTTCGTTTGTTAAATGAATCAAAACCGATTGTACGGAATAAATTTTCATTTCTATTCTATTTTCATGACCCAATTACGATTAATTCAATAATGCAGTCCGGTAAAAAGTTCGAATGGTCAGGTGAAAATTGCGGAAAAACCATCGCGCGAATACCTTTCGTTGTTGCAATAACAATTTAAAACGTTAAATGTCAACACAGAAATCACTATTCATATTGGATTTTCAGACACTTTCTGAATTTGCTTCTTTTCTTTTGAAAAAAAAAATCGAAATTTTTTATGCACTCAATATTTATTTTTGACAACGTACCTTGTTTATTTTAAGCGAAAACAATATCACCACGTACAAAAATAACAACAACAATGAATAAAAAAAAACATGTAATCACAATTCTCTTTTCAAACCGAAATAAATTGATCAAAGAAAACGATGAATTCGATGGAAAATATTAAACTAAATGGCAAATTGGTTACATTGATATAAACAAAAACAATAAAAACAAAATGTTAACAATAAGAAACCGTCTTTAATGACTATTTTTGAACTAAAACAATAAAAGAGAAATCATAATAAAATCGATAAAATATCACAAGAATACTATCATTTTCAAGTTTCACCATCTGTACGTACTGATATCATTTCAACTGTCAAAAAAATATTGTTGCCGTTGTGTCAAAATCATGTTGACATTTAATTGTTTTCATCGTCTTGGAAATTTGTTGTTGTTGTTGTTGCTGCCACTTCTGCCGATTGTTTCGTTGTAAACGACATTGCCATTGAACGAACGAGAATGAAATACAATTGGTTTCTTCCGTTTGCGCTTTATTTTGGTTGTGAACATTTAATTGAATTTATTGAAAATTTAAGTGGTCGATGGTTTTAGTATGCCATCGTGTTTGGAAAGTTTTATCAAAGATATTGTTCAACAAATCGGTGACGCACACGAAATGTTAGATCAGCGGCATTATCGTTTGTTATTATCATTACCATCCAATGAAAAGGTAGATTTCTCTCAATATTTAAATAATTATTTAATTTATTTATTTTTTCAATCCATTATTTTTTTTTCTCATCCGCAATATGTGCGCAGCAAGCCTTAGCAAAAGCAATTATTGATTTTGGTTGGAATATTGGCAGCCCAAAAGTAATGAAATATTTACAAAAAACGAATATTTTGAGCATGTCGGATTTGATTGTAAACAAATATAATCAAAATCAATGTGATGCTCAACTTATTTTCAACGATCTATTGGAAACAGAACATATGCTTTTGGCTGATGTATTGAAAAATGCCAACAGTACCGATCCAATTGGCCTAACAATATGCGATTTATTGAATGAAGGTTTCAAACGACTTTGCAACGATGCCATTCAAAATCCAAACATTTTGGTTCATAATTATTTGGAAGAAGTTGACGAATACATACAAGGTTTGATTTTATCCGACACCAATATGAGGGAGTCAGTTTAATTTGACGTTTACATTATTTCAGATGAATGTTTTGAAGATGTTCGATTGATGCATCTAAAATTATTGCTAGAAGAAGGACCAAACGATACGGCCGATGCTGCGATTAGTGCTCAATCAAATTGGAACCAGGAAATCACCGATAAACATAGTGTATTCAAGTCATTTTTAAGTTCAATTGTTGGTAATGACTTTAAAATAAAACGATTAACTCTTGAAACAATTCTGTCGAAATGCAATGATTGGCAACAACAAAATTGGAAAACCGTTTTGCTATTGCTACGAATGGTGATTGATACGGGACAACTGAATGAGTTTAAATCACAAGAGCTCAATGATTTCAAGAAAATGACCAAAAGTTTGTGTTATTTTGAATTGATGTTCCTCTATCTATTTAGACAATTTTCAAATTTTATTGTTTCATTTTTAATCGATTTTAGCATTCTTAAAAGACACATTCCGTAGCTCAGTTGACGAAGAAGACGAAAATGGTTTTTACGTGCTATTTTTGATTGGCAGACAAATAACGCGATACAATGAAACACTGTTGGGGAATTATGGAACTTGGTAGGTTTCTTCTTTGCATTGTAAAGATTTCCGGGTTCTGTGTGCAAATTGACTTTGAATGAATATTGAAGTGAACAATGTTCTTCATTTCTTTTAAAAATAGGTTCAAAGACACTATCGGCGAAATGAAATATAAGCTGAAAACCAATCAATTCACACTGGCAATGCAATTTTTAGCCGGAATGGTACAAATGGAAAACGATACAGACATTTTGGATGTATGTTTTATTACATAGTTTTCACCTTGTTCGGTTAAAATATATTTTATGTTTTGTTTTTTTTTTTGTTTCTATTTAGGTACATATAAATACATATATACCAGCGGCACCGCGTTGCAATGAGCTTGTATTAAACTATAAGGAATTGTGTCGCAGTAGGCAGATGCATTTAAAGAATCCAAATGCAGACAAAACAGCTGTGATAGATGAAGATGTTGATTTTTTTCTAGACGATGATTAAGACAAGAATAAATAAACTAAAAGACTGACCTATTATTGTTAAGAAGAGGAAATTTCTATTAAAATACATAAGAGTACGATTTGTTTTTTCTTTTCTTTCATTTTCTTTTAAATTAAATTCATTTTTATTTTGCTAACAAAAAGTGACATTGACAATGTTATAATCAGTTTTCAAAGAAAATGTTCATATAGAAATCAGCCGATTGAACGTGGCGGAGCTTCTAATTGTAAAGTGAGACTACAACTATCATTGGCATTATTTTCATAAAAGCAATCATTTGGCTTGGCCAATTCAACTGGTTTCATTTCATTGATTTCATTATCGCAACGCGGACAATGGAGTTTTTTTTCTGGATCGGTGTACATATCTTGTACACAAGTGTGATGTGCTGCATGGCCACAAATGCCAAAAATTAACGATTCCTGTTGATTATAAAGCTTTGAACGGCATAAAATACATTTAATCGATTTAATTGATAGGCCACGCATTGCGATTTGTTTTTCTTTTGCAAGCATTCGATGTAAATCATGACCTAGAATTCGGGCAGTTGTTTGTTGTAAGAGTATTTCATATTTTGAATTGGCCAACATTCCGACCAGTAAATGTTTGATATCGCCCAAATTGCCGGTTTCACTGCTCGAACTCAATACTAATTGCACTAAATTGGTTAGATCAACATGACCGCTGGCCGCATGTAAAACACTTTTCGTTATCGAATTTAAATCATTTCGCGATAAAACTGTTTTGATCAAGGTGAACCAGAGCTTTTCGCGATCGCCATTCGATAATACATCTAATGAACGTGAACAAAGTGCGCACAATTCTAATGCACGATTTTCGGCCATGCCTTCGGGCGTTATTTGTAATAATTTCAATGATAAATTGAACGCAGCATCGATATCACCTTGACGCTCATACAAGTAGATAAGACAATCGTTTAGATTGTATTTTTTAAGGATTTCGATGGCCGCTTCAAGGCGATAATTTTCATTTGTGCGCAAGAAGCCATCGACATTGGTTGCATCGTCGTAGCGACACAACAAATCTAAATACATTTCACAATCATGCGAACTAATGGCGATACCGTGCTTCAGCAATATCGAAATAAATGCAAATAAATGCCGTTCATCCTTTTCAAGCAATCGTATCAGTTGGGATACATTTCGTGGAAAGAATTCGATCATAAATTGCGTAATTTTCTCACAATTTATTTCAAGCAATTTATCAAAATGGTCGTAGCATTGTTGGAAGATTTTTCGTTCGGGTCGATTTGCATTCAGTTGTAAATATGTCCAAATTTCATTGTATCGATGTATATCCAGTAAATAACAATCCAAAATTTGATCGAATGACTTTTGTTTCTCTAATAAATGTTCGACCACCCGATAGCATTTCGATTGACGAGCAATAGCTAAATGTTCAGTCAAACTTAGTGTATTGATGCGATCAGCTTCGAGCAATGCAAGCCATGCTTGTTCACGATCCGAATGTTGTCGTCCGCTTTCATTTTCAATTGTTTCCATTTTTACATAGGCCAACACTTTTTGCAATAACATTGAATCGTCTGGTAAATTATTTGTCGCTATTTCATGTGCCACAAAATTTAGTAAACATCCAATTTCGGTCCATTGAAAGTATTCCGGTTTCATGATATCCAGAAGAATATTGACAATTCGTTGACGATGCGATTGGCCCAGTTCACCGCTAAATTCTTTCTCCTGAAATGCTAACGAGATTACATTCAACGTTTCTTGCGCATCAAATGTGAGCAAAGCACGTAAATATGGATAGGATAACTCTGATTCAACGGCATGTACTGAATGTATTGATGTTAAACAACGTAACACTTCATGCTTGACATTTTGAATAATATCCGGATTTATATAGCCCGATGGATAGCCACGTCCTGATAAACAACTTGATATATACACTAGCAAATAATTGCCCAAATTGTGATCTTTTTCATTAACAATTTGCGGAATGAGTTCGGTGAGTGATAGACAATAATCGCCCAATGCAACTGTATTTAAATGCATTTGTGCCCGATAGAGTTTTTCCCGTTTTGCCGCCGATAATACTTGATGCAAATCCAAACATTGCCAATCCAATTTTAATACAATCTCTTCCAATTTCGATGGCGATTGCTTAAGCCAATAATCGCATAGGCATTGCGCAACAATTGGCGATATATACGATATATTACCATTTTCAATTTGTTCGCTCAACAATATAATGTATGTGTCTTTGGTGTTTAGCCGTTCCCATAGCTCTTGCCACAGCATATCGTACTCTTGAATTTCGATCAAACAGGCCATAATTGAATTAAGGCACAGTTCTGGACATCTTGCACTTGCCGTCAAATATTCTTCAACCAGTTGGATAACACGATCTTTGGCCATTTGTTTTCGTCGTGAACGATCACCAGCACTTCGATAGCCTTCAATTGCCAGTGAACATGCTTCGCACCATCGTTGATTTTGTGCCAAATGTGTTATTCGATCACTCCACGAACGTACATTTATTGATTGCAAACTTCTTGCGCCCAATATATACAATTGTGAACCTTTTGATATGATCGAATTATAGCATGCATACGTTCCAGCCAATGCAAATGCTGGCGATACATTTCCACCAGTTGCAAAACCTTTAAAATGTGCCGAACCATAGACAAGACCGGCATTTGCAATATCAATACACTCGGATTCTTTTGTTGTTCTTACATCAGTTAAATGCAGCATCTCATTTCGATCAACTGTTGCTATTGTTTTCGGCCCCATCCAATGCACAGCCAATAAACTATAGCTCAGGCTTATGTGACGCAAAAATAACAATGATATTTTGCCCGATTGAATGCAAATCTAAAAAAAAAAGTCTTCAATTTTATCAAATTGGATGTCGAAATGTTCGGAATAGATCATACCTGATGGAAATACACATTTGTGCCACGAGCCGCAGCCAACACTGGATCAATGACACGTGTCGAATCAGCTGATTGAATTAGAACCATTTGCCATGATATGAGTGGTAGACTGTCCGGTGGCCCTTGTAATGGATGAAATTTTATAACTTTTAATCTTGGCCGAATCATGACTACAAAAAATTTGGACAGAGTTGCCAATGCAACAATACAATATGATTTCAATGGATGATCCTCTTCGTCGATAATTAACGGTTCAATTGAACAAACCTATCATATAATAATAAATGTATGAATTATTTTTTATCATTTCATTCTTGTGATTAATTTATTGTTTTTTTTACTAACTTCTCCTCTTGCACCGCTAAATAAACACTTTGAATCACAGCCGCGTTTGCCAAGTCGTCGCGTGAAACTCAGTGACCACACAGAGCCGCCAGTATCTGAGCACAAAGCCAATGTTGGTTTTCCGGTCCATTTTAAATTGAGAACACCACTATTTGGTGTTATGGCATCGGAAAGAACTCGCAACGAATCACCCGTTGATGTATCAATCATTACAATATATCCTCTGGCAAATCCAGCCAATAAACGAGTACTTTCATCATTAAATGCAAGACTTGTGACAGCACCTTGTTGTAAATATTCTTGACAGCACCATCTTAACGCTTGTAATATATCAAATGCCATAATGTGACCATGTGATGTGCCAACCGCAATCATATCTGATACAGCTACGGATGTTGCCAATCCTGAATTAATTCGTTCCTAAAATGTTCGATGATTATTAATACGTTTCTTATAATTATCCATTATTCGTGCGACATACCGAAGCAGATGTTATTTGCGATGTGACTCCTTGCAGCAGAACATGCCTGAGCATGGTTCCAGTTTTGGGTCGATCATCTATTGAGGGAGTCGGTGTAATTCGAACACTTACATCGGACACTATATCGGAATCGGTGTCCAATTCACTTAGAATACTTTCCAATGATGGCATCATATCGACATGAGGAATGGAGTATTCAGCATCATCCAGCTGGATGAAAATGTAGAAAAAGAAAATTCATTATTCATGCAATTGAACAATATGTAAACTATAAAAAAAAAACCGAGAATAATTTATGTTACCTCATCAAGATCTAATTGCAGCGATTCAGCCAAAAGACTATCATTTGAGCCACGATCTGAATCTAAGAGCGATTGCAGTGATGGTGCTTTTAATGAATTCATTTTGATATTGCTATCCTTATGTTATCAAATGATACACAAATTCTAAATGATGAAAATTTCGAAGATGTCGAATCAAAATCGTTTTCTATCGACAGTTTTAACTAGGATAACACGGTGATTTCATTGATTTTTTTTTTACATTGATACCGTATTTCTATAGATTTAAATAAATTTCAAAATAAATTTGGTAATTTTATCGAAAGACATTGCACGTTACAACTATTTATTACACATTTTACAAAGTACGGAAACAGCCCACTTTTTCTTTATTTTTTTTTTTTTTTAATATTGCAATTGACATGAAATAGCATTATCAACAGCTAATGACAACTACACACCGCTGCAAAATTGACGTGTGCAATTGTGTATGTGTGTGTATGTGTTTTCGATAGGGACATATACAATTGATAATCTTATGTCAATTGAATAAACATTGCACACAAATAGAAACACAAACGCACACATACAATCAACAACTCGTATCACATCCACATTCCCGTACACAAATCCAATCGCATGTGAAGGGCTCATGAATTTCTGGTATTTCAGTGTCAAGATCGATGTTGAATAAAATAATGTAAATAACTACACATTCAGCCGCATAAGTAGAGAATTCTCTCTATTTTGTTTCGATTTCAAGTGCCTAAATTAAAAATAGATGATTTTTTAAAATGTCTTGCATTTTTTGTCATATCGCTGCTGGCAAAAGCGATACAACCCTCATCGAATATGAAAATGACAATATTGTCATTTTTAAAGATATTCGACCAGCATCGGATTTCCATTATTTGGCCGTTCCCAAAAAACACATGAAAAATGTTCGCTCGTGCACTCTTAACGACAAAGATTTAAGTGAGTTATTTTGGTAATAGCGACTATTTGGATTTGAATTCGAGTTATGTTGAATTAATTTTTGTTGATATTTTAGTTATTGAGATGAAAAACGAACTTCGAAATTTTTTGAACACAAAAAATGTAAATCTTGATGATGTTTCGTATGGTTTTCATTGGCCACCATTCACCAGTATTGATCATTTGCATTTGCATGCAATCGCACCAGCTTCGAAAATGGGGTTTATCCAACGCATCGTTTTTAAGCCAATCGATATGTGGTATTGTTCGGTAAGATGAAATATAAATTGGCAAACAAAAAATGCAATGTTTTTACTTTCTTTGTATTTATTTAATGAATGTTTTTTTTTGAATTTCAGCCGGAATATGTGCTTGCTAACCTAAAACCAGCACCTGAATAATGATGTCGTTTCCAGAAAATGTATTGACATGTTGCCAATTCGTCTTTAAGAGTGAAAGAGAACGAAGACTTTGTAAAAGTACAAAAAGCAACAGAACGACAAGAATTGTTATATTGTAAGTCGTCTAGTGTTGTTGTTCTCTTGCTGTCTGGTTGTTTCTTAACAAATTTTCAAGTTTATACGCTTGTTCAAATTATTATTCTATTTTTATTTGTTCCTCTTCAAATTTCGATTCAAATTGTTAATTTATGATAAAATGAAATAAATAGCTTGTCAAAGAATAAATAAACAATCTCGCACATTTTGAACAGTACAGTTTTTGACATTGACAGTTGACATTTATACAGATTGATAGAATACTATTTTGGTACTAGTTGAAATCAAAAGTTTCAAAAGTTACAATTAATTCTATAAAGGTTTGTTGGAAAAAGAAATTTACATTTTATTCGTGTTCAGTGCATTTTTCCTTCCCTCCAAAAACACGAAACGTCGATTTTAATGTGATTTTGTGTGCGTGCATGTGTTTGAGTGAAAGCATACATGAACGCAATAATTGCATTATGTCATTTCTGCGAAGCGCATGGTCCATGCCCAATTTTGTGTACACACACATTACGTGACACAAAAATCGATGAGCTTGAAAACAATAGCAACGATAATGAAAACAATTGTCCCGGATGTAATTCAATCGGTAAAACAGTTGGACTACTCAGCCAAGATTCGGAGAGTAATGCAAATTTTTTAAGCACTCAAACAACCGTCATTAACGACATTCTGCCATTGGTAAAACAGGCAGCCGTTCGCAGTTTGAGTTGTGAGGTACAGATGATGTTGTTTTTTTTTTTTTAATGAATTTTAACTGAATTTATGAATGTATACCATGAACTGTAGGTTAGCAATACTAAGGATGGAAGTTTGGTATTTTTCGGTGATGCATCCCGTGGCCATGTACTTAGCTATACATTTCAAATACACGATTCACAGGCACGTGGATTCTATCGTCTATTTTCAATCATCGTTCTAATGAAAGATAAAATGTATCTGCTAAATGTGCAACCATTTTTAGCGGATCATTTGGAAAAAATATCGACCGAATTGCAAAGTTATTCATTAAAAATTCATTCGGCCGACGAGGCAAAATATTCGGAAAGAGCGCATCGATTAAATTCAGGATATGCAAGTACACAACCACCAAGATCGCTCGTTGAATTGACGGGCGAAACAAATATATTCGCATACATTCATTCACATTTCGCTTGGATTCTTTGGATGGGCGCACGTTGTCTCACGGAAAACATAAACATTGGACTACCACCGTTTGAGACGACAATCAATACACTTGATCCATTCTCTGTAATTCAATTGAAAAACAAGGATTCAAATCAAACGAGAAAATTATTTATGGACAATGACAATGAACATTTCGATATTATCAGAAGGTATCAAATCATTTTGGGCGAACATTTTTCGGCTGCTTGTTATTGTGTTCTTGTCGGTATACAGGTATACTAATTTGCTATCATTTTTAATATCGAACAAATAAATACAATTTTATTAATTTGTTCAAGATCATCTTAAGAGGGACACCGTCAATAACCAATGACTGTTTAAAATGCTTCGCAAAATTATTGCCGGAAACAATGCATCATCTTATTTGCATGGAGTCACCACAATATTTACCGCCAAATAAATGTCGAATTTTATCCGTTTTACCTCATGTAGCTGTGCCACAACCATCGGAAAAAATATTTCGAATTGACTTTACAGAAGATTCGGACGAAGTTCATATCAAATGGCATGGAACATTGCCCAATAAATGTAGGATCGCATTTACATTCGAAATTTTAAATATACAAAAATGATATGGAGTTTTTCTTATTTTAGATCCTGATCTTTTGACGAAATTACTGAAATCGATCGACGAAAAATTACTACCCGATGTGGTTTTAATGAAACAGTTGCGTGTTTTGGTTGAAGAATGGAAAAAGTAAGCACAAGTTGGAACATATAAAATTAAACGTGGTTTTCAATAAAATTGTGTTTTGTTCATTTGCAGTAAGGTGGCATGTTTACAGACGATCTCATCGAATCAAGATCTGATCAAAGTAAAGAAAGTGTTGGGCGTTCAGCCACATGATCTAGCTTTAATCAGTTATTGGAGTAATTCACTAATGACCCAGTAGAAAGACGAAATAATAATATTTGTATCAAATAAAGTTTGTCTTTTTAAAGAGATTGTGTTTTATTTTTGTAGAACCCAATTGGCATTTATTCAATGGCAGGAAAAACTTCTTCAATAAAAATACATTACTATCTGAAGAGAAGGTTTCTCAGTATGCTTTAATGATTGAGCATTTTTAGTCTCAACATGCCAAATATGAGATAAATTTAAACTTTTTGACAACGTGGAAAAATGACTTAGTGAATTCATCGGTAATTGGAAACATTCTAATCAGGTGCTACGATGAAGAGATTGGCTTTTTGGCTGTGGAAAAGGGAAACATTTAATCGGGAAAATAAAATAAAAGTTAAAACTTTGTTGTAAATTGATTTTTTTGTATTATTCGGGTTCCTTGCTTTTTATTGTACTTTGATAGACATTACATATAATAACGCATAGGATTGTTGGATTTCTTCGCTTATACACCGTCATGTTTTTGATTGAAGCAGTCGTTGAAATCCGTTTATTTTTTGTAACCGCAGCTACGTCTGCGACCACGAGCACGTTCGAATTTGCGTCCCTTCGATCGAACATATGGTCTGGTGTGTGAGTGTGGAACACCAGGAGCCTTACCGAAATGCTTGTTAGCAACGCGAGCAGTACGTTTTCCTTGAAGCAACAATGTACCTTTGCCGGTTGGTGAACGGACAGCCAATTGATCGAAAGTAATGACCTCACCGCCAGCATTCAAGATACGGCCGCGTGCTCCATCGGTAACACGAAGAGCGCACAATTTCACTTTTGGTACGTTCAAAAGACGAACATCATCTGTGACTGTGCCAACAACGACAACGATCTTCTCTTGTTTGCCACTGGCTTTCAAGAAGCGAACGATCTTTTGAAGTGACATCGGTGGTTGGTTGATGCGGCTCATAAACAAGCGTTTCAAGATGATTTTGTTGAACTTCTTGTATGTACGTCTGTACAAGAAACGGTACAACTATAAGACAAAAAAAAAGAGAAAATAAAATCAATCATTAGTTAAACACGTATAAACACACACACTTCAATTGTTTAAAAAAAAAATGATTTGCTTATATGGTCTTGTTCACATGTGGTTTTTATTCTTCGTACACTGAATTTGCCTTTGTTTCATATTTGAAGCACACTTTGTCACATTGTCATTGTTGTTGTTTGACATTTGAGATGCTTTTGCACAACTACCAGAGGGCTTATTGATCTTGTGTATTTTGTGTGAAATTCCACGAGTTTTTTTCCAAGTAAATGTGAGAGTAAGTCAAGTTTGCACATTAAAAATTGTACACTTTAGTTTTATCAATCACTTGCTGAGATTTTTTTATGTAAAATTTAAATCATGCGTTTTGAAACATAACCAAACATTATAACAACATTTTTTTATCACGTTGTATATCAACTTGTACCCGAAGCAATTCGTTAAGTCAGTGTAGGCGAACAACACAATGTTTGCAATTTTTTTTTCAAATTATGTTCAGCCAATTGAATATGAAAAGCCCCAAACCAAGATCATATAAACAATTCCAATGATCAATTACGCGAATATTTGTATCACACGGTTAATTAATTAATTTTTACCTTAACAAGAAGACGCAAGTAAACATCTTGACTTTTTGGTTCCGTACGACGGACCTTACGGTCGTATTTATGACAAATGTCAATACCCTAAAATAAAAAATAACACTTTTTAGAACATATTTAAACATTGATTAACACAATTGTGCAATAAAATTTGAAAAAAATCATTCACCAAATTGGATGATTAAAAATGAAAAATTATTTATAACAGAGTATCGATACATCACTCACCATATTCAAAAGAGAAAAGACCGGACGTTTCTATGTGGTTTGATGGTGATGAGAAAAAGAACGTATCAGCATGTAACTTCATGTAGGTTCTGTCGCAGCAACAATGTGACCAACTTATAAATACAAAAATACGAACATCGAGCACATGAACACCGACATTTGACAGATGACGACAATTTACAGATTTTTTAACGAAACTGCAAAAAACTAGATGCCATTGGAAACGAATCAATAAAATAAAAGAGTGATGATTTGTCCAAAATTTATAAAAAAAACCCAGTGAAATGAATTTCAATTAAAAAAAATTCGGAAATTCAAATTTTCTTTTCGTTGAATTAAAAGATTCAATTTTTAATGCGTTAATGGTGTTGATATTCAAGCGAAACTGTTTTATCGATTTTTTACAGTTTTGAGCGCCACAGTCGCATATGTTTCGTTGTTCTGATGGTGGCAATCATGTTATGTGCTCACACGATACGGTAGCGAATGTCATAGAAATATTTTTTCGGCCTCTTTCTTTTTGTGCTCCAAGTGAATACAAGCAACATGGGTTTCGCTAACGTTTGGTACTCTCATCCACGTAAATACGGCCAAGGCTCACGATGCTGGTAAGAAATTCAACTCAAAATTATTTATCAAAATATTTTGTGAAAAAATCCAAAGAAAATGTGTATATTTAATGAGATTTTTCGGTGATTTAATCTATCGAAAAGTTTAGCAAACACGTGTTCATAACCACACAAATTCAGTTCGCCATATTTACTAAAGCTATACTCTATGGTTATAAAAAAAATTAATTAAAGTTCATTAACTTTTGACTAATTGTGATATTTTCTTGTTCAATTTTTAGCCGCGCCTGCTCCAACAGACACGGTTTGATCCGTAAATATGCATTGAACATCTGCCGTCAATGCTTCAGAGAATACGCCAATGATATTGGTTTCAAGAAGGTAAGTTATATGCATGTTGTATGTGTCACATTGCACATTTACATATTTTGAAATTACACGTAATAATATGGAATTTTCATTGAACGAATTAACTAATATTATGTTTATTTTTCTAATTTATTTAGTTGGACTAAATGTATTCTCCTGAAATGCGTAAAAATCGTCAATTTGAATTAATCTGAATGAGGGCCGATATCAAAAACAACAACAACAATAATCATTTGAAGAGTGTCAATGAAATCAAGTTGTGCATAATATTCAACAACTGAGCAACAAACCAATCAATGTATTGACAATTATTTAGATTAATTGCAAATAAAAACATTTTTGCAACATCAAACCAACCGTGTTTTCCTTTTATTCAATTTTCATTTTTTTTGCAGCTAAAAATTTAAAGGAATCATATCTAGAATGAGTTTGAACGGCAGTCAAGTAAAATAAAAACAAATGCATTTCAATTCGTGGATGTTTCATGTACAAAAATACTTTGTTTATTGATATTTCGTGTATGAATTGATTTTATGATCTAATTTAATTTAATATTGCTATTGTTGATACCATCCCTTGAACCGATTCACAGCCCTTTCCCAATTTTTCATTTTAATCATAATTCGATCGTGTAGACTTTCATTCGGCACGAATACACGTTCAATTTTACGCAGTTTAACGAGCTCATCTCGCGTTTTCCAAATGCCCACCCGAAGACCAGCCAGAAAACCAGCACCCAATGCACTTAATTCGGAATCATATGCGCGCTCAACTTTCAATTTGGTCAAATCGGCTAGCAATTGACAAATGAAATCATTTTTAGAGACACCACCATCAACACTAAAGACCAAAACGAAAAAAATAAATAAAAAGCATTCATTTAAAAACGAACATTTGCTGGTAAACAAATAAAGGCACAATTTAGTGATGCTTACCGAATAACAGAAAACTTGAAATTCGTCTCTGTAATGGTGCATGCGTACAGTTGATTCAAACGAAACGCAATACTTTCGAGGATAGCACGGACTATATGTGCATTTTTTGTTGACGGCCGAATCCCAATTAAACCAGAAGCCGCCTGATGATCATTTATTGGAGCCTATCAATTTAAAAAAACATTTAAATAAGCTAAGTTTAACGATGAAATTTGAAACAAAAACGCTCTGAGTAATTAACGAACATCTTCAACATCTGTTGGGCATATGCAATTGATTTCTATGTAAATTATGTCTATATAGTTATTATAATAATTTATCGTAAACAAAATTATGGCAACAAAATGCGCAACAGATTTAAGATAAGCTAAACATGTAAATAACATACGCCCAAGCCACTAAATGCAGGTACAAAATAAACATCTTCTGTGTCGTCAACGGAATTCGCAATTTCGGCTGATTTTGATGGATCTTCGAATAAGCCAAAATTCATGGCCCATTGTATGATTGAGCCGGTGTCATTCGCAGCACCTTCCATGCAATAGATCAACTCATTGTTATTACTTTGTTTGTCATTGTATCGCCATGCAACCAATGGATATAAGCCGTAAATAGAGGCCGGACATTGTGATCCAGTGTTAAGGTTCAAGAATGAACCAGTGCCTAATGTTATTTTTATATCGCCCGTATTGAAACAACATGATCCCCACATCGAAGCTGATTGATCGCCAAGCTATAATCACACATTAATATGTAAATACATTTTTCATTTGAATTTGCGTCGTCATCACTAATAGTCATTACCATAATAAAAATTAAACTAACACTTACCGATGAACCGATTGGAATATCGTGTCCAAATAAACTTTTGTGTATATGACCGAAATTATACGAATTATCTACAACAGTTGGCAGCATATTTGCCTGTAGAAAATTGACAGCAAAAATAAATACAATTAAAATACAATTACACGACATATTATTTCCGCCAACAAAAATGTAAATTTAATCGCTTAATCTTACCTTAATCGAAAATAAATTTAATGCCCATTTCGCCCATTGTAATGTAAATGGATCATAGAATCCGGTGGCTGAGCAACTCGTCACATCACTGATATGTTCTGGTTTATAATCTAGATCGGTGCCTTGTCGTAAACGATACAGTAACCATGAGTCAAGCGTACCGAATAATGCATTTTTCTGTTCAATAGCCGTTTGTAGTTTTTTATTGTTCTGAATCATCCACGACAAACGTAGTGTGGTCTATTAAAAATGATGTATTTATTTAATTTTTCGTTGAATATTTTCTCTTTGCGAAAATTACCTGAGCATTCATAAGTTTTAATACGCTTCCCGCTAAAAAGCGTTTGTTCCTTGTAAACATATAAAGGCAATGTGATACACCATGCATTAGCTAACCATATAAATAAAGCAAAAAAAATTGTGAATCGATTGATTCAAAGAGATCGTTGGAAATCAGAATAATCAAATAAATCAATGTGATGCATTACCTTAAGCGTTACACTGTCATTCCATTTTCGAACCATTGAATCGGCTCGCAAATCTTTCCACGTAATAAAATTGTGGAATGTTTCGCCTGTTGTACGATCCCATGTAATGAATGTGCTTCGTTGTGTGGATATTCCGAGACATGATATGTCGCTTGCACTCAATTTGGCATCGTTGATTGCATTTTGAATTGTTTTCAAAATCGATTGCCACAAATCGTCCGGATTAATTTCAACATAACCAGGTTGTGGATACAATAGTTCAATCTGAAATAATTATCAATTATTTATTTCGAAAAAGTTCCAATTTCCTCGATATAATCTTGAAAAACAAAAATTCAATTACATTTGCACATGCTCTTCCAATAATATGCACGTTGATATCGTAAATAAAACATCTAATACTTGTTGTACCAATATCCAATGACGCTATATACTGCTTATGACTTTTTTCGCTCATTTTGGACTTTTAACTTATAGATCCATAACAAAAAAACAACAACATTTAAAGTAAAAACAACAAACAAATCAACAAATTGTTGGAAACAAAAAAAAAATTGAAATAAACACGCCACAACACGCTGCTTATACCGACGACTTAATTCTGACTAGCACAACCTGAAACCAGAGTTTATGGAAAAAAATTGTCATTTAGTAAAAAAGTTAAACGAAAAAAAAAATAATTTTCATTCAACCAAAAACTATTATCATTAACACACATGTATCGAAAGAAGTTTCGTTTCGCTGGTTTCACCACCAATTTAGAAGCAGGTTTTGTTCCTCTCTGTTTTCAAGCACTCGAATATGTTATAATCGTATCAAAAAAAAAAAACGATACTTTTCTATATAGGCAGTACGCGCGACTGGTAAGCGATACGCGTTGAATCACATAGAGAAAATTATATGGTGATTGGCGCAAACGATCTTAAGTGAGCTAGCTCTGTTTGAATGCTTTTCACATTTTTTACTGTACAAAAAAAAATATATAGTTGCATGAAATCCAACTCCACAACTTAAGATTTCTCAACCGTCACGAAACGAAAATGATTTGGAATTGAATAATAGCGCATTGCAGGCCCCATTACATAAAAAAGGCGCAATCGAAAGGCGAAAACAGGTTCGCGCGAACTTTCAACACATTTGATAAACACTATCAAATTGGATTCCAACGTGCAGAGAGAGAGAAAAAATAAAATAAAATATGCGATAATATATCGTAATCACCGAAATAGGAAGAGGTAGTATGAGACGATTAGCTACTGCGAAAGAGAGAGTGCATTGAAGTGAAACGAGATACAATGTACCTATTGATCATGAGCGAATAAATACGGAAGTAATGAAGGACATTTCAAATTGGAGTATCATCGGGTCACTGTTTAGCATTTTTATTTTTATATATTATTGTTATTTGTTGTGTCATGCACACATGGGGTCTGTCTATCTTCAATTCAATGTTCATTAATCATGACGCGATTATATGCGTGGCGAACATCACTGCTAAATTCAATACCATAACCGCGAAGTGTTTTTTTACACTAAAATATCAACAAAATAACGCACTCGATCAAGCAACAATTAATGAAACAATACAGCGAAGTGATAAGAAATATCAACATATCGTATATTCGTGCACCGAAACAATCTCATTGACATGCAAATTAAAATTAAAAACAATGAATCGCACTATTTCAACAAACAGTCAATTATACAGTACGCTACACGAAAATTACTAAGAAATATTATGAGAGAAAACAACAAAAAGAAAAAAAAGAAAAGAAAACGCAACTATATGCCATTGTTCTCTTTCATAACACGTACTAATCTTTTTTGCAAACAAAACTGACCACACAAAAATCTTTTGGTTCATTTACACTCAATACGCAGTTTTTTTTTTATTTATTTGCCATTCTCTTGCCATTAAATTGTTGTTTCGGCTTGTTTTTTTTATTGGTCCGCATATATTATATATACTTTTTTGTCTATGTGTTTTGTGAAATATGATTCACAAAAACAGTAATCGTAAAATGGCAATGACCGTTCTCTTAAATAAAATCGAACTGCAATTAGAGATAAGAACATTTAAGATTGGCAATTTAGTACGCATATGAAACCATCGTACGATATATTTCATACACACTCATGTGGTGTATTGCGGTCAATAACAAATTAAAAAAAAAGAAAACGATTAATTTGAAAAGTTGTTTTGTTTTTCTCTCTATGTGTGTACCGCTATTTATTATTGTAAACGATTTTTCACAGATTTAATTGAAATTTTTGATTTGCATATAGTGACAATTTATGCGAAAATTTAGAACAATAAGATCACTGTCACACGAACCAAAAAAAAGAGAGTGTATAGAACACGACGGCAACACGGAACAATCGAATGACGGTAATATAGGTAAACAGAGAGATAACAGATATAAAAAATAAATGTGAACAAATATTTACGGTTAGAATCGTTTTGGTCAGATAAAATTTCACACCTTTTTGTCGACTAACTCTTCATTTCTATGGCATATTTATTATCGAATTAACGCAATAATTGTCGTATTCAAAAATTTGATTATAAAGGCCACTTCTTTTCTACTTTTATTTTCAATCTTAACTTTTCTAAATGCCGTGAGGTTACTTCAACAGCATTCTATGTTATATTTTTGTTCGAATGCGGCAAGTTGTCAATTACCATGCGACCGTTCATTCACTAATAGTTGTATGTCGTAGGTCGTACGGTACGTTCTTTCTATATAAACGAATCTCTCTTTTTTTCTCCTTCTTCTTCTTCGTTAACGATCCACGCGTACTCTTTACTCTACACGCAACGAACGAATCAAGTAGAAACGAAACGTTGAGGAATGTATGATACATACAATAACAAATCACACTCACAACCGTCGTTATTTTGTCCAAAACGCATCGTATGACATTTTTATGTGTGCATGTATGCATCACATTTATGAAGTATACACATCGCATTCGTGTTTGTGTGCGCTTGCAACTTTAGTTGAACCACTAACGCATTGGCATTTTTATGTGTTTGTGTGTTGAATGTTCTCATTTTCAAAACCGGTAACGTAAATGTCTTGTCTTGTTTTTCTTTTGTGGCGTCATCAAGTTTTTGAGTGAGAGAATCTTTCAAAGGCGAATGTCAAAAAATATACATTATTTCGTGTTGTTATTACTATTTTTTTTTCGACCAAAATTGTTTACATGTCAAACTCTGTGCGAACAAAATTAAATTTTAAACATACTCAAATAAAATTATCGTGAACTGAACAAAAATATTTATGGGAAAATGAGTAAATTACTTAAAAATTCTTTTCGACGATCGATAAATTAACGAAAGATAAATAGCAACAAAGTAGAACCAAACATGTCTCAAATTAGTTTGACAATTGCAGAGAAAATCGAGGTAACTGGAAGTGAAATGAAGTGTTTATTCATGTGTGAAATTCATTTTCATGGTGTATTTTTTTTTCTTTTTAATTATTTTTTGTTTCAAAAATAAAAAATGGTTCAGGATTATGAGATTCTCGATTTGCTGGGGAAAGGTGGTTTTGCCTGTGTTTATCGGGCAAAATGCTTAAAATCAGGTTTTGAAGTGGCATTGAAAATGGTTAGTTGATCGTTAAGAATTAACCATAAATAAACAAGTGATCATTATTTATAAAAAAAAAACATTTATTTTTTCATAGATCGACAAGAAAATCATGCAAAATTCAGGTATGGTGGGTAGAGTGAAACAAGAAGTTGCCATTCATTCAAAGCTCAAACATCCATCAATATTGGAGTTGTATACATTTTTTGAGGATGCAAACTATGTGTATTTGGTATTGGAGTTGGCACAAAATGGAGAACTACATCGATATTTAAAAGAGAGTCAACGAGTAAGTTTGTTTACGCCCACATTTATAACAATAATTGTTTTATTTTAATTTTAAATCAATTCAAAGGTACTGACCGAAACTGAAACGGCAAACATTTTGATGCAAGTTGTAAATGGCCTACTTTATTTGAAAGTAAATAATATCCTTCATCGTGACATGTCTCTATCGAATCTATTGTTGACGAATGATCTCAAAGTGAAAATCGCCGATTTTGGTTTGGCCACACAACTATCACGGCCCGATGAAAAACATACAACATTGTGTGGAACACCAAATTACATATCACCTGAAGTGGCATCGCGTGCAACACATGGACTACCAGTCGATGTATGGGGATTGGGATGTATGATGTATACATTGTTGGTAGGCAAACCACCATTCGATACAGATGGCGTTAAATCAACTTTAACCAGAGTTGTAATGGCCGATTTTGTTGTACCAAATTCACTATCGATCGAAGCAAAAGATTTGCTTAATCGTTTACTACGAAAAAATCCAAACGAAAGAATTCACATTGAAGATGTGCTTACCCATCCATTCATGTTGAAGCATTTGGCCGCATCGCATCCAACCTATTCAAATACAGTTGGATCGGTTGACAGTGGCCTGCTTACGATGTCTAGTGGTATGACATCAGCACAAAATCTTACGGGAAAAATGGACATGAGACTGCGTTCAGATGAACATAACTTTAGTCAGACAAAGATGCCAGTTAAAGCGACCAATGTATTTGATAACATAAGAGTTGGACATAGTGCATCATCGTTGTACAATCGTTATGATTCACAGTACAATGATTTTGTACATCAGCCATCACATCAATCGCAATCTAATGAGCTCGTCGATCGAATCGGAAATCTGGGATTGATGCAACCACAGGAGGATAAGCAATTATTTGGTTCAGCAGGAATTGGAGGTAGCTGCGGAGCGTATTCATCAAAACCGAATTTTGGAAATTTGCATACACCAAGCGATATTCTTGCGAATCATACACCGATGCCATTGCAGGAAAATCGATTCTATGGCATGCAACAAAATTTGGTCGCACCGCATCAAACACACAATCTAAATTTCGAACCGATGCTCTCCAAACAACACCCGACAAAAGTAAAATCCAGTCAAAAATTGAGCGTACCACCACTGAATTCGGAACGTCTGTTACCAACAAGATTTAAAACAAAAACGGCCATTTTGAGCATTTCATCATTGGGTGAGGTGGTTGTTGAATTAATCAAATACAAAGAGAAATATAATGAAGAACGTGTGGTAGACGTTTGCCGCATATCAAAAGATGGGCTACGCATTGTTGTTTATCAACCAGACGCTGGACGGTAAGTATCATTTCTAACATTTGTTTTTTTTTAACATTTTCCATTTGTCTAATGTCAACTTCATCGCAATTTTTATTTTCAGTGGTTTGAAAATACAAGATTCTCCGCCTGATTTACCGGAATCCGGTGCTGATTCAATCTATAGCTACGAAAACCTACCGTCCAAGCATCAAAAGAAATATGTGTATGCATCGCGATTCATACAGTTAGTCCGTGCAAAAACGCCGAAAATTACCTATTACTCATCGAAAGGCAAATGCGATCTCATGGAAAATTTGGAGAATTTTGAACTATCATTTTACGATGGTGAAAAGATTGTTCGAACGTCAGAGAATAATGTCAACATTTTCGATAATGATGGAAATGTATTGGCATCGAATAATGAAAATGATACGATACGAGCACTTTGGTTACATTATCAACAATGTTTTGAGCATTGTAAAACTCTTGAACGAATTTTGAACAGTATTAATGTGGAAGGTGAATGCTTTCCAATAATTGTCGGTCGACGACCAGCCACTGCTCCTGTACTAGGTGTTTCAAGATGTAATAGTAATAATTTACTAACGCCACGGCTGGCAAGTGTAAGTGTAAATTTGTGAAACTTCATTGAATTGAATCTGAAAATAAAAAATTATTGAAAAATTATTTGCAATTTCAGGCGTCTTCGTTAATGTCGCTCAATAGTGTCACATCAACGAAGACATCTCAAATGAAATCATCACCAATTTTTCATTCAACGCCAACGGAGAAGAAAGTGATTGTTCCTGGCATTGGAATTGCATCACAATCACCAGAAGGTGTAGTTGAAGTGCTCTATCAAGATGGCAGCCGATTGGCGTTGCACACACCAGAACAAGGCGGTGGTATAACATTTACCCAAATGAATGGCAGTACGTGCCATTATAATGCTTCAAACGATGACTATTCAATACCCGAAATAGTTCGAAATCGATTGAATCAAATGGAAATTGTAGTCAAATATTTGATGGCTCACAATAGCTCACATGTGCCATTATGTACGCCCGTTAGCAATAAGTGCATGCAACAACAAATGAAATTCTTTCGATAGCATTTAATTTAAATACAAAGCTCTATTATTTATTATTCGGGTGAGCTTGTCATACATCAACCAGTGATTCCGTTGTTCAAAAAAAAAAGACAATCTGCATTTAAATCAAATATAAAACCTATTTTTTATCAATTGTATCAAAATAAAATATGTTTAAGTATCTTTTTATACATTGTAGACTAATGGAAAAACAATCTTTAAAAATACAACAAATGAGACTAATGAAAGCAATGTTTATTTAATCTTTTTTAGCTGAAAAAAGCTCGATTAACTATCAAAAATCACATCTTTTTAAAAGCTGAAGAGTTTGAATCAACGGCACTCAAAGAGAAAGAAGATGATTAAGAATTTCGACTGATCATGATCACTGCAAACAATATAAATGAGGTTGAAATTGTAAAAATGTCATTTTTCACCAACTGAAGGTATCAATAACTCACCACGCTCTCCTTTGCACAATGCATTAATTTAATCTTTATACACGGTTGTGTAACTTTGATGACATTGACGAGTTACTTAATTTTTTTAAATTGTTCAAACCATTCACTATTATCACTTCATCTTTAGTCAATACTTTTCGTTTATGAATATTTTGGATTAATATTTAAATGTCTATTTTTATGCAAACAAAATCTAATATTTAATTTGCAAAGCAAAAATGATGAAATGCATTTAACGTATGTTATTGCCCTCTAATTTAAATACATTCAACGAATTATGTTGAGTTTAAATTCTGACATTTCAAACTGACATTAGCATCGCCATTTAAAAACATAACCTTTGTCCAAAACTCTGTCTGCATTGTTTCGAAATAAATTGGTGGTCAGAATTCGGATCGAAACCTAAATTTATATCTTGTTGCGATATTGAAGGTGATTCGCCAACGACAAAGGCTATGGCTGGTGGAATTGATGTCAGCAATCGAAAACCACGACGCTTGAAAGGAACACCAGCTCTTAGAGTCATCAATCTATACAGCTTAGCAACACTTACAGTTTGCTGCGGTATTGGATATTTCTTTTAGTGAGTATCGTATTTAAATTTATTCGTCGACTGTGAATCAAATCAATTTAACTGAAATAAACATTTCAACATGTCTTTGGTTCTTTTTTTTTCAGCAAACTTCCAAGTGCCAATCGACTTAATGCGAAATTATTTCCCAAAGAAGAACAAGAAAGAGAAAATCGCGAACGTGAAGAGACCAATTTCATATTGGGAAATAAGCTGATTGGACAAAAATCGGCAAGTGAAATTCGACAGATTTTGCGGCATAAACAAAAATACGAAACTGAATTATAAATCCATCGTAGTTAAATTGTTATCATTTTGCACAAGCACATCCTTCAAACGTGTTTGTGCCAACAAAAGATGGACAAAAAAGACGACCAGAAAAAACCAAATCGATTAAAATTTTCCCGATTGTGTCTCACTCAAACTCGAAATGCCGGTGTACTTCGGTAATTTAAATTTAAAATTCTTATTTAAATTAAGAAGAAGTCTACCGTAGAAGACGATTGTTAAAATCAATTTGTAGTTATAAATAATAAAATGTGCATTTGATGCGATATTTTCATAGTGGAAACTCTCGTTGCTTTTTGTGAAACAAATAAACAAGCTATTGTTTATTTTCCCCTATAAATGTTATTATTATTTTCTCTATTTATGTGTGTTTTTTTTCAGAACCAATTCACAATTACCAAATTCACAAATATCACGGTTTTTCTCACAATCAAATCAAACAAGCGATGAAATTGTCAAAACCGAATCTGTTGCATCTGCACAATGTCAAAAAGATACATCATTACAAAGTGCCGAAAATATCTGTGATAAACGTGAATCAGTACCAATCGAAAGAAACGGAATCAATGGAAGTTCAGAAATTACAACCACAAAACATTCGAGTGATAAAACAAAAGCAAAAAGTATACATCGAACAATGTCCAATGATTCAAAATCAACAATCAAATCATTCTTTTCAAACGAGCACAACGATAGCATGGCCGACTTTGAGATACCAACTAAAGTGGCTAAAAAAGCATCCAAACCACCGGTAACATCGAAAACAACAAAACAATCACGAGCGCGTCGTAAACAGCCCGATATCCGAAAAGCATTAAACAAACGAGACGACACTGACACTGATTACAGTCATTTGCCAGAAGATGCTCAATTAGAATTGGCATTGGCATTATCAAAAGCCGAATCACATGCTGCAACTGACCCAATTGCGAAAAAATCCATTGACTTTGAAGCGTTTGAATTTAAACCGAAAAATGCCCTGGCGAACAATGAGGACATCGTTGAATTTTTCAATATGCCAAAAAAGAAAAATGCACGATTCAAATGGAATTCGAGGTGTACACAATTGACAAAACGCATAGATGATGTACAGAAAATGAAACAAAGACAAAAGGTCGATGAATTTCTGGTGGATAATATAAAAGTTCACTCACATCTATCAAATTTATCACAGTCGGCGAGTAATGGACAAGCATATGAAATTTACAGTAATCGTTTGCAACGAATTTGCATGCAAGAAAGGATCCTATTTGAAATTAGTAGTTGTGATATACATTCAAAAAATAATATTCTTTCATATTATACAAACAATTTAGTGGAACGATCTGAATTACAAGCGGGTGCACTATTGCGAGATTGGTCGAAAATACCAGGAAGAGATTCAATTTATGATTGTATTGAATATGCAAATGATAAAGATAAGACTGACGAACCTGTGATGCATTCACAACCTGAAACCATAGAAAACGGTAATATTCTTGACAATCAGCCAGATGATGTGACAGAATATTTTGATGCAGAGAAAGAATATTCAAGTGCACCAATGGATATTGAAGATATACATGAATGTGAACAACGACAAATTCAAAAGCAATTCGAAGCATCGAAAAACGATGAACAGTGGCAAGAGCAAAATCAAAATGATGTTTTAAGCTCAGATGACGATGCAGATGCAACAATTATGATGGAATCAAACGATATTCAGTTGAAAGTCGATGCAATTAATTCAAAGTTAAGATTGAGTCAGAATTTTTCGGATATTTTTCAACCAACTGTTGTTACGTTGGAAACAACGCATGCAATCAGAGCACCTTCACCTGATTTATTTGATGACGATGACGATGTTGAAATGACTGCAGAAATCCGTAAGACACTTTTAGCACAATTTTTTAATCGGATTTAATGCGATTTCATTGAAAATTAGTTGTTGACGTTTCATTTTAGATGAAAAGATGACAAATGATCAAATCACATCAGACATAATTAGAAATGAAGATAAAGAGGAAGAAGAAGATGCCTTGTCTGATGTAGTTTTGATAAGTTCTAGTGAATGTAACTCAAATCAACAAGGTTGTTTTTTTTTATTTATCATTCAATCAGGTATTGTTTAAGTACAAATGTCTCATTTTTTTACATTTCAATTACAAAAACAGTTTCAGAATCCATAAAAACTACGCAAAGTTCATCACAGGTCATTGATTCAGAAGATACTTTGAATAATGACAATGTCGAAACCATTGAACTGCTCGATTCGGACTCTGAAAATATGATGAAAGAATCCATTCCGTCGCCCATAAATGGTAATTTTTTTTACGAACCAGTAAATCACAATTTGCGATAAATATAAAAGTTGATAATTTATGGTTTAGATCCTGAAAATGCGTCAGTGTTTGAATTCAATTACGATATATGTAACTATGAATACGATAATGAAGACTTCATAAAACCGATTGAAATTGATGAAGAACGGCCAAGTACATCAATCAAATCAAATGAAAATGGCAGCATTACAAAGAAATTGTCGTTTACAGAGCGTTTGGAATTTTGTGATCGAGACGTGTTAAATGGATTCACTGGAAATGTTCCGGCCGAATGTTTAAGTCAAATTCATGTGCAATCACAAGAATCAATTGCATTATCCGATGACGAAATCAATTATTCCATGAATAAAGGTGGTGTTGTGCATGTAATGGATGATGATGATCTCAATGCTGATAACGATGATTACAATTACAACATACCGAGTCCAATTGATTTCAATCTTATCGATGTAAACACAAACTTTGAATCGGACGAAAAACTAATGAATCAAAGTGTGTGCAATATTTTTGAAAAGACATTTGAACATAGCAGTTCGCCAATGTCGGCTGCAGCAAAACAAAAATCAATTGGTGCAAAATCACTTAAGAAAGTGAATTCGGAAATGATGTTTGCTTCATGCTATGAAAATACAATGCCTTCAACTTCAACCACGAATCGGATAAACTTAATGCCAATCAAAAGGTGTAAAACACCGGACACATTACCACCTTCTCAAGAAGAGTCACGAATGGATCTATTAAATGATGAGTATTTTATTCGAGTTGGTTCTATTTCACCGAAACCAAACTACGAAGTAATGGATACAACAATGCTCGAGACCGAATTGAGAAAGTTTGGACTGAAACCATCATTGCGTCGACGACAAGCGATCATTTGTTTGGAATATATTTACAATCGAACGCATCCGATCATAGAATGTGACACAGAAATTGAAACTCAGCCCTCAAAAACAGGTGGTAAAGAAACCAAAGATATGCCAAACGATAAAGATGATGACAATGGACCAAAAATTAACTACAATCATGGATTTGCCGCACATAATTTAGTCGATGAAAAGTTTAAGAAATATGAAGAAAATCGTATATTTTTACCATCGACGTTAAGAGCCAAGGTAAATTGATTTTTGTGGTTCTATTATTATGATAAGAATAAAAATGACTGATTTTTTATATCATTCGCAGAAACCATGGTGTTTGGTACCTCTTCACATAGCATGGCATAATTTGATGCAAGCAAATTCGGAATTACGCACCACGGTTTTATTGTACAAGCCCATCAATTTGATTGATCTGAAAAAATTCTTCAAAACCATTGAGATGACATTTGATAATAGAGATTTGATTTCATTTTTGGATATGCATTGCATCACATTTCGCATGAATAAAGCATCAAAGGAATGAAGCGAACATCGCTTGCATTTGTCACATTTGTTGATTTTTTTTTTAAAGATTGCTTTTGCATTAGTCTACAATGTTTATAAAATAAATGAATAATTACTTATTAGACATACACTTTATTTGTTCTGTAAATAAACCAAACAATATGGTTCGGTATGTAGAATCGGTGAGTGTCTTTTTTCTAGAACCCTGAACTCTCTTGAAAATTCGTTTTTCCGAACTGAAACCGTAGGGAAACTATAAATTTCAATGTCATTAACTGTTTGTGAATTAGATTTTTTTTACTATTCCTTCCAATGAGAACCATGGCATATTCTATTGTTATATTAATGGTTTTGAAAATGTTTGTCAGTTCAACCAATTACAATAAAAAAAATGTTTGTATGAAAAATAGAAATTAAAAGCAGTAAATGATGAAAAAAAGACAATTTTGGAAATATGAAAGTCCAACATTCTGGCATATAAACAAGTAACTATTCAATTCCGTCAACGTAAAGCAACGGTGTTTAAAGATGGCAGGCGATGTATACACTTGTATGCATGTTTTGTGAGACTACAACACCCATACACTCCCAATTCGCACGTCAAGTACTAACAAACGCTAGAGTATTGTGCAAACGATAGCGTGGTGAATTATTGACACATACATTCATTTGGTGAACATGGAGTTGTGATCCCAACAACGTGATTCATGCAAAAAAAAAAATCACAAACTGATAGATATAGAGTCCAAAACAATGTGAACGCAACACACTTTACTTCAACGTACATTACATTGAACATAGATTTGGCTAGTCGCGTTTGTTTGTTATAAAAAACGTGAATTTTATTTTATTATTTTTCTGCAGATTTAAGAAAAAGTCATAATAGTAAAGAAGAGTGAACAATTACCGGTTGACAGTTAAAAGAATCGGTCCACAAAATTTAAAAACGAAATAATTTATGAGTCGTGTGAAATTACGAAACATCTACGAAAACGCCGCATCGACACCAACAAATCAGCTTTTCATAATAAATTTAGTTATTTTTTTTTGTCTGTTTAAACATTGACATATGTAATTGGCCGATTCAAAAATTTCCCATTTTCGGTCGGCTTAAAAAATAGCTATAAATAAAAAGCGAAAAAATAGAGAAAGTATTCAGGTTCGTATTATTTCTATTGAAACAAATTTCATAGTCATGCACAAATCTTTGAATTTGACAGTGGTGAAAATGTGTGCATGGAGTTTTCCTCGCATTTGCGAGTATTATTTTTTTTTGTTCGTCTCGCAGTGTCTATATCGGTTGATTTAGTGTTGCCCGTTGTTAGTTTATGCTGTATATCAAAGGCGCACACCAATACAAGGCCACTATCAAATACAAGCACGAAACCCTTATTTCATACTAGTTGACCGTCGTGAGGTGAGAGTGCGAAAAAAAACATTGGCATTGTCAGTCATTTTCCTTTTTTCTCGTATGGTCGCCACTAAAGCTGCTTTCAATCAAATTAATCTTTGTCAAAGCACTATTTCAAACAAAAATTCATACAAAACAAAACATAAAATAGTTTAAACAAAACCTAAAACCATTTGAATTGAATTTCAATTTTCGCACAAAACAAATTCATAGAGGAAAATAAAAAAAAACACATACACAGCAAAATGACGTGGGAACCGCAAGCAGAAGGTTTGCAACAGATTATAACAATATTGAAGGAATCGCAATCGCCAGACACAGCAACGCAACGAGCTGTTCAAATGGTAAGTTATTCACAACATTTTATGAAAATACATAAAAATTGAAAGCGTGTAAATAAAAAAATTTGATGACATAAATCAATCGGCTAATTGACATTTTGAGTGAATTTGTTTGGTCGACTATTGATAGTTGGTGTCGTTTTATCGATTAAGCAAGAAATGTGTTATTCCTAATATATGGTTGTTGTTGTTGTTGTTTTTGTTGTTGGTGTTTTATTTTAATTTTGTGTGTTTTTTCGTCGATGCAATTCTTTTAGAAATTGGAGGAACTAAATCGATATCCAGATTTTAACAACTATCTCATTTATGTGCTGGTTCGATTAAAGACAGAAGATGAACCCACAAGATCGCTCAGTGGTTTAATTCTAAAAAATAATATTCGATTGCATGGTAGCACATTGCAACCGGAGATTGTTGAGTATATAAAACAAGAATGTTTAATGGCTGTTGGCGATCCATCACCATTGATACGTGCAACTGTTGGTATTTTGATAACAACAATTGCCAGCAAAGGTACTCTTAACAGTTGGCCACAACTATTGCCATCATTGTGTGAAATGCTCGATTCACAAGACTATAATGTGTGCGAAGGTGCATTTGGTGCACTGCAAAAGATTTGTGAAGACTCCACTGAAGCATTGGATAGTGAAGCACTAAATAGACCATTGAACATCATGATACCGAAATTCCTGCAATTTTTCAAACACTCCAGCCCGAAAATTCGTTCACATGCTATCGCCTGCATAAATCAGTTCATCATAAATCGCACGGCCGTTCTAATGATGCATATAGACACATTCATTGAGAATCTGTTCCAATTGTCAACCGATGAAGATCATGAAGTACGAAAGAATGTGTGCCGTGGATTTGTGATGTTGCTAGAAGTTAGAATGGACTGTCTGTTGCCAATAATGAATCAAATTATTGAGGTAATTATTATGCGATGTATTTTATGCATACATTTCTAATTTAAAATTCGTTTATAATAAATCCATAGTATATGCTGTTAAGAACACAAGATCAAGATGAGAGCGTAGCTTTAGAAGCTTCCGAATTCTGGTTAACATTAGCTGATCAAACAATTTGCAAAGAAGTCTTGGCACCACATTTGGCCAAATTGGCACCAATTTTAGTGAACGGAATGCGATACTCAGAAATCGACATCATTCTTCTAAAGGTAATTATTAACACAATTAAAATGTTTTGCTTTTGCTTGTTTATCATGCAGAAATTGTGTTTCTGTGTGTATTAATTAGGGTGATGTTGAGGACGATGCAATGATACCAGATCGAGAGGAAGACATAAAGCCAAGATTCCATAAGTCTCGTACACATACCGTGAAACAAGAGATCGATGGACAAGACCATGATGACGACAGCGATGATGATGATGATGGCCTAGATGATGATAATTCATTGTCCGAATGGAATTTGCGTAAATGTAGTGCGGCAGCATTGGATGTACTGGCCAATGTATTTCGAGAAGAATGTTTGCCAATTGTTTTGCCCATCCTGAAAGACACACTATTCCATCCGACATGGGAAATTAAGGAGAGTGGCATATTAGCATTGGGAGCCATTGCCGAAGGCTGTATGTCTGGAATGATTCCACATTTACCCGAACTCATACCATATTTGATTCAATGTTTGTCGGATAAAAAAGCTCTAGTCAGATCAATAACATGTTGGACTTTATCGAGATACGCTCATTGGGTGGTCACACAACCGCACGAACAGTACTTGAAACCGCTAATGGAAGAGTTGCTAAAACGCATTCTAGACGCAAATAAACGAGTACAGGAAGCGGCATGTTCAGCATTTGCAACATTAGAAGAAGAAGCATGCACAGAACTTGTTCCTTATTTAGGTTACATACTCAAGACATTGGTATTTGCATTTTCAAAATATCAGCACAAAAATCTATTGATTCTGTACGATGCCGTTGGAACGCTGGCTGATTCTGTGGGCCATCATTTGAATAAGCCCGAATATATAAACATTTTAATGCCACCGCTTATTGAAAAATGGAATCTACTACAAGACGATGACAAAGATCTATTTCCATTGTTGGAATGTTTGTCAAGCATAGCAACGGCATTACAATCGGGATTTTTACCATACTGTGAGCCAGTTTATCGACGTTGCATATCACTCATTCAACAAACGATAAACCAACAAGAGCTAGCCAACAGTCCGAATCCAGGACAATATGAACAACCCGACAAAGAACGAATGATTGTTGCGCTTGATCTTCTATCGGGTTTAGCTGAAGGCTTAGACGTTCACATCGAATCGCTTGTTATCAATAGTAACATTATGCAATTACTCTATCAGTGTATGAAAGACTGTATGCCAGAGGTAGGCCAATTAAAATAGTTTTCTTCTTAAATTCTTGAAATAAAATTTATGTGTAATTGACAGGTGCGTCAGTCATCGTTTGCATTGCTGGGAGACTTAACAAAGGCATGCTTTCAACATGTTATGCCATACATGCAGGATTTCTTTCCGATTTTAGGCCAAAATCTAAATCCAGAATTCATATCTGTGTGCAATAATGCAACATGGGCCATCGGAGAAATAGCTATGAAATTAGGTAAAATTTGCTGTCATTCAATATATATCAACAAATATTTAACATTTTTTTTGTTGTTCATTTGATCACAGGTGAAGGAACAAGACCGTACATCCCACTTGTGCTAAGAGAGCTAATTGTTATAATCAATCGACCGAATACAACAAAGACATTACTAGAAAATACCGGTAAGATTCTTTAAAATACTCTTACATTTGTTTGGGTCTCTGTATATTATTTTCTTTTTCAATTGCATTTGGTTATTTTTTCAACATTGTTTCATTCATTCGATTTCTGTTCTCACACAATAAATAACCAAATCGCGACTTTTCAAACACTCACGCTGAAGAAGATATGATTGAAATGGGTGATTTTTCATTAGCAAGTTCAGAATTTAAAACACAACGCACTCCTCAATAGTTCAAAATAATTAATTCTCTTTCCAGAATTTAGAGAGAACTTTTCAAAGTTTATTTTTCTTCACAAACTCTGTTATGGATTGCAGCTCATAAGTTATTAATATACATGACCGAACTACAGTGTAATCCATATCACAAAGCTTTTCCCATATTAAAATATAAACTGCTCCAGTTTCCGCAAGATGTGTGAACTCAATTAAAACACAATTTTTTGCATAAGTCAATTAATATTTATATCGACACATTTTATTTTCTGAATGCAATGGAGCACACAAATTCAACTCGCTTTCCAAAAATGCCAAACATTTTTTATCTGCCCCGTTTCATTAAATTCATATAAAAAGTGTACGAAAATTTTTCGGTCTGACAAACGAACTTTTTCTTTAAAATGATTTCCGTGACATTGGCTAAATTTCTTATCAAATGAAATTGGTTACAAAATATTCAAAAATTTACTCAAAACAACCAATAAATTAGCTTACATTACATTTGCATATTCTAACCCATTGTGGTATTATTTTTGCTGTACACTCTATAGTCGTTTCATGTTTCTTAATATGTCAAATTTTGACCGGGCAACATTTTGACACAGTGTCTAATGAATAAATCATTCGTAATTGGTTGCGTGGTGCACAAATTCAATGCTTGTTGTTGTCTTAACTGTCCACAAAATCCTTAATTCCCGAAGACCCCTTAGTTTAATATTTATCATATAGAAAAATTGAAATTGTTTATATTATTAATTGATTAATAATTCATTCTAATTTGTTTTTTATATTAACCATTTCTCATTTGGTTCTGTTTTCGTTGTATTTTATTTCTACATGCGTCACGCTTATGAATTTGGATTCTATGGCTCTGTTTTGTTCTGCTCTAAACAATATCCACTTTTAATTATTTTTTCGACTTCTTTTTTTCCACTTTCTTTTGTTTATTTTGTTTGTTTATTTATTTTATTTTTTATTTTTTTAGCTATAACAATCGGTCGTCTAGGTTATGTGTGTCCTGTTGAAGTGGCTCCTTACTTACAAGATTTCGTACGACAGTGGTGTGTAACAATTTTTTTTCTATTATTATAATTACACTTAAATTTTTGATTATCATTATTCTCTTTACCTCATAAAAATAAAACGAATTACGATGGCCTATGGTTGATTGAAAGATAGGACCATTTAGTTTTATTAAATTTACGATTGAACATTTTAATTAAATATTAATGAGTTCAGTTGAACGAAATTTCAACTGAAAATGTATCCATTGTATAAAAATGGTTTTATTTGGTTACACGTTATTCTATTATATGACAGATATTGTTCTGCGACATTTACATCCAGTTGAATTATCTCATCGGACTGCGTTCAGCTATTTCTTTATGAGTTGTATGAGAGCAAAAGAAATGAGTTTGGAGGCGATTAGAAGCATTTCTTTTGAATCATTTTAATAAAAATAACAGATGAGCCAATTAGCTGGTTAAAAAAAGAGATATCTCAGTACAATATCTGGTGCAAATTGGTTGAATTTAGTGTACCAACAACGAACATTTTTATTTGCATTTTTCGTTGTAAATGCACATATTTGAGTACAAAGTTTGAACGTTGTTTATGGGTCAATTGCCGTATCCAAAATATTGGATATGAAAGTCTAAATAATCAAGTGTACAAAATTACATTTTTAGTTGAATGCATTTAAAATGAAAAAAAAAAATCACTGCTTTCTCCTTTGGGAAAGGTCATTTATTTCATTTTTTTTCTGACATACAATTTCTTTGCCGATTTATTTTAAAATTTCAATATTGCTGTACGTCATTTTTTTGGGATGAATTTTTTTGGTGTTATTTATTCTAACATCGTAAAGAAAACCTCAGTGATTTTTTTATAGTCAAAAATGAATTTTCCCCTTACAGTTTTCATTGCGTGTATTTCTAGTCATAATTGATTTAATGGCGTTTTGTTTTATTGTTTTCTCTCTCTCTCTCTCTTTCGAATTGAAACGAATGATAGGTGCACATCGCTGCGTCATATACGTGACAATGACGAAAAGGATTCAGCATTTCGAGGCATGTGTAATATGATTACAGTAAATCCAGTTGGTGTTGTTCCCGATTTCATCTTCTTCTGTGACGCAATTGCATCATGGGTGAATCCGCCAAGTGATCTGCATGCAATGATCCAAAAAATTCTGCACGGTTTCAAAACACAAGTAGGCGATGAAAATTGGCGGCGCTTCGTCGATCAATTCCCGCCAAATCTATCAGAACGTATGGTTAACATGTACGATATTTAAGCTAAACAAGACAGAGGAAGCCAGAGACAGAGCTAAAATCATCATCCCGACAACGAGAGAGAGAAAGAGACGAGATACAGTAGGCCTACAAGTCTACACGAGCGTAAATATGTGTCTCTTTCCACATAACAAAAAAAATTTTCATCAAATCCATTTTTAATCAAATATAAAAACAACAAATTGAAATTCACGAAGTATGCAAAATACATAAATGAGAAAAAGTGAAATGATTTTGAGTGAAAACAAGGAACGATATAAACATAGAGTGAAAGAGTGACATTTTAAGAATTGAAATTGGTACGAATGATAAATATATAGTTTATATAATAAATTTAAACAAAAAAAAAAAAACTAGAATCACAAAATGTAAACATACGTACTCAAACGTGTGAAACAAAGAAATTAGGCCCCAAATCTCACTAAAAAAATTCCATAAAATTTCGTTAAAAAAAATCTCAATTAACCTTTCAGAATTATGTGTTGAACGAGTCAAATAAAAGTGTTTTATCCGCCTCCTTTTTCACTTCCAAAACGCTTACCAAAAAATCAGAAAATAATTCGAACTGTTCTTTTTTTTATTTTATGAAATAGCGTGATGCTTTGAAGTGTCCGCTGAGTAAATTGTCAGTTTTAATTTTAAAAATACTAACTACCTTTGATTTCATTGTTAAAATGACAAATTCAAAAATATACATATTATTTTTTTTAAAAAAAAAAGGAAAAAGAAAAGAGGAAACATATATGTTTAATAAAAAAGAAATAAAAAAAAAATTCACAAAATTCAACAGTTTAAAAACCAATTAAAACAATGAAAAGATTATTTGGACAAAAATATAAGACGAAATTTATTACGATTAAATTAATCAAAGTGAATAGATTTGGAGCCGATTGGAGGATAAATCTCAGACTTTGAAAAGTAACGTGTAATTTTAGACAGTATCCCCCTCACAATGTAGTCGAAAATAGTGGTGTCCTTAACCATTTTATGACAAACTTTTCATTCTCTCTGACTGCATATGAGAGAGTGAAATTAAAAACACAGACACGTATTACGTGACAAACAGGGAGATATTTTAAAAAGAATTTTCACAATTTATCGACATTCTTTTGTTGGGATTTTCGAAATATTTTTATTTTGTTTAAAAATGTGCGAAATTAAAGTGAAATAAAATACTGCGCAGACTGAAGATTTGATTGGTATTTAAAAAATCAGAATGTGTAGAATGTGACCCACCAGTTATATATGGTATTGTATATGGATAAAAATTTCGATTTCTGCGCAAAGTAAGAAAAAAATTAATTTTATTTCACGATATACTGCGTGGTATACATGAGTTCCACGTATTTAATTGAATTGTCAATTATATCAGTAGTTTCGATAAAGAAATAGAGAAAGAATGTACTAAACAAACCATTAGTTGCATGTCATAAAGCATCCATTTTCAAAGTAACACGTTCCCAATACTAATCCATAGACTCGATTTCGGTATCGATTATCTCTTATAGCTCATCCAAAATCATTCAAGTAAAATAAAGAAACATATTGTTTTCCGTGCGAATTGTCTACTCAATTCGTCCATTGCTTTTATAAATATTCATCGATGTGCGTTGGCTTAAGCCATTTGTTTCATTTCATTTGAAAACACTAATTGGCTCAATAGATACTTGTCGTTTTCATTGGATATGCTATCAAACATTATTACCAAGCAAACTTAATTTGAAAATTGTATCATTGAATGAATGTGAAATGGTCTGATTGAAATTTTAAAATGAAACTGAAAAAAATGACGCATCTCTGTAGAGTTTAGTTTGAATACATCCTTGTACAGACTGGTGTTGCATGTGCTAAGTGTCGATTTGTATAGTAAAATGTGTCGTGTATTTAAAAAAACAACATAAATGAAACACAAAACAATTATTATTATTAACAACCGAGAAATGGTGATCTTTTTTTTTAAATGCAAAGTGAACATAAACTAAAAGTGGAACAGATGAATCATTTATTTTTGACACAATCTCAAACAAATATTATTAATGCAGAATAGATGAACGTAATTTTATGAGCAAAAATACATTTTATTGTTAATTGTTGGAGCAGTAACTAGAAGAAGTTCTTGTTTTCTTCACTTCATTTATATCAAAAAGGCTCATCTTCTAATGCTATCGTTTTTTTTTTCATTATTATTCATAGTACGTTGCCAAAACTATATTTTGCTTTTTCAATTTACTTATTTTTGTAAAAAAAAAAATCCAACATTTTCTTACTTTCCATATACTCTGTCCACAGTTTCTGTCCATTGTTGCCAATAAAATGATTAGCTTATCTATTCAATGTTCTGTAGCTTTAATTCAATCATTTATTTTTCTTTGTGGAATTGAAGAGAAAAGACTTATCGTTAACGAGAATTGCAACTAATTCAATATCAACAGGTTTCTGTGTATAAAAAAAATTACATTTTTAGATAAGAAAGATTCACGGATAGCATCAATTAAGCAAACTGCATCAGATGACCAAAATGAACAAAATAAACACACACATAATAATTCTGACACATTTTCCGTACTATTTTTTCGTAAATAGAACAAACACAAATTTAAAGAATAATAAAAAAAGAACAACATAAATACCATCCAATTTACTGTAAAAAGAATTTTCTAATAATTAACAAACAAATATTTTGTTGTTGGTTTTTTTTTTTAAATCATTAATTAAAAGAGAAAAACAATGTTCACAACACAAAAAAAAATATACAACAAAACCTTTATCGACTTAGGGGAGAACACACATAGTTAGCGCACCTTATTTAACCTAAGCACATACGACAAATGATTATGATTATTCGATGATTATGTGATAAAAAAAAGTAACAATGAAAAACGATTATTAATACAACACACCAAAATCCAGACACAATCATGTACACACAACACTACACAAATTAGAGATTCCATCAAAACACACATACACACACACGAAAAATAAAATTCTATTATTCTCTAAACTTCATTCTATTGAATAAAATGAGTCGGTATAAAAATAAATACAAATTTGTAAATAAATTAAAACACGTGAAACGTATAAAAAATAAACAAAAAAATTAAAATAAATAAATTTCATATAAACTGAAAACGCGTTTTAAAAATAAAAAAAAAGAAGTGAAAACAAATAATTTACTTCACGTTACATTTTACTTCGGGTTCGGTATTCGCGTCACCTCGCATTAAAATACAAGAAAATCCGAAACATTTTCGTGTTTCGTTGAACAAAAATATTATATCTTGTTTCAACACTCACCGATTTTGAGCATTTTTTATTTAAAGCATCTAATTTTGTATTGGTCAACCGTTTTCGTTTTATATATGTATTAAATATATCTCACATACAATACATACGCAAACCCATTTAAAAAAAAGTGACAAAAAATGGCTGAGTCTATATGTATATTTTTGTGTATAAATCTCAGTTTAGTTTTTTATACTTGTTTTTAAGCTCGGATAAAAAACTTTTTAAACAAACGGTGTAAGCAAAATGAACATGTGCCATGTATTGCCCCAAAAAATACAAAAAGGACAAAATATCGAAAGAGAGAGGAAAAAAAACAATTATAAAGTTATAAAGAGCTTAAGTCACAATTCAGATACACAAAATGAAAAGTTTACACACTGCATGGGTAGAGTTTGTAACTGAAGTTACAAGAAAGACTGAATTAAAAAGCAAAATAAAGAAATACAAATTGAAGAGAACAAAAGCATAAATTGTATGAAATATCAAAATATTGAAATTTTATTCAATTTTCACCCTAAAAATCTCCATTCGATTGGGGATCCACTTCAACGAATTATTTAAATTAAAATCGAATACAATTTCCACATTTTGATAAAATGCATACAGAATATAAAAAATAGAAAGAAAATAAAACAATGTAGTTCAGCAACATATTTTGGGGCAAACAGATTCTATACTTGTAATGTTAGATAGTTATTTATTAAATGAAATGCTTATTCTAAACTTAAAAACTGTAAAAAGAGAAGAAACAAACAAAAAAACACATACACAAAACAGAGAATTTTTTTTATAGAATTGTTAATTTCGATGTTCTTAATCTTAAACGGTATGATGAATACAATTTAAATATCAAATGCTCCAAAATCGGAATATGTTTCGTTTTTACCGCGTTTTTTGCGTTTTAAATTTAATTTAATTTAAAAAGAAAAAACATTTAATATAAAATCCAATTAAAAATTAAAATGTATAAAAATTAAAAGAGAAATAAATAAATGCAAGATAGCCAGTTACCGCGTTTCCATCCGTGCCGTTAAAATAAATGAATTAAAAATCTAACATAAAAACTAAAACTGAGTGAAAATAATTAAACAAAATACACAAATATAGATCGCGTCGTTTATTTAGCTTTCTTCCGGTGATCGAAACAAAGTGCTTTGTAAACAAATATCTAAATGTTTAATTTAAACAAACAGACAAAAATGCAAGAAGAACACGTGGAGATAAAGATGAATCAACAAAAAATGCATATAACATAATTTATAATATTAATCGTAAGGGGAAACATTCGGGTGATCGTCGGTATATTTTCGCGTCGCGTTTTTCAAACCAATTGTATAAAATAAAATAAAAATCTGAATTGTAACAAAAGTTAATATATATCGTAAATTTATCAAAATACAGGATTCGTCCCCAAAATCCTTCGGTTCGTCGCGCGTACATTTAATTTTACCGACCTTTTTAGAATATAGAAATTTTGAATCTTTTTTTTTTTGTCTCATATATTTTTTTCCGTAATTTATCTATTAATCTATAATTATAATTAAACTACTGACAATGATGACAAACATGAAGAAAATAAATACCGAGAAATTGAAAAAAATAATGAGAAAAAGAGAGAAAGAGAGAGAGATAAAACTTTTTAAAAGAATGTTATGCGAATAGGTGTTATTTAAAACAAATTTAGTTGTTTAAGTTAATTAAAAGAGTAAATCAACTTTGAGATAGTGAATCCAAGTAACGATATAAATTTCAAATCACAATTCAGTGGAAATTCCGGATTTTTTTTTTAAATGTATATTAACGCGGAAATAGTAGTAGTGGAATTGCAGTTCAAGTGTCAAAATAGTCGAATTATTAACAAAAAAAGCAGCCAAAACGAAACAAACGATTTAAGCATAAAAAATATTATAACACTCAGACATCCACACCGAACATCAATAAAAAGAAGAAGAAGAAGAAGAAATAAATATCTTTTGGCACTGAATACAAAACGTAAATTCCATCTAAGTACACCTTGAGTTAATTGCCACTCGATGGAGAGAAAGAGATATCAGAAGTTCGATTCAACATTGAAAGCAACGATATCGACAATTTTTTTAAAAGATTTTCCTCTCCATCGATTGATTTTAATTTTTGGAATGTTTAATTGAAAAATACCAAACATTTATCAGCAGAGATATGTGCAGAGAACGGTGCTCTTTTGGCACAATCAAGCCGTAAAATTGTTTATGGTCCGCGCCAAAAATGAAATGATTGTCTAGAATTTATTTTTTAAAAGCAAACCGTACGTACCTAAGCGAAAAAAAACAAAACGAGAAAAGAAAAACTGAACTGTGTTCTCTCAAAAATGTACTCTTGTCGCGAAAGATAAAAAAAGAAGAAGAAGAAAAATCACATTTAATCGTTACTTTTACAAAGTGAATAACAAATTTCGGGTGATCTTTATCGTATAATTCTTAATTTCTTGTGTATTTATTATTAATGGCTCGATGATTTAGTTTCTCCTTCAATTTTCACGTGAATTTTCGTTTGCTAGGATTTTTTTTTTTGAAAGAAGGTATTACAAACAATTTGAAAATAAAAAAATGGTAATGAATTCTCATTTAAAATGCCGGTATGAATGTGGCCAGCTCATGAATGGGTCTTATGTACAATTGTACATATGTAGCTCTTCTACTAAACAAACAAAAAATTGATTAAAAACAAATACAACAAACTCGCAAATGTGAGGAAAACAAAACACGAACTTATTTATAAAATGCTTGAAGAAATTTTAAAAACATACACATACACACATACAAACGATGGAAGAAAGTTTTAAAAAAACATGCATGTAAAAAAAGATCAATTGAAATTGAACTGGTATTCGATACATCAACTGATCATATTTTCCGTCATTTCATTTATTTTTACTTACTTTGAATACGCTCACAATACGAAATTGATCGCTGGAACGCAGAGTATTGTTCTAAGTTTTGCATTTTCAGGAATGTCAGTAAGATTTAAAGTGCTCCATTTGTTTTTCGTTTTTTCTTTCATTTCCATTGTGATTCCCTTCACTATGATTTTTAGTGATTCAAACTATTTTCCCCACCACAACCAAAAAGTCGTACGATTTACGAAACTGACAATTTCGAAACAAAATTAACTTAACGTGAAAAAAAAGTATTGGTAGTAAAAAATAAATAAACAAACAATTAAGGAAAAAAAATGAACTTGAAAAAGTAATATATAATGTGTAATATTGTAGCTCATCATCATCTCTTGCTATTCAACGTAGTCTAAGATCAATTTTGTGCGCATTCAGAACAAGTGAAATAAATATAAAACATTAAATTGGTTGTACAAAACCACGGACGAAACAAACAAAATACTTCGTTCATAAAACCTAATTATTTTTTTTTCCATTAAACCTTCATTGAAATTCAAAATTCAATAAAGAATAAGAGAAATAAATAAAAACTAAAAGAAAATTGTCTATCAAACATATTCCCATTTCAAAATATGAAAAACAAAACCAAATCAACAGCAGTAACAACAAATAAATCACAAATTATCACATATTTTTGGAATTGGATCATTGATGTTAATTGTAATTTAAGCATTGTAGCTTAACAACTCAAATAAAAAACCACAAGTTCAATGGCAAATTAAAATACAAACTACTCGACTTTCTTTGTAGCACTTTTAAATTTCAGATCGACAAATGTGAGGTCACACATAAACCAAAAATGCATCAATTAAAAACAAACCACTGAGATTAAGGCGTATGATTTTTTCTTGGTGAGTTTATTTATAAATTAAAAACAACAAAAAACCAGGAACATTTGCAATTCAAGGTAATGTACAATCGATTTTCGTATTCAATTGTGATTCCATAGACTCATCAAGAGGCATAAAACGATCCAAATCGAAATTACGATTTTGGTTTCTTCATAATTTTCATAAACAAAACCATAGCTGCAATGATAAAAAGAAACGTGTCATAAGAATGAAAGTAATTCAGAAGACTGCTTCATTTTATGAGAACAGTACACTTACAGATGAATGTAATCATTACTACTCCGAGCATAATCCACATCCACCATTTGCACGCTCTTGCTGAATGTTCTTTAAGTATGGTCGTTTCTTTATTCAACGCAGAATAATTCATATCCGATAAATTGCTCGATTTGCTGACAATCTGCGTATAAAATTGAATTCAATTGAGCGAAAGAAAAAAAATTGTATTAAAAATTCAAATGGTTTCGAATCGAATTAAGTGACATACATCAGTGTCCTTTCGAATGATTCGATTTGCAATTTCGGTTTGTTCCCTTAGATTTCTGGTCAATGCAAGCATATCTTCGGCAATTTTCTCTTGCATATTCGTATGATGTTTTATCGATTCATTCATATCGTCTCCGCTTCCCGTTGTACTGCTTTTCACACGTTGTCGCACCGTATTATTTGGATCCGTTCCACTCACCCCCAATAAATCACGACGTAATGATTTTGCATACTTCGCATCATGTATTTGATTCATTTCTCTGACAATATGATTACCAGACTCTGTCGATTTTAATTTGAATTGGTCACTCAATTTTGGTGGTTCAACATAGTTTGTTTGCTCTTTCAACGTTCGGCATCTTGTTTTGTATTCATCAATAGTTGATGCTTTCGGCTTTCTAAACACAAATGTTTTTTTTTTATTGAATAAACGATCATTACAATGGAAAATAACTACACTTACTCTTCACCATCCTCTAACTCCTTAATCATAGTGTCCAATGATTTAATATATTTCTTAAGTAGCCAATTATTTGTATCATCTTTCACTAAATCCTCACATTGAACAATCAATGTGCGAATATTTATTTCTAATTTAGTAGCCATTTGTGTTGTCTAAATGTTATTTTATAAATACGTTCGAAAATCTTTTAATAATAAATAGAAATGCTTTCTAACTATCTTATAAACAAAATGCAAACAAAAAAAACTGTTTCAATATCATACACGTCAATTATTAAATGTCATTGTGTCAAACGTGTATGTGTGGTGTAAGTGGTGAATTTTAACGCCAAATGAAATACAACGCAACCGACAGCATTAATGCATAGTGCATATATAAACTGCATACAGTATAGCACCGGTCATGTATCCCGTTATTATTGTAAAAGGATTGGCATCATAAAATACATCAAATAACTGCAAAAATGTTCCGTCCGTTTAATTATTGATGCTAAAATGGAATTTTTTGAAAAGAAAACACAATTGATTCCAATGTACAAATCACATGATTGTTTTGTTCTTGTTGTTATTTTTATTGGTTCCTTTAAACAAATATTTTATATTATTATTAATTTACTATAAATTGTTGTTATTTGCTACTTTACATAAAATCATTTCCTTTTTCCCTTATTCCAAAAAAATAAAAAAATGAATGAATTCCATTTTTTTGGACACAAAGAAAAAGTGTTGTACTGTAAACACTAATTAAATGGCTTATAAAAACTGAATCAAATTCAAAAATTACGTTAATTACTGCTCTTATTTTCTTTATTCTCTTTATATTTGTATGTTGTGTTATTAATTGTCCGATGTGGGATGAAAGTTGATTTAAAAAAAATCAATGCAAATTGAAAGAAAAAAAAAACATTGTGAAAAATGAGTTATTTTTATGCATTTTAAAAAAAATGATCGTTTTGATTTGTGTATTTTGTTTCATAAGAAAAAGACGTTATTTTTTCTCTTTTTCAAGTGACCGTTGTATGGTTTTGTTTTTGTAGAGTTGTGTGTATGTGTGTGTGTGTGTGTGTGGGTGTTTATTTATGCGTATATAGTTATTATTCTTCGAGGTTAATGGTCATCTGAACGGACATTGCAACGCGGTTTATGTGATTTTCATTGAAATATTTTATACGAAGTAAATGACGTTGAATAATATACAAACGAATAAATTCGTTCAATGATGGATCGAATGCATTCGTTTCGATTAAATCTTTTGTTATTTTATTCACAACATTTTCGCATACGCGAAAATTTGGATTCTGTACGGTACAAAATGTTTCTTCGACCTTCTTCAATTTACGCTTCAGATCTTTTATATCCATTGAGTCTGGATATTTTTTTGCATATGTTTCGCATATCCAATGGATTAATGCGGCAACATAGAATGTTTCATTGCGGCCATTCACTTCAGCAGCGGTGACAGCACCATTGAAAAAGAATGTAACATTCGATTCAATTTTAACGGAACAATTTTCGCCCAAGAAAATATCCTTAATAATACGAAATAGTTGTGTTGGTGGCATAACACGCTTGAAACTGTACTTATTGATCAGGTCATTTAATTTGGTCCGTGTTATTTCATTTGTGATCGCTTCCGTTGAGAATGTTGAATTCTTATACTTTGACATCACCGATTTGCGTAACATTTTCAACGATACAATTGACATCATCATTGCTTCACGGAATTTCTTTCGTGTACCTTCGGTCGTATTCGCATAGTCCAATTTGAACAGACGAGCATGAATTTTGTCGAGTCGCTTATTTTGAAAATCCATATATCTATCAAAATTAACTGTATCCACATCAGAATCAATACATTGCGGTCGGTTCATTAGTTCCGAATATGATTTCATGATGCTAATAAATTCGGTGACATTCTTTGTAGATCGATCATCAATTGGCAAACTAATTCGCATCAAATTGATTGTAAATTGTGAAAAAAATGTATGAATTGCGTCGACGTTATTAATATCATTATCGGTCCATGCAAGCAATTCACGCGGAATTGGAATGCGACGGTAATTTTTGTGGATGGCTTGCATTACAGCCTGTAATTACATTAAAAACACATATTCATTTAGTCATTATTATTTATGAAAGCAATTCTAAAAATGTAAATAAACAAAATAAAAATGAAATAAAAATGGGCATTACTTGTTTATTGATCGGCTGCTTGGTTTGTTGGTTGTCATCGATAGTTAAGTGGCCACCGAAGAAGTGTGCATTTGTCGCTTGTAGCATATCATCCAAATAATAGAAACAATGAATTTTCTCTTGTGTAATGGGATGTGGAAAGACTCCTTTGCCGTAATTTATTGATAAATCGGCGAAAATATCTGATTTTTCTTCTTCAAAATTGCTTGATAGTGCAATGACGGGAAAGTCAATTTTGTGCAATGCCTCAATCACACCATTCAGTTGTTGTTTTGTAACACGTGTATCGAAATTGAAATACACAACTTGTGCCCAGTCTTTGTACAATCCACGCGCAATAATCAATGTCATATATTTGTGTGGACCCAAAATGAGATCTTTTTGCTCATCATATTCATATATTTCGGCTGTTTTAATGTAACTGATTTGAAGTATGGTCAATTTTTCATGATCTTCATGAATTTGACCATCACAATCAAGTATTTGTAACATTGTACTCTGGATACCACGTACCAATTGAATGTTATTTACAAACTTGCGAACGTCATCGGTGCTTGGCATCGGAATTGAAAATTTATCTCGTAAATAATTAAATAACGGAATGTTTAATCGTTGCAAGCTAAACGCTTTACATAATTCCATATTCGTCCATGACAATGAATTAATGTCAACGCTTTGTTCAACTTTATCATTTATCAAATTTGCGATGCGTTGCTTGTAAGTCCGGATTTCGTCGCCACGCTTCTCATATAAATCGAGTAATACACGATTTCGTTCTTGCAATGCCTGTAAATTTTGCGGCTGCTGTTTTCTTTCAGACGTATCCATAAGTCCTGAAACCATTTTTTTTTTTAATTTACATATTTATGCATGAAAACGCTTCTTTATTTTCTAAATTATCTTACCACTTTGATTTGATTCAACCAATTGTTCATCGAGATGTGGTTGGTAGTTTTTCGGTTTTCGACCTCTCTTCTTTTTGAACGGTAATCCAACAAGTGGTATATCGTGGCCCTTAATAAATCAAATGTAAAAAAATGAATATTGAAAAAACGAAAACTCACACTTTATGAAAATTATTGACTATTTATTCTGTAATTTGTATTCTTACCGGTCGTCGGAAAATCTTCTGCTGTGGGATAATTCGTCGTACGTACGGTCGATGAATGTATGTTCGAATTGCTGACTTTGGTAATGGTTTTGTTGGCAAGAGACTTTGTGTGGCAGAAGATTCAGCTTGTCTGTCATACTCAGTGCTCAATCGATTCGGACTGGGCACACTATCACCGGTTATATTCGATTGTGACATAGATGTGCTTTGGTTTTCTGCCGCTTGCTGTAATTGTAAATCCCAGTAGTAACTCTTTGGCTTTCGGCCGCGCTTCTTTTTGGCTGGTGGTTCATTTGATAAAATACTAGTGTCCGGAGCATTTCCAATGCTTTCAACTTGCGATACAATCGAACTATTTGTGTCCGGATCTTGTTTAAGAGATGCTAAATGCTCATAATATGCTTTTGGTTTTCTGCCTCGTTTATTTGCATAAATGCTGAAATCCATTGATGTATTCGCAGACATTGGCTGTGTTTGTTTGGCCGCTTGCAAACCTTCGTCTTCATAACTTGTGTTTTGCAAAATGGCTGGTGCCGATTCATTGGCTTGTTCCATCATTTGTTGCAGATAGTAACTTTTCGGTTTACGTCCACGTTTCTTTTTAACAATTTGATTCGAAACGCTTGGGCTCTGTTGATCTTCTTGTTGTTGCTGTTGTTGTTGTTGTTGTTGTTGTTCATCATCTTGTTCTTCTTCTTGTTGTTGTTGTTGCTGTTGCTGTTGTTGCTCCAATTTAACAAAATAGGTTTCCATAAATTTGGGCTTGCGTCCACGTTTCTTCCATTCGATCGGAACATTTGGGGCCGATGTTGGTGCGGGTGATGGTTCGTTACTTATGTTACTGACATCGGTACCATTTTGACCGCCATCAACGCTTGCACCCGATTCATTTGCTCGTGCGGCCAATTCCAAATAATAGCTTTTTGGTTTTCGGCCACGTTTTTTCTTTATTGGCTGAAATTCCGATGTATTTGCACTTTCATCCAGTTGGGATGTTGATTCATTGTGCGAATCTTGTTCACTTTGTGTCGTTGAATTAAGAAATGTTACATACCGATTTTTGGGCGGTCGTCCTCGTTTTTTCGGCGAACTAGCATGGAAAATACTGTGTCCCATTGCCATTGAAAAATCATCAACCTGTGATTGCATCGAGCGATTTTGTAGACGTAATGCTTCCTTTTGGGCGGCACGTTCCGATTTTTCTTCTTCGGTTAGTGGTGGTCGGCCGCGTTTTCGTTTCACAATTGCCGCATGTTCGTCATTGTCCATTCCATTGCCATTCGTAATATTACCGTTACTTGTTACACCAAATTTGGGCTCATCGCTGCCATCTCGTTCACCGCTCGATTCGTATGTGTCTGATTCCGAATCTGAATACGCTTCATTTGAGTGTTCATAAAATAAATTAGCTGAAGGATTTACACGCAATGAAATATCGTCATCCGGCTTACCTAAATTGACCCAAAAAAAAGTGCATTTATATCGAAGTTTTGAAGAAGAAATTTTTTTTAGAAAAATATTGGATAATATATAAGAAATTTATAAAAGGAATTCCAATAGGAGGCATCCGGCTTACCAAATTTAAAATTGCTTTTGAAATTTGCTGCCTTTTTTATGTCGTTCATGACGCCACGTCGAATTAGTGAATCAAGTGACAAACTAACTGTTTCTTCTTCTTTCTCGTTGCTATCTTTATCGTGCGAATGGCTTTTGCTGTTTCGCTTCTTTGTACCGCTTGAACTTTTTGTTGTTTCGCTACCGCTGCTGCCGCAACCTCGTTGCACACGCTGTAAATGCAATACTCTTGCGCGAGCGTCGGGCAATGAAATTTCTGAATCTTTAGCAGTGCTGGTGCTGCTGGTATTTGTAGTTGTATTAGTGGTGATGCTTGTAGATTTTGGCGCGTTTACTTTTGCAGTTGTAACTGTTGTTGAAAATGATTTTTCACGTTCCGAAAATGACACTTCACTCAATGGTTCTAATAAATTTCCATCATCAACGTGGTCCACCGAATTTTCCTCACTCTCCATTGAATTCAGATCCATTGAAATTCAACACTTTCTCTCTCTCTATTTCAATTCTCTCTATTCACGGCCTGTTTTTTTTTATTTTACCAAAGGAAAAAACAAAGAAGATTTAATAAACACCTGCAAATATACAAAGAAATTTTTCATCATGATTTGTCATTAATAAATAACTTTTCTTCTATCATAATGTCATTTTTTTATTTAGTTATATGAAGAATTATAAATCACAGTGAAATAATGTTACGACAGAAATGAAATTATGTTTGCTCTTAAACGCAACCAAAACTAATGGCCGAAAATACATCCAAAATATATTCGCAAACTTGTCGCAGATGAACAACTACACACATGAAAACAATTTAAATCAAATCTAATCATAAGCATAGAAGAATATTATGGCATAGAGGAAATTAGTGTAGCCAGCACAAAAAAAAAAATAAATAAATAAAAAGTAAATTCGATGAATGATTTGTTTAAAAATGGCAGATATATATTCAATGTATGCAAAACTATTTTTTTCTTATTTGTTTGAAATTCATAGCTCAGCAACAAAGAAGAAAAGAGAGAAAGAAAGAGAGAGAGACACTGAGAGCCGGTATACGGTAAAATGTGAGCAATAAGAATACACGAAAAAAAAGGAATATATTCAATAAATCAACACAATTACATCACATTTTGTCGTTGGCAATCTGTTTAAATTATAAATTATCGTAAATTAAAATGGATTCAGGCAGCATTTATTTCCACAAATTCAATTCCATATACACACATATATACTGAGAAAATAGATTCTTTATGCGATAAATCGAATTTATTTAAAATTCGCTCATCGAGAAAAATGTAAAACTATTCGATTCCAAAAAAATCATTTTTTTTCACACATTGTTTTTTTGTTAACTTTATTTCGGAAATTAATTCTTTTTTTCTTTTGTCAATTCAGCAATTTGCCTTTTCAGCTTATTTAGTAGCGCAATTTTTTTTAAAATATATTTTGTACACCATTTCACTTATAATCAGTTATATATTGTATTTGTATTGTTATTAATTATATATCGTTTCATATTTTCATTTTGTAGCAAAAACAAAAATGATTCAAGTTATCTAAATTGAAAAGACAACAACAATCATCAAGTATTAATAAGCATAACACGAAATTTTAAAATAAAAAAAAATGTCTCTGTCGCAATGTACACTTTTCTATCCATTTCTGCAAACGCCAAATAAAAATTTCAATCGCAATATAAGAACCAAAAATTGAATAATTTTTTTTTCTCGAAAATAATAATAAAAATGACGATAAACGATAATGTGGCTTACTCTATTTTCCGCTCTCTCTCTATCTCTTTTTCTCTTTCCTCCACACTCTCTCACTCCCCGAAAATAATTTGCAATAAAAGAAATCGATGACAACCATTTACCATGTGCAAATAAAAATGTAATTTTATTTTTATAAAATGCAAATGACGTTGAATGCTTTCCTTTTTTCGTTCGTCTTTTGTTTTTATACAAACAAAAATATTTATTAGAAAAATAGAAGCAAGCCAAGCTTCTTTGCGACCATTCCTGTCAATGCATGCACACCAAGCAAAATTACATGTATTATAAAACACACTGAAAAAAAAAAAACAGAGACTTAAGCAAAAAGATAGAATAAGAAGTCTGATGGTGTGTATCGTCATAGAAGCGGCAATCGCACAACTCTACACTGCTCATTTTTTCTCATTGAATTTGTACGTATACCAACAAGAAACCCATATACATATGTTATTGATATCATTGTGTGAGTATGCGATCACAAACAATTTTCTTATGTATGCATGTATTTATCTCGCCGACACACCACAAACTGTTTCTCCACGAAGGATACTTATTCGATTAAGTCCCGTTTATATTATGTGCATAGAAATTAATGCGAAATATGCTTACTATGTTGATTTACAAATAAATTCGTGTATTTTTGAGTTATGTTCATTTAAAATACGACATTTTTTCTTTCTTTGCATTATAAATAATAATTGAAGTTCTTAAATACCGTCGACAGTCGCAATAAAGAAATGTTAGGTTATATAATGAACCAAATGAAGTAAATTGACATTGTCAAATTCATAGACGTACGACATGACTCAGATAAAACCCACTATGCTTGAGAACTGTCAAAAATGAATATGAAAAACAATAATAATCATTCATTTGCTTGGGTATATTTTCAATAACAAACAAAACATCATTATTTATGTTCGAAATTGTCGATTGGTTTTCTTTATGTGTATTTTTTTAAATTCGATAAGCAATTTTCTATATGATAATTTTTGAAAAGATTTCATTTAGTAAGTAATTTGTTAAGAGTTAAAAGCACGAAATTTTCAAACGCGGAATCAAAGCAAAAGTAATCATGACATCTCGTAGCCCGAATTCGCTGCTTTCGACAACGTATGACGAAACATTTGATTATTTATTTAAAATTGTATTGATCGGAGACTGTGGTACTGGAAAAACATGTGTTGTACAACGTTTCAAAACGGGCCAATATGAAGAACGACATGGGAATACAATTGGCGTTGATTTTTCTATGAAGACGGTCAACATTGATGGCAAAAAAATTAAAGTAAGTCAATCTCCCGCCCAAATCAATTTTCATTGTTTTTTTTCTGTAATTCGACAAATAAATTTCCATTTGAACGGCATTTTTTTTTCTTCAATTATTTATAGATAACCCTTTGGGATACTGCAGATAAGTTTTGCTATGTTGTTTTTTCTATCCAAAAAATACGTGATTAAATTTTTCCATTAATGAAAGATTTAAAAGTGCTCTAGAATGACGTATTTTCTTTTTACTTTATACGACAGGAACGTTTTCGGACGATAACTCAATCATATTATCGTTCTGCCAATGGAGTTATCATAGGTAAAATGAAGAGCTATAATGATTTTCAAGTATATAAATGATTCGCATTGATAATACGTGTTTGCCAATTTGTTGTTTTTTTGTAGTATACGATATTACAAAACGATCAACATTTTTGAGTATACAACGATGGATTGAAGAGGTTCGCCGATACACTACCTCTGATGTTATTCTAATTTTAATTGGCAATAAATGTGATTTGGAGGATGAGAGAGAAGTAATTGCACCGTTTTATCAAACACAAACATTTGTTTAACTCTATTTAATTATGTTCATTCAATGTTTTTTTAATGATTTCAGGTTGAATTAAGCGAAGCTCAGGCTTTATGTCAGTATATACCCGAAATATCATTTGTTATGGAAACATCCGCAAAAGAAAATACAAATATCAAAGACATATTCTATTTATTAGCAACCGAATTGATGGTGAGTGATCAAAGTAAATACGATATTTTCCATTCAAGTTGATAATATGCCAGTTATTCATTTTTTTCGTATAGCAAAGGCAAGCAAATTTAATTGCAGAAGAGGATGTTAATCAGCCAAGCATCACAATAACAGAAGGACAACCTGTAAATAATTGCTCTGGATGCAAGTTTCTGTGATACGCTTTATAAAATTTATCCAGAAAGGCAAAAATAAAATTGAGCTCCATTTACTCGACAAAACCACTTCCAATGGGTGTAAATTGAAATGGTAGTCAATAGCACTGATGTTGTAGAAAATATCAGTAACTATTTGAATAAAGCTTACTTTTACTTTATTGTTATGCTTTATTTGACACAAAATTGTATACTTTATCGTAAAAAATTCAGATTAATCGTACAAGATTGTATGTGATTTTTTTTTTTGGTTTTCCACATGATTATTTATAGTGACGAAGCAAAATCAATTGTAACGAGCCAATAGTTTGTAAAGAAAATATCCTAAAAGCAGTAAATAAAATTAACCATTACATGCAGTGTTTCTCTGTAGCAATAAAAAAGAAGGAAGAAATTTGACATTTCAAAAAATTCAATACAAAATGTGAAACTATTATTATACAGTCGCAGAAGACTAAATAAAAAATGAATAACGAATATTCTCGAAATGAATTGTTCGATATCAAGATGACATTTGTTGGACTTTGAAGTGCCTGAAGTTGGAAGTCTTTGCCATTTTCATTGTATTTTCGGCGAAAATGATACTTTTGACAAAAAATTTCATTTTATCGCTATCAAGCTGATTTTTATGATTGGAAACCAGTTATAACATTGGGCTAAGATATTAGTTTGGGATTTTCTTAGCCATTTTCTGTGTATTTTGGATAAAATTTTGGAACAACATGAATGTTCAGGTAAAATTCGAGATTGATCGGGTTCAAAGTACGATTTCAAATAGCTCAGTTTCTGGAGGTGAGAAATATTTTTAAATTCCACTTATTTGTAGATCAAGAAGTAATGCTTTACATATCGATACACCAATTGTATTTAAATATTTTTTTTCCCTGAAAATGGAATGAAAATGATAATAATTGATAATCTCATGAGCACTACTTGCTTTGAGTTTGTATAAGAAACTCAATAAAAAAATTCAAATCGTGTCGAAAAAACTAACAACAATTTTATTCTTGTACAAGTTAGTACTTAAACTATATCACAGCTTTTGTATACTTACTTTTCGATTGAACTGTTAGATGGCGCCATTTGCGTGGCAGTTGTATCGCATTTGAAATACAAAAGTTTATACTTTTTCAGTGATCTATAACTTGGCGTTGTCTTTAAATATCGCGATTGATTACATTAAATAAAAGTATGAATAGTACAATTTTGATTTGTCCATTGTGTCCGATTCAAGCTTATTATTGCTCATTCACACATACACACAAACAGATTCTATTCGCTTGAAGTTACCAGCAATGATAATATCTTTCATATATTAAGAAACCAATCGTCTGGATACAGTGTGTGTAGATATAAATCTAAATTAAGGTTTTTCAACGATTTGAGCGGCTCAAGATTACTCGTTTAATCAACAGTTTTGTTTTATATTCTGTTGCTCTTAAAAAAGTTAGGCCAACCGCCGTAATTAGTAAATATTATCGTAGATGAAACGTTCTCATCAAGCTCAATCAAATAATCAAATCGTAATTTAATTGTTAACAAGAATAATGGTACTATTCTTTTTCTTCGCAATTGGTTATCTCGTTTTCACTGCCTGCGAGTGAATAAAGTGTTAGGCGTTAACCAATGTACTTCAAACAAAATCTCCATTTATGTTGAAGACTAGAATATATGAGCCAAATCGTTTATTCCACATTTGATTGTTGAATCTGAAACTACAATGTGGCGCCTCGGGCACATCATGTATTTTTAAACACATATTGTATGTATTTGTGAATGTCTTTCTTCTTTCATTCTACTGTATTTCTTCATATTTGGATTATATTCATCTAATCAAGAAATAATCCGTCCTGATTGTGCTGTGATTTAACAGTGACGAAATAATTAATTTGGTTGCTCATTGTTTTCTCTCGATATCTTGTTCACAACTAATTTCATGTTGTTTTTCTAAGTTATGTATTTAATGTGGTGTTGTTTCAACGGAAATGCTCAAATTATCGTATAATCTTAAACAAATTAAACGTTATGAATTTGGGCGTGCAGAAGTTGAATTATAATAGCAGATCAATTATAAACGGACCGTTGAATCATTTATTGTGCGGTAATGTAGGACAATGGATCTCGAACTTATTATAGTAAATTTGTTCATATGAACATGAATACAATCATGACCAGAATCAATTCATTTAAAACAGAAATCGATTCGATGTATTTGTTTGTTTATGAAAGAACATTTTGGGTGATTTGAAACCATTTCGCTCTCTCCCTCTCTCTTTCTCTCTCTGGTCATTGTTCGATGATGAGTCAAAATAATTAACAAAAAATTTATAGAAATTCACATGAAATGGGAGATGATGAGCTGTGAACAGGGAACTCCAATGGTGAAAACTAGCAATAATTTTTCATTAAATTATTTCAGTCGGTCAGGTAATAAATTTTCGGATTAAGAATTAAATTGTCTAATACATTGGTCCCACTTTAAAGAGACCAGACCACAGTTAAAGTGTATATTGACGCAATGAACGTGCGTGCGCGGTGCGCATTTTCATTCGCCAACCATATTTACATATTAAAACACTTTACGATTTCCCTTGAATAATGAGTGTATTTTCTTCATATATCTCAATTGGATTTATTTGCCCGTTTTTTCAACATGCCGCGCAACCATTCCCTGCTGATATCGAACGTTTAATACCATTTATTTTACTTAGTTTTTATCGTTCGAAAAGCATCTATGTCAATTTTATTCCATTAGCACTGGCAGGGAGTCAATTGTACAAACAATGCATATCCATAATTTTGTAGCACAACACAAATGAAACAAACCAACGAAAAATACGCAACTGTTCTCGTCATCGTCACCGCAAACAAAGCCGAAAATGCTCCACAGCAAAAACGAATGCATTCAATAACATTAATTTTAGCCTCAAATCCTCTATTTAACTCGTAATTAACAATTTTTCCCGCCAAGAATATGCCATTTCTGTGTGTGCGTTTTTTTTTAAATACGGTTACGAATAAATTGAATGTTTATTCGTTTTGTTCTACACAATTGAAATAATGAGCGTTACAAATGTTGTCATTTTTTCCGCATTTCAAGGCGTTTTTAGTGTAAAGCTCTTGAAAAACAGAGCGCCCATTTCCTCGTATCTTAATTTTATTCAATGAGAATAAAAATAAACCATTCTGAAATGTATTCGTTCATTAAATGTGCCCAAAATGGAACTAAATGGATCGTGCGCTCTTACATATACTTTTTTTTTGTATCATTTCTTTTTTTGGATGCTATAAAATGAAAATTAGCTTGCTATAATTACAAATGAGCAAATTAATTTGGGTGTTTTGTTTCTTAAAAAAAAAAAAAAAACAAACAAAAAAATTAAATGAGCTCATTGGTTGAAATTTTTAATATGCCAGACGGATAATGAATTCAATCCATTGAAATGATTTCGATCGGCATTATTTCAGAAAAAATAAAACGAGTGAATGAATACAGAAGAAGAATGAAACACAGGCATCGGGTAAAGCGCACACAATGGTATATCGAATTAGTGGCGTCGAACATTCTGAGAATCGAGTACATATGTTCGACAATCCAAACTCTCTCGATCCCTTTTCCTTTTTTTGGCTCTCTTTCGTGAGCACTTTCATACAGTGCAAACAAGACCAGATATCATGGCACCTATCAAAAGAGGCAAAGATTCACGTTCATATATATATATATATATATATATTCAAATGTTGGTCATTTCATTCGACGCGAATCGAGCGGACAATTTGTGTGTTGGCCGCACATTGAATATCAGTTAAATATAATATTCTTCATTCTCTGTGTGTGCATATTTTGATGTTTTCAGTAGCTATGCAAAGTATGAAAATAAACACATTCGCGTATAAATCAATTGCAAAAAGGCCACATAAAATGTTGCATTGGATGCAAATCAAAACGAGAGAAATTGAATTGGAATATTTTTAACTGAAAGAGCAGCGAAAATTCGATGGTGTGTCGAATATGAAACGTAGAGAGAAAGACACTCACAATGTATTACATACATTCTATCGGTAATCCCACCCATATATACACTACTTTTTCAATGGTAAAACTGAAGAAATGAGCAAAAAAAAAAGAAATTCGGAGCAAATTTGTCATCAAAACGTTTATTAAATCGCATTCAATTCGGCAAATTACACGGACTACGGAATTGTGTGTGCAAACAATCGAAATGTGGCACGGAAAAAATTGAACGAGGAGGCGTGAACATTCAACAATGTTGCAAACAAACAATGTTTGTTAGCGTCAACGTTTGCTGCAAACACGTTCCCGGCGAACGAATCACGTGTTCAGTGTGTACACACATACATGTTTCATATTCGATATTTCATGAGAGCTTCTCTTAGTTGCTGCAGAGCAACTGTATGGAATGAAATAAATACAACAAAAACAAATCCGCGTTAAAGTGCTTCTTCTCCATGGTGCGAACGCATGCCATATGTTTTATCCAGAAATACATTTATAACAAAATAGTGTATTTGTGGTGGTTCGATGATCGTAGCGACGATTGAACGAGAGAGGCGATATGTTTAGTTTAAAGCGTTATTCTCTCATTCTTTCTCTCTTTAATATTTTTGCGTTGCTTTTTTCGCTCTTCTCACTGAACGTAATTGATTGGGCTCATAAACGTGCCGGATTATACAGCAATACACTGCTTCATTAATGTCTTTCTTTCTTTCCTCTCTCTCTCTATATCTCTCTCTCTCTCTTTGTTATGCATTCATACTTGAATGTGGGATCGAAATTTTTTTCTCTTTCCGTGCTAATTTGTACATTCTCAATATTGTGTATATTGTTAAGCGTAAACGATTTTAAGAAGCACCGCCTTATGTATGCATGACTCTCTTTCTCTCGCTCTCTGACATCGTTACTGTATTGAAAGTGCACGCGGCGCCTGCATTGTTTTATTTTTGTTGAAAATATTATTCGCTTCATCGTTCGAACACACAAATTATTTAATGATGAAAAGAATAAACTAATAATATGGAAAATGAAAAGAAGAAGAAGATGAAGATGAAGAAGATGATGAACACGATCGACCAGTACGGATGAGAAGCATCCGAAAATTTGATCACATCAGCTGTCGAAATTCGGTTATTTTGCAAGATAATATCGCATTCTTTATGGTACGTGAATTACCGTTATTGGTTTCAACTATACTAACAA